AGTGATGTCGACCAGTGCTGCTAGTGGCTATGGGGTGCCAGCAGCATCAGAAGCTAGCGGCCAAAATCTGATGGATCTGCATGTGGTATGTTTCAATGGTGAAGGATGCAGGCTGAAACTTTCTCCTTCCACCCTGGGCTTGGAAGTGCGCAAGATGGTTTCAGAACAACTTCAATCCAAGCGAAGCGCCACTCTGACGCTGCACCATAAAGCATCACCCTTGGTGCTCCACTTGTCGTTGAAAGGGCAAGGCATTTTGGGTGATGCTGCGACACTTTCATGCACGTATGTTCCCACAGATTTGTATGCAGCGGTGCGTTATCTCCAAGGATTCCAGGTGCCTGAGAGAGAGTGTGCATTGGAAGGGGTGACACAGATGGCAGGTGTAACGTCTGAGCATGTGTATCATCTCCCGCAAAACCTTGAAAGATTGACCTTTAGCGGTGATTTCAATCAGTGCTTGCAGGGGGTGACCTTGCCAAGTAATCTTCTCAACCTGACCTTTGGAAGCGAGTTTAACCAGAGCCTAAACCCTGAGACCCTGCCAAGCAATCTGCAAAGCTTGGACTTTGGCCAGAAATTTAACCGGAGCCTGGACAGCATGACCTGGCCTTGCAGTCTTCGAAGCTTGAAGTTTGGTTCAGGCTTCAACCAGAGCTTGGAAGGAGTGACGTTGCCAAGCAACCTGCAAAGTTTGACTTTTGGCGGTTCTTTTAATCAGAGCCTGGACCGAGTTACATTTCCAAATAGTCTGCAAAGTTTGACCTTTGGTCGTGATTTCGACCAAAGCATGGAACAAGTTTTTTTGCCAAGCAGTCTACTACACTTGAGGTTTGGTACTTGGTTCAACCAAAGCCTGGAAAGTCTGAAATTCCCAGACACTCTTCAAAGCCTGCGCTTTGGCCCCGATTTTGACCAGAACCTGGAAGCGGTGGCTTTGCCGATTAATCTTCAGAGCTTGACTGTTGGTGTTCGCTTGTTGGACCAGAGCCCGGAAGGTGTGACCCTGCCAAAAAATCTGCAAAACTTAGTGCTGGAACGTGATCGCCGTGATTTCAACCAGGGCAGAAACCGATTGAACTTGCCGAGTAATCTGCAAAGCTTGACTCTTGGTGTGAGGTTTCACGAGTTCCCGTGCCCTTTACTAACTGTGCCAAGCACTTTGCAAAATTTGACTTTTGGGGATGATTTCAATCACCCTCTACAAGGAGTGACCTTGCCAGGCAATCTGCAGAGCCTGACTTTCGGTGATTTTTTCAATAAAAGCATGGAAGGCGTGACTTTGCCACCCAATCTGCAAAATTTGACTTTTGGCCGTGATTTCGACCAGAGCCTGGAACGCGTGATCTTACCAGAAAGTCTGCAAGACTTGACTTTAGGTATGAGCTTTTACCAGAGCATGGATCGAGTGACGTTGCCAAGCAATCTGCAAAGTTTGACCTTCGGCGTAATGTTTGACTGGAGCTTGAGACAAGTGAACTTGCCTAGCAACCTGCAAAGATTGGCCTTCGACCGTGACTTCAGACAGAGCCTGGAAGGAGTTACCTTGCCAGACAGTCTGCAGGAATTGAGTTTTGGTCTGAGGTTCAACCAGAGCCTGATACATGTGACCTTGCCGCGCAATCTAAGGAGTTTGATTTTTGGTGACAGATTTAACCAGAGCCTTGAAGGTGTGACCTTGCCAAGCACTTTGCAACACCTGTCTTTTGGTAGCGATTTCAACCAGAGCCTGGAACGCGTGACCTTGCCAAGCAATCTAGAAAGCTTGATCTTTGGCAGTGAATTCAACAAGAGTTTGGAACGAGTGACTCTGCCAAGTGGTTTGCATAGTCTCCGTTGCTGTTCCTTGTTTGTAAGCAGGTTGTGATTGGCCAGGATTAGCCAATATCAGCCATATACGGACCGACAAATTGATATATAGACAAAAACAAGTGCTGGTGCAGGCGGTCCAAGGTAGAAGAGTTTAAGGTAACTAAAGACTCTGGTGAAGTTGGCCCCAGATGTGGATGAATTTGGAGACATGATGTATAGTAATCCCTTCAAGATAAAACATGTTATCTAACATAATCACTTTTCAGTAGGATTTGACTTTTTATGCCTTTTCCATCCTTTCTGGGTTGCTATACAACGACTCTGGTTATGAAGCAAGAACGGTTTCTTTATCAACCTTTGACAACAACCAAGGATCCCTGGAGTCCAACGCCAATGTTTTTGTTGGCTGTGAATAGGCTTTCGGGTAATCAAACATGGTGTTCAAATGGGAAAATCTCTTCTCAGTCGGCGGCCGAAGGATATTGGCTGGGGGGTTCAAATCGGTTGCCAGTAGAAATGATGGTATCAAACTATTGGGTTTCGGCTTCGGTGGCGATTTCACAGAGTTTCACATACGGTAACGGTTACCGTATATATATATATATATGTATATTCATATATATATATATATATACATATATAGATATATTTCTCGTTCTCCATCTCTAGAAATGGGATGATGACACCCAAGTGACTTCCGTATTTTGGAGAGGAAATGGTGCAGGCTGGTTGATTTCTTCAGCATTCTCCAGGTTTGTCCCGTTCAAGGCTGTTTCAGATTGTCTTGGGGTTCAATGCTATGGGCATTTCTAGGGTTGTTAAACTGTGGCGCACAATAACATGTTTTTGAGCTGTTTTTGTTGTAGAAAAGGCATCTGATGGTGGGTGCTTGTTTGTTTTTCAACCAGCTTGGAGAGGATAATCTTGAAAAAGTATGAACACATGGGGTATCAATGTTGTGAAGATGTGTCATGGGTGCGAGTTCGGTGAGGGGAGGACGGGCTGCGGTCAGCAATGTGGCTCCAGATGTTTGGCAGCTACTAGCATGATCTAGAATGATGAGTCCAAAGTGACGCAGATCCTAGTGATGTCGACCAGTGCTGCTAGTGACTATGGGGTGCCAGCAGCATCAGAAGCTAGCGGCCAAAATCTGATGGATCTGCATGTGGTATGTTTCAATGGTGAAGGATGCAGGCTGAAACTTTCTCCTTCCACCCTGGGCTTGGAAGTGCGCAAGATGGTTTCAGAACAACTTCAGTCCAAGCAAAGCGCCACTCTGATGCTGCACCATAAAGAATCACCGTTGGTGCTCCACTTGTCGTTGAAAGGGCAAGGCATTTCGGGCGAGGCTGCGACACTTTCATGCACGTATGTTCCCACAGATTTGTATGCAGCGGTGCTTTATCTCCAAGGATTCCAGGTGCCTGAGAGAGAGTGTGCATTGGAAGGGGTGACACAGATGGCAGGTGTAACATCTGAGCACGCGTGCCATCTACCTCAAAACCTTGAAAGACGGCAGCTCCTGCAAGTACTGATTGAAATCACCACTAAAGGTCAATCTAAGTTGACCTTTAGCGGTGATTTCAATCAGTGTTTGCAGCACCTGACGTTCCCTCCTAGTCTTCGCAGCTTAACCTTCAAAAGAGATTTTGACCAGAGGCTAGACCCTGCGGCCTTGCCGGGCAACCTGCAAAGTTTGGCCTTCGGGGACAATTTTAATAAAAATGTAGCCGAGGTGATCTGGCCCAGCAACCTTCATCTTTTGAAATTTGGTTTCAAGTTCAATCAGAGCCTTGCAGGAGTCTACTTGCCAAGAAATCTCAAAACCTTGACTTTTGGCCGTGATTTCGACCAGAGCCTCGAAGATGTTAGCTTGCCCAGCAACCTGCAAAGTTTGACTCTTGGTGAGAGGTTCAATCAGAGCATTGCACGAGTGACCTTTCCAAACGATCTCGAAAGCTTGACCTTTGGTGAGAAGTTCAACCAGAGCCTCGAAGGAGTGACCTTGCCAGTCAATCTACAATGCTTGTCTTTCGGGTGCGATTTTGATCAGTGCCTGGAATGTGTAACCTTGCCAAGCAACCTGCAGAGCTTGACTCTTGGGGAAAGTTTCAAGCAGAGTCTGAAAACAGTGGCCTTGCTAAACTCTTTGCAAAGCTTTACCGTGACTACCGTGACTTTCATGATTATCTCAAACCAAAGACCCTGCCCAGCAATCTGCGAAGACTGACACTTGGTAAACGGATCCTGGAACACGCGACCTGTGTGACTTTCAGTGGAGCTTGGTAGGAGTGACCTTCCCCAGCTGCAAAGCTTAGAACTGGGGGACCTTTTCAACAAAAGCATGGAAGGCGTGACTTTGCCACCCAATCTGCAAAATTTGACTTTTGGCCGTGATTTCGACCAGAGCCTGGAACGCGTGATCTTACCAGAAAGTCTGCAAGACTTGACTTTAGGTATGAGCTTTTGCCAGAGCATGGATCGAGTGACGTTGCCAAGCAATCTGCAAAGTTTGACCTTCGGCGTAATGTTTGACTGGAGCTTGAGACAAGTGAACTTGCCTAGCAACCTGCAAAGATTGACCTTCGATCGTGACTTCAGACAGAGTCTGGCAGGAGTTACCTTGCCCGACAGTCTGCAGAAATTGACTTTTGGTCTGAGATTCAACCAGAGCCTGAAACATGTGACCTTGCCGCGCAATCTAAGGAGTTTGACTTGTGGTGACAGGTTTAACCAGAGCCTTGAAGGAGTGACGTTGCCAAGCACTTTGCAACACCTGTCTTTTGGTAGCGATTTCAACCAGAGCCTGGAACGCGTGACCCTGCCGAGCAATCTAGAAAGCTTGCTCTTTGGCAGTGAATTCAACGAGAGTTTGGAACAAGTGACTTTGCCAAGCAGTGTTTATTGTCTTGGTTGGAGGTCGACATTTGTCAGCAGGAAACCATTCGTAAGCAGCTTGTGATATGCTGAAGTGGACGCACATCAAAAAGTGTGTAGAACAAGTCAGTTTTGCCTTTGGCAAACATTCCCGACGTTTCCTCAATTGCATGCGCCGGTGAGTTCTATGGGGAAAAACACTATCGTTTGTGGCCCATTGATGGGGACATATGGGGACCAAAGAGCAGAGCACTTTCAAATGTCCTCATTCTGAGTTTGTGTTATAGTTCATGGGGAGTTACGCATTACCAATGGCCAGATATGGTGGCCATCATGTGCTGGAGAACGTGATTGTGATAAAGCCTTTTGATGTAGGGAAACCTGACAGCCAGGAGCAATGCGACCCGTGTGACAGCGACAATGCAGCGGACCTTGAAACGACGGAGCATCCATTGATTCTGCGCATGCAGAAGGAAGCTGCAGATCTGCAACGTTGGGCGTGGTCAAACCTGGACGGGTAAGTATTTACATAACTTACCGGTAACCACTAAGAATATATTCTGTTGAGCTACAGCTGGGTAGATATTTGAGACTGTGCTGAACATAAATATGCTGTTTGGCAGGGTATCTAATCTTAATTGTGGTGGTGTGCATGTTGGGTAGACATAGGTCAAAAAGGACCAGACATCTAGTAGAATTCCACTCTAAAAGAACACCCTACTCACTTCGAGCCGTACCCAAAAATCAAGTTTACAGCAATTTACGGCAAGTAGCAAGCCCCAACAAAAATCAAAAAAGATAGGAATCTTGATAAACTATGGTAAACTATGGTAAACTGCGAATCGACCCGTAAGTTCTCTCGCTTTTCCTCCGATGAATGGCTGCATCAAGGAGATGGATGGTTCCAACACCACGCCACGTGCGCCCAGTGAGCAATGGGATGACCTTAGTTTTCTCCCTTGGAATGAAGGTTACCCTCTGGTAATGTGTTACATAGCTCTTGAACATGACTCATGACTCATGACCCATAGAGTCATAGTTGATTTACGAAGTAAAAGATTGTGATTTTCCAGTTCGCCGTGTGAGTTTACCAGAGATTAATCAGAGGAGCTCCTCCACTGAGGTGAACCACCAAGGAAGTAGCAACAGGGATTTAGCAACCAGTTACCTCAGTTGGGGGTTGATGACTTATTGTATCTTACCTTCTGGTAATTTAACATAGCTATTGAAAATGGTCATTTATAGTGAGTTTTCCAATTAACAATGGTGATTTTCCATAGTTAAGTTATGTTAGTTTACCAGAGGGTATTATATGTTCTACCATTTGATAGCATAGTTTGCAATGATGGATAGCTATCAACTCATCAGCAGTTGAGTCGGAAGATCCCCTTGGATTTCGTTCAGAGAGACCCCAGTGGCCTGGCTTATTGGCCAGTCTTGATACATGAATCCTCCACAGCTGGCTGTTGGCAATGAATATAGTAAAGGGATATCATCAACACAGGTTAACTTAAGCTACCACTATGAACGAGCCTGGTGGACTATAGTATCATATAGTATACCATATAGTCCCCGAAAATCCAACGGTTCACGAACCGGCGTGACCCACCAAAGGCCTCTAAGCAGGTCCCGTTTCGCAGGTCCTGGAATCGCATGGAATCGAGCAACCCACACGTGCAACGGGGACGTTCCAATAAGTTTTTGCCACACGAATGACCCATTCAAAACGAAATGAATGATGGAACAATTTATAGGAACCCCTTGATTTAAGACTATTTAATAGCAACAATGGCAATGTTTCCTGTAGATGTTCTAAAAACTGGATTATCAAATGTGTTGACTATGTGTGTAATTAATTGTAATTATATGTAATTATTATATATATTATCTCATTATATCCCCACTAGTTTCCCTTAAAATCATTTGACTGTTCAACCTTGCCCCTCTTCAACTTAGGTACGCCAAGGGGTCCAGCCCCTCCATGGGCAGCAGAGTTGCCGGAACGAAGGGCTTCTTGGTGAATGGCAAGGGGTTTTTAACAGTTTATTAGAGGGTGTTCTATTAAAGTTTCTTGGTGTTCTTTTAATGGTGTTTAAGACACGTGTTTCTAAAATCACAAGGGGTGATTCTTGGTGTTTTTTGCCGTCAAACGTTGATTGAACAAGGTCTTTTTACGTGTTTGGTGTTCGATATTTAATGAGGGCTGGCAATGTTTCATGCTGGGATGCACCCAAGAAGATGTGCTTGTGATATGGGTCAACCTTTCAGGACTGACTCAGAACTTTTTAGTCATTTTGAGTAGCTGTCAGTAGCTGTCAGTAGTAGCTGATCCATTGAGGTCCAATCATTTGGACATATTTGAACTATTATACCAAATGGATGTTAGTGAATCCTAAATGGTGAAAAAAATATACTAGGGTCTCCCAACCATGGTACATGACAGGCATTTTTTTTTTCTTTAATGTCACTTGACTGCGCGGTGTAAACGGACAGGCTACTAGGAATCGCGAATACGGTATATGTTTGGGTCACATACAGAAAACACAATCCCTGGCACATGTAGACACATAGCATCATATACATATGCAATCATTGTATGTACAATATATATATACAATATAATGTAGAACTATATAGAACATTATTGAACTACAGTTATATATGGATCTAATTTTTAGATGAGTCATGACACGTCACAACCATGGCAATTTCTTTGTATTTTATTTTCTTCCGCTTTCTGATTCTATATATAGATATATACATGTTGAAAGATGACACGATATGGGGACTTAATTTGCAAACTGCAAACATGAGCAAGCAACACAATGCGGATGTTGTGTCTTCTTTGCAATAGTACGTTCCTTTCAAAGTTCTTTCTCCCATCTATATATCTTGCTTGTCAAAATCCCTTCAAACACCCAGGTTTCTTCAAAAACATGTCCACCTCACTGTTTTGTTTTTTTCCCTACACCCTCATATGACTTTGCCTTAAAATGCAGCGATATATACCTTATGTTCGGACAAACCCATAACCATGGCACCCAAAAATCCAAGTTTGTAGAGTATCATGTTTTATCTCAAAATTGTTCACAGTGCTAGTCAAAACAACAATTTTCTTGGGCTGAATCCATCATATTTGGGAGAAACCCTGTCATGATCGGCATGTGCTGGTTCTATTCCATTCTATTCCCATATTCTGCCTATTTCTCCCCATAAAAATAGCAACCAATGGGGATAAATGTGGTAAATCCAATCCCCTTACACTTTGTAGAACAGCATTTCCGTAGCTTCCACCTATTCATCTCCCAGAAACCATGATGAAATCAGCGAAAAAGATGTGGTAATGTGGACTGCTTCTGCTTCAATTGAAATCACCAAATCAATTCCCAGGTTTTCACCGTTGTTCATGGAGAATCCCAATTAATATACCATTTTATCCCACCATCGATAATCCCCAAGGACCGCACCGCCACGGGCTGCACGCCGCCGCGGACCCCCACGGCCGTGAAGACGGTCCCCCCCGGGCTGCCAGAGGAGGAGGTGCCACGGCTGCCACGAGACGAACGTCGGGGGAGCAGCAGTTGATTCATTGATGGCTATGGTTTGTTGATCAAACATGGAGAACATGTTGGAAAAGTGCTGTTTGAATGGGATATGATAGGAAACGTATCTATAAATGGTGATGTAACTGGTAAATAAAGCCAAGACATGGACAAGGGGGGAATCAACCAACAAAATAGTGGTGGTATTTCACGGGGATTTCATGGGGGTAATAGGATACCACCCCGAGGCCATTTGAATGGGAACTTACGATAAAAGGCTAGCTCGAGGAACCAACATTGCTGGGGATTTTTTAACCAGACATATGGGGATTTCATGAGATAATTATGGGATATCATGGAATATTAATATAGATGGGATCCCAGAAGAAGTCAACCATTTCACAGGGCTATATTCCTGGGATATACATGGATATACTATATGAATCTATATGACAATATCATGACTGGGTATCTCCTTAAAAAGGGGATACACAAAACGATGCACCCAAAATTTCATCACTGCACGTCATGGGGAAGATGATCCATTAGATTTGAGCCCCCATTTGATCCCATTTGTGGGGCTGGTAACAAATGTAACAAATAGCATAATACGTAGCATAATTCGTAAGGGATTTCGACGAAATGTGCTTGTCCAAATAGATAGGATAGTTTTTTTTCTCCAGCCATTCATGATCAACAACATGTGGCTGTCAGATTAAACAAAGTATATGCATACCAACATATTATCGTTTTTGTTTATAGATGTGTTTGACATTCTATTGAGACACTATCATTTGCACATACACATTCATATCAACATCTAATGCATATGTGCCATTGTCAACACTCAGGTGTATAGTGTAATTGCGTGCATATTGGGGAATGGTCGTCAATCTATCAATACATTAATAGGGATTTACATAACTTGCATAAGGATTGCCATTATGGAATATTATGGGATGGATGACCATACCACACATACCATGTTTTGACCATGGCACACAGAGATGCAATATCTAAACACTAAAACGGGATACCCTCTAGTAATCTAGCAGTGTGCTATGAAAAGCCACCATGTTCAATAGGTAAATCAATAATCTATTTTCACGGTCCATTTTCCATAGCAATGTTAGGTTATCAGAGGGTAAGTCAATCATATTGAATCTCTATAATGGTTGCTATATCCCCATTATTATTTCCCATGAATTATGCTCGGTAAAAACCACAATAAATCACCACTTTTCATGGCCACGTCACAACGGGGAATCCCACCTTAACGACCTGCGCGCGTTGGAGGCCCAGGAAAGTGCCATGGCCTTGGCTGGCAGCTTTGGACCCGACTTCCTTCAGGAGTCGGCCATGGGTCGATGGGTGGATCAGGCCAGTGGCCAGAGTGGTTGGATGGGTAAGATACCCTCTAGTAAACTGTCCCACAACTATGGAAAATCACCATTTTTAATGGGTAAATCCACTATTTCTATGGCCATTTCCAATAGCTACGTTAAATTACCAGAGGGTAGAATATGGGGGTTTCCATGAGGGGATCCCTAAAATGGATGGTTTATAAATTTTATAATGGAAAATCCTATGAAAATGGATGAGTTAGGGGTACCCCCATTTTAGGAAACCTCCATATCTTCATCGAAAACTATCCAGTGGTTAGGAGCAAAGTAAGGAGCTATGGATAGCCATATTCCCCCAAAAAATGGGGAACCTAGGAGCTACAAATTGACTTTCCCAAGCACGTTATAGTCAAATAATTTCAAGTAGACGGAACTGGAAGTAAATGGCATAATTCCAATGATCTGGCATCTGCGAGATAACATTGGTTGTGCGGAATATTCTTTCTAACTGAGATGGAGTGTCATGGTATCTAGCATTCAGCCAGATGCACGGGGCATCATTTCATATCAGGACCAATGGACTCATACATCTGGTCATTTCTGGTAGTAATTAATTAATTTGGGTATGTAATAATTTGGACTGTTTTACCTAAATGGTAGGTGTTTCTTTCAATTTTCTACTAGGTCTCCCAACCACGGCACATGATAGGCAAAGTCTCTTTTTTCATGAATGTCACTTGACTGCTCGGTGTAAACAGACAGGGTACCAGGAACTATGAATGCGGTATATCTTTGGGTGACATACAAGAAACGCAACGATTCCTGTCACATTATATATATAATTGAATTACATTTTATAGAAAGATGACCGTTCTCATCCATTCTCTGAACTACAATATACTACAATTATATATATAATTATAGATATTGATAGTTTACAGCATGTTATAGCCATCGCAATCTCGAATGATGATACCCAGGTTTTGTTGATTGCTGCACCCGTATACTGTCCACAGGAGCTTTTCCGCCAAGCAAGACAAGGTTGGCCCGGCCCGTTGTCTTTCATGTGTGGAAGCATTTTTCGCAAGAGGCAATGCCAAGCAGGAGTGTATCCAGTGTATAAATTGTTCGAGATACATTGAAAGTACAATAGCCATGTTGTAGATATATGATATTATATGAGATGATATGACATGAAATTCTATGAGATGATATGATATGTCATTATATTTCATGACCCTCAGAAGCCTTAGACTCGAAGTCGCTTGTTTTGGCCCCGCGTTTGACCGGCGAAGCCGGTGCCGCGCCTCGTTCGGTCAGGTGATGCGGGGAGGATGTCCGTGCAGCTGCAGAAGGCGTGCAGCTGATGGGAGATGGGCCGTATGGGTCGGGTGTCGGATGTCGGCAATCAATGGTTAATATAGTGCTTACTATAATGGCTAATACGGTGAATAATTTGGTGAATCATATGCTGTTAATATGGTTAATTGCTATGATCAATAGTATGGTTAACAGTGGTTAGTATTGGTTTAATAGTCCCATCCCCCTAAGGTTAGCTTTGTCGGTCAGTTCCCAACACTGTGCATGAACAAAGTCTATGAAAGAGGCTTACAAAAAACCCACGCCCAACGCCGACAAAAATCTTATTAAGCCCCTCTTTTGATCCCTAGGAATCCTTAAACATTACTTAAGTTTAACAAATCCCTATTTGATCCCTAGTAGTCTTTATTAAACATTATTAAACATTATTAAACATTATTAACCCTTGATAAGAGGTACGAAAAAAACATGAATCAGTGGATATCAGTGGTGCTTGTTGCGGATCCCTGGTGAGTCACGACAGTTACGACCAGGTCCACAGCGCGGCGTTTTCGTTGCTGGGCACGGCTCTCAGTGACGACAATGGATGTACCTTTTACACGAATAGATTAAGTTGTAGCTTTGATAATCCAAAGATCTTGGAGGTACTTATATAATCATATATTAATATATTATGTATAATGTAATATAATATAATGTAATATAATATAATATAATCTAATTATAATATAATAATGATATTTATAATAATATTAATAATCATAACAATAATAAATTGAACAACAATAATAACAATAGATAGTGATCCGCTGATCTACTTGATTCAATGGATGTGATCATGTGATTCCTGTGCAAAAAGATCCTGAAATCTATGGAGATTGGACCCGCCCCCAGGTGGCTCGGGCATCGGCTTTGCCGATGGAGGTGTGCCTGGGGGTACTCCTGCAGCAAACGTTATGAAGTTAGTATATAATCAACATGAATCAACCCATGGGGAGGATATATAGCTCATGAGAATGATGAGAAAAGTTGTGATTAAGCATGATCACTAGCTGATTAGGACCATATTATAGTTCTTCCTCCACTACATGGATGATTGTGGTGAAAAGCCAATGGCGTGGGTCATGAATCTGGACATTGACAATCATTGACACATGGTATATATATATACATTTTTTAGGGATACTGGCACAGCATGTCCATGGCTCAACGGATCCACCGCTAGGTATGTCAGAGTCAACAGAGTTCTCGGGAGGGTGGACTTTCTTGGGCTGAGTGTTGAAAGATGTTGAAATATGTTTTAAGATTTTTGGTTCAGCATTTGGATGGTGCAAGGGGTCTTTTCTGTAAACTTAGCAAAATGTCAGGATACTCAAACTGATTGGAGTGGACGGGATCTCTTGAGTTTTGGAAGCTTTCTTCGGAATCCCAGTTCTCAGAAAGATGTGTGCCATGGTCAACATATCAAAAATATCAAAATAGGCTTTCTTTTCCCATTGAAGGAATCCCTCATTCCCAACTGATCTCGGTTTTTTTTCCCTACCCATCAGCATTCCCATGGAGAAAACGTCCGTTGAGTTTGGCTGGATTCCCAGCCACGGATGACCGTTTTTTCGATGCTTTCCATGATCAAAAAATGCTTGTGGTCCCAAGATTCCATGGTATTCAAGCTATCCCACATGATATATTATATGGGAACATTATATATATATAATATATATATATATTATATCCATGGGATATTATACCATATGAATGGATATAATATAATAATATACCATATTTTCATGTTCATATATTATAATTTAATATCCATTCAAATCCATTCCCCATATTTCATGGTGAAACATAGATGAGATGGTGAACAACTGAAACTTGGATGACATTTTTTGACATAATGATGATATACTGGTTGGTGGTTTGGAACCATGGAATTTTATGACGGTTAATCATAAATATATGGTTAATATATGGAATTTTATGACTTTCCCATCATATTGGGAATGTCATAATCCTAACTGACGAACTCCATCATATTTTTTTTTTTCAGAGGGGTAGGCGTACCAACCACCAACCAGTAATGTTCATTAATATCTCATTTCCCATATAATCCGACATTATATTTGTTGTTCATTAATATGCCATTTCCCATATAATCCCAGATGCCATGAAACTTCCATTTGGATCCAATGGATATCGGCCCCAACTTCAGGGCATCACTCCGTGGTGGAGCAAAGTGAGGGGGCGGTTGCTATCTCAGGGCGCGTCCCAGCGGTTGAAACTGTGGATTGTTTTTAGATGTTTATAGGAATATAGGAATACGGGAATCCTAAATGGTGATCTGGACATTGATTTGTTTCTTCCAAAAAGCGTGTTTGCCGTTTCTCTTGTTTAATTCATATATTATTTATACATAGCATATTAAAATTGTTGACTTCCATCCTTTGAGGATGATCCTCAAGAAAAAAGGGATGGTTTCACAATGGGTTCACCGTTTGGTTTTTTCCCCATCACATCCAGATGATCGCTCAGGCAGAGCTCACGGCCGACTTCCTGGATAAGGTTCACTGCTGCGGCTGAATCCGACCTGGGGAAGATGGGGACGTATACGGTGACATATTGTAAATCAAATATGGTAAACCATGGTTTTTCATGGTTTTTTCCATGTGTTTCCATGTTTTTCCATTATTTTTTAACGACATCAACCATGGTTTTATACTGATGGCTTAAGCATTCTATTAAATCAGCGCGATCCCGGTATCATTTGAAGATGAGTAGCAGTCCTGGAACGTCATGATAATATGCAAATGAGATTTGTCTTTGCATTTGGCATCGCAGCTTGAATTGAACAAGTGGAAGGAGCCTGCTATGGCGGCTACAATCAAGCAAGCTTTGAATCTCCACTGGAGGGCAGATAGTCTAGGGTAAAACCTTCCTAGGTTAAACATTCATAGGAATTCGATGGAGTTAGTAATGAGTTCATTTCCAAGTAGCCGCCTCTGAACTAACAAAGAAGTAGAAAACCCATGATTTCTAGATTATATTCCTCGGGAAACCATAGTTTTTTGTTTTTTGTTTTTACCTTTTTTTTGTTGTATGTTGTCCCCCAGGGTACCTAAAGCTTCAAGGCAAACCATGCAGACAAACCGAGGTGCGAGACTCTTCTGACAACTCGACTTTGTTGGGGGCTGGATGCTCAGCGGCGCCCAAGGGTTGGCCATAGGTGGATCATCCCACTTACTACGCTTACTAAGTAGGTGATATCCCCGGTTATTTCTGTGGGATAAGTCGGGTTAATTTGCTTATAATTGGCCATTACATGCCATTACAACCTACTTAGATCTACTTAGGAAGTGGGATGATCCACCAAGTAGCGCAGGTTGATGTTCCTGTTGATGTCATACCCGTAGCATCCCGAAACGCCTCCCGTAGCTGCCAAGGCGGCGACCGAGGGAGGTGTTTCAGTGGTTCACATGCTCTTGCAGCACAAGGCGGCGAAGCCTTGCGATGAGGTGGACACATCTTCCACTATCATCTATAAAGCCTAGTTATCTAGTCAAAGAGCTTCTTTTTATTCGCTTCTTAAGCCGCTCAACATGTTTTTGTTTATATCCATTGAACATCATTGAAGCAGTCAGATATACAGTATATCATGATCTATATGGTAACATCATTATTGATATATATATATATATCAGTGTATTATATATATTTATATATCAGTATATCAGTATTGAACAGTATTAGATCATGATATACTGATCTACCATCAAGCCCTAATGATCTTAGTACGACATCAACTTCGCCACTTTCTGCGCCCAACAAATCAATCACCTGTGAAGAATCGCTGTTTGTCAGATGTCCAGGCCAACCCAAGCGTGTCCGATCGCAAAGGCACGCAGAAATTCAGATAGCTGGTGTGGCTGGTGCTGAAACTTTCCTATTATATATATGGGTATGGGTCAATACCTATAGATACATTTTTAGTGGGATGAACATCCATAAATCCCAGCTATTTTGGGGTTCACGAATGGTACCAGGGTTTTGACCCATCCCCATATATATATATATGAGAGGAGATGGAGTGCTAGGATCATATTTGGATTCCCATTTGGGATCATATCTACATCTCATTGAACAAAAACCTCCTCAAACAACATTGTCATTGAAATAAAAGTTGAGGCCAAACAAATTGCCTCATTGAAAACACATACAACAGTTACATAAGTGTCATTTTGGAACCCTGCAAAGTGCCTAATTCCAAATAAATACATAAGTTCAAACAACCGCCCCAAAACACGGTTGGCGTTGGGATTTGGCGTACTTTATTGTGAGGAGTATCGTAAATCAGATGAGGACCTTATATATTTTATATTTTGATTGCAGCCATGCATCTAGATTTTAATTTAAAATTACGGTAGACATGGTTAGATGATGATAGATGCGTTTACCACTTATCTCACTAAAGTCAATCTGCTAAACTTTTAGAAGGAGATCAACAAACCACCAAGCTCATGTAATACTGTGGGCTGTTGCTTTGCAGCTACCCACTGACAAGTATCTTCCATGTTTCAATCATACCCTCAACCATTCAGTAAGATCTATTTTCAACACCAGTTCCCAAATCTACCCTCTGGTAAACTAACATAGCTATTGAAAATGGCCATAGAAATAGTGGATTTTCCCATGAAAAATGGTGGATTTTTTCCATAGGCTAAACCTTACCCAAAATTCCGCGGCAACCAGGGCAGACGCCGTTGCACAAAGCGGCAGACCATGGCAGTCTGCTCACGTCGCTGATGTTGTTGGACCGGATGCAGGCCATGTCGATGGAAGGTGGACTCCACAAAGCCCATGTCGCGTTCCGAAGACAAAGAACCGCTGATTTTGGTGGCAAATAACATAAATAACAGGTTGTTCATGGTTTTTCTACTTTTTTGGGGGGATAAAGATTGGGATGGGTGGGTTGAACCCACCTCCCAACTGAATTCGATATTATTGGAACCAGCAAATTTCATCATTAATACAACCTTGGATTATCACATATCACATGTGGTTTTTGTTTCACTGCGTAAAGATACAGACAAATGTATTAAGTTACATGTATTTATCCTTCTCTCTATACACATCCTATACACATCCTATTTGCATGAATTTGCATCAGTATAGATTATATATAGAGAAACGTGTTTTTTTTAATCCATGGAGAACATCAATCAGTAGTCGCATAATTTCATTTCTAATGATTCACTTTGTTTGATCATTCACTCCGCATTTGTGATGGTCTAAATCCTGGTTATCCCCATGATATTCCAAGTTATCCCCATGATAATCATGATATTCTCTAATTCTTCTTCCTCCAGAAAACTCACAAAATGTTGCCATCGGTTTCTACTAGACTAGATCCATCATGTTCTGATTTCCTCAGATTTCTCCAGAGTTTTCCATATGTGTTCCATATTTTCCCGTGTTTCTCCATGTTTTTTTCCATATGTTCCAAGCATTTTTCCCATCATTTCCACCCGAGGCCAGCGACCGCTCCGTTTTGCCGCCGGCCAACGGCGACGGCGAGACGCCAGAGATGCTCGCGGCCATAGCGGGGCACGGCGAGCTGTGCCATGCCTTGGAGGCCTGGTTAATGGATGTCATATATATATATATATATATACCCTCTGGTTATTTAACATAGCCATGGAAAATGGCCCATTTATAGATGGTTTACCTAGTAAAAATGGTGATATTCCATGGCTATGTTAAATAACCAGAGGGTATATATAGTGGATATATAGTGGAAATTTCCTTGTTGGGATTAGTGTGAATATATTGTGGATAGTGGATTATATCATGAATGATATCTAATTAATTATTGTGGAATATAGCATATTATTATAGTTGATATAGAATTAGTGGAATATATAGTAATGATTGATAATTATTGTGGATATATATATATATAGCAATCTCACCAAGAATGATACCATCTGGTAAACTAACATAGCTATGGAACATCACCATCTTGAATAGGTAAAACATCTATGGACGGTCCATTATCCATAGCCATGTTATGTAAATTACCAGAGGTTAATCATCAATAATGATGTGGTATAATAATTATATCAACAATGATGTTATGGTAAATCATCAATAATATACCAATAATGATGGTTTACCACTTGTCAATAGTGATATCCAATCAATGATATGATAATCATCAATGATATACCGATATATTTAACATAGCGATATTGTTGTGGGTCAAAAGCCTGGTACAAATGGTACTAAAATAGCGGGTTTTTATGGATGTGAGTTACCCAAAAGATAAGTAGTTTAATAGGTTTTAACCCATCCACGTATACCGATTTTTTTTCACATAGCTATGGTATAGATTGCAAATCTTGGTCCATTTATAGATGGTTTATAACTCGATTTACAGTGGACATATTCCAATATGATGATAATATGTTATAATCATGTGTGCCTCTGCAAGGAGATGCAACTAGCCCCTGTCATACTGGTAGAATCCGATCATCAAATCACAGAATCCCAATTGAAATTACATAGCCCGTATACACCTTATATATGGTAGGTGCCTCCAATAAGTCGGTACCTGAAATGGCCATGGATGATTTAGGTCAATGAAATCCTATGAAATCCCATGGTTTTGTCGTACCTGGCTCTGGAGGTCTTCAAGCAAATGCAAGCCGATGCCCTGTCGCGGCAACTAGGCCCTTTTCGTTGCATGAGAGTCCAGAGTCCGACCACTTGATTTTAGCTGACAATTGCCCTGGAATCGTTTTTTGTTTCCATCACACTTGAGGGGTTTCCGTCATTTGTTTTTTAACCTAGCTGTCAAAAAGAGTGGAATGAAAGCTCGCCGTGTCTCTTTAAGGCTATTATTATTATTATTATGTCACAATGACACATCATAGAAGGGAAAGATACAACATTTTCACAAGGTGAAGAAAGGTTCAGTTTCAGCTTGAGATTGTGTTGATAGGGGAACGTCCCAGAACTGGGAACCCTACAATTAAATCCAATGCTGTCTTTTCAAACACGCACTGTGATTTTGGTCATTTTAGGTGGATTCGGGTCCCAAGACAGTCCACCTCCCAAACCTGTTGAACAGATTTTCTTCTTGATGCTCATCCAAGTAGGTCATGTTGGTATGAATAGCATGTCACAGCATATCACAGGATGTCTCAAACTTGAGAGATTCACCTTAGTTGCTTCACTCATCCAGAATGCAGGTTCAGCTTTGCAAGCTCCAGACCCCTCAGGCTGGGGTCACCAAGGCCCTATTTTTCGAGATCATCCTTTTCCGCCAGCACCCATTTGTCATTGGTTTTCATGGGGAAAAATTAAGGTTTACCATGGTTTACCCTCATATTTCATGGGAACATCCATGGGAACACCCATGGGAAACACCGATTTTCCCAACAGCAGGTCATCGGATATCTACAGGCCGAGAGCTGAGATTTCTCTCTGAGTCGATGAGATGGAAGTACACTAGCAAAAAAAAGCTACAAGTTTTCAGGTGGGTTATGTATATTTACGGAATTTTATGGATATGTTATGTATGTTTATTATTTTTTTATAGATATTGATGGATTGTTTATGGAATGTTATGTATGTATGGTGAATTGCGCGATGTTCAGTAGGAAATTCGTGATTGTTATGATTGTTATGGCACATTTTTTGCATGTCTGTGAGGAATGCAGGCGGGGTCACCTGAGATGAAGCATCTTCCATAAGTTGCCGGAATTTACCTTGTGTCAGTATGGATTATACAATCATATACAAAAAGAATATCTAAAAAACATATAATTATAATATAATATGTATATATATATATTATAATATATTATATATACGTACATATATAAGTTACACATATCTATGGGGAACATGATGGTAATCCTGTGACTTCTTATTGTCACAGCATGTCCTTGCCATTGCCTCTCCAACGCGGAGAGGCGATGCCTTGTCCTTGATCGAGCTCGGTCACGGCAGCGTCAGGGAACCTGCTGCAGATGGGATTGTTTTAATAGGATTTACCCTTTGGTAAACTAACATAGCTATGGAAAATCACCATTTATAATAGGTAAATCAACGATAAATGATCATTTTCAATAGCTATGTAACAAATTACCAGAGGGTAAGAGGGATTATTGGCTAATAAATGGTCAATAGGGATTAAACTATACCAAAACTATAGGATGATAGGAATTTGGTTAATAGGGATTCATATAGGGACTAGTATTGGTTATGAATAGGGATTAGACCACCTATTGGTAATTTAGGGGTTAAAGCAATAAATATATCTTGATTAGTGATAACAGATGATAACAGCTATGTTCAGGTTAGTGGATTATTGTATTTCAGCCAATTTCTTGCGGCTTCTTATCATGTTTTTCAAACAATTCTTAAATGGATTTTTGGCTATGACTTGTGATCGAAACATGCCCAATGGATGATACACATTTCCGAATTTTGTTTTGTTTAATTTAAATGATTTGTTTAATTTAAATGATAATAATGTTTGACACATGAGAATGACAAAATGTTTAAAAAAAAACAGGTGCCCATTTTAAATAATGTCTAGTGGAATCATCATTTTCACTGTTCAAACTGAAATTCAAATGACAATTTTAGAGGGTGTGTTCTTCCACCATGTTTTGGACTTAACCTCCGGCAATCAAACATGGCAATGGAGCCCCCATTGTAGAGATGATTTTCCCATTAAAACCTCCAGTTTTCTTCAAGGCCCATGCTGCAGTTCTGCTGCGGCATTCGTGCATAGGCGTGGCCGGGTTGTGACAGGGTGGCACCATTGCTGGTTCATTAAGGAGCTCAGAAAAGGGCCACTGAATGAAGTGTGCACATCTCCCAGGATTGGTTCAAAGCAAAAACTGCAGTGCAAAGTGCAAACCTATATTTGAATATATTTGAAGGTAAAGACCCGTGTTTCTTGCAGATTTTCCTGAGTTAGGTGGGCATCAGCCCTGGTTTTGTTCATGGTTCAAGTACTGTCGCAAAAGGAATAATGAATCCACAACAACTTTATCAAACATCCAGAAGTGGGTGAGGGTTATCATCGGGTTTACAATAACATTGGTTCTGGTTCTTTCAGTGACTAGACTATGCCCTTCGCGGCCAAAGTTTCGACAAACCAAATCATCCAGCGTTTGCAGAAGGTTCGCAGATGGTGCCTAATCTCTTCCAACGCATTCCTGATGAGCAGGCTGGGATATCACCAAATCGCTGATGAATTCTGGGCGTTTGTGGCCTCCCCAAGAGGGCGCAACTGCCCCAACTGCATCCTAATACTGGGAAAGAGTCAAGACTGGCGTTGTTTCTCATCCCAATCATCAAACTCCCAATGCTTGTGTTTTTTCACGTGTATAAACCCAATCCCTGAAGAACCTCAAACCCTGAAACTCGCAGTTTTCTCATTGCGCACATGTTTTGTCATAGTTTTTCCACCCAAGATGTGGCTTGAAACCTACCAAAACCTAGCGATGACTAGGAAGAGTTGGTGGCAATGGTGGAGAGGCAGGGCAGAGATCTGCGTGTTTCGATGGACTGGTCATGTTTAACGATGTCTCCCTGGGTATTGTTTGACGATGTTTATGTAAGTTCAGATTTGTGGCCGCATACCCCAGTTCCAAAATCTACTTGCTGACATCGACCTGTTCAACCCCTTTTGTGGTCATTGTGAAGCAGAAATCCAGTGAGAAGTGACTTACACCAACCCTCGGGTTGATTTTACAAATCTCCTAAATGGAGAGCGCCACATAGCGCCACGCTGTTGACTGTTGCCAGGGTATGTAATGGCCTTGTTACTGCTGAGAGCTTTCTGATGAGTTTGGCCCTCGAAATGGTGGCTGGTCCAGTGTGTACATTGTACATGTGTAACTATATACTGTATAATATATGTGATATAATATATATATATAGCATAATACTAAATATATATATATGTATTATATATACATTAATTAATATCTATTATCATGCAAATAATCTCTCCTCCCTATTACTGAAACTCCCCCGATAAAAATAGGAGTGGATTGCCACTTTCAGATTTTTTGGGTTGCTCACAATTGGGTTGTCAAGTGTGGTAATTGAAAATCAATAGGAGAACAGGATGGTGAAATAATGGTTTGTACCCCCTGTCAATAAAAATAGAACGAAACCCGTAAGTTTATTATTAGGGTCCCATCAATTCATACTTTTTATTTTTATTTTTAATAAAGGTTTTAATTTCATTATATATTAGGGAAAAGTTTGGAAATCCAATCTTTCCCAATATTTTAAAGGGATGTTCAAAAGGGATTTATTTATTATATATATAATTATATATATATATTTGATTAAGGTTTTTTGTTTTATTATTAGGGGGAAAGCTTCGAAATCCAATTTTTGGCAATATATTAGAAGGATTTTAAACATGGATTTAATTAATTTTGAAATCGTTTTTTATTTTTGTTTTATTATTAGGGGCACCCTAATACTAAATATCCCCTAATGATAAAAATAGATCACCGTGTTTAGTATTTGGGGGGGTGTTTTAGTATTAGGGAGCAGAGATTATAGGTTGAGCTGTAGTGATTGATATGGTATATATACATGTATGACATGTAAATCAATACTCACGTTTTGATTATGTGGATCAATAACCATGTCTAGATTATGCAGAGCATCGCTCTATTCTATGATGTACATTGAGAATGCCAAAAGCTACACCCAGATCATTCATATCCTATACCTACATTTACACAATAATGATTCATTCATGTAGGCACATCTACGGCTGCACCATGGACAGTACAGGACAATGCAGAGACGTTGGGATGAGCCTACCTGTATCAAGCACATCTGGAATATTTGCTTCCACAGGAAACCTCCGTATCCACATCCATCTACAGATAATCCATTATGTTTACCAAAATGTACGGGTAGTTTGAGTATCTAGATATACAAAGGTCCATATCTCAGTACTGTCATATCATATCCATGAATTGTGATCCATCATAACACCAGTTTTTTGTTGGCGCAACCATCCATTTATTACAGTTCTGGTTGATGTTCCCCATATGTTCTACAACGTTTCCACTTGAAGAAAGGCACTTTCTCTGATTATATCCCTACTATTTCTTCCATATAGTTCATATTGTGTTTCCATTTGTTGTGGATATATGTTTCCCGTAGTGTTCCCATCATCTTCCTATATACCGTATATAAGTCTTTATATGTTCCCACCATGTTCCCATCATGTTCTTCCCATCATGTTCGCATCATTTGCCTTGCCCATCATTTATTTTCCAAGGTTTTCTGATGGGAAAATCATTTTCCCATCATTTTCCCATCATTTTCCCATCATTTTCCCCAGGTTTTCTGATGTTCCCCCCCTTCACTGCTGGCATTTTTCATCTCTGCTGAGTCCCAGGTCACGCCTGGGATGCCTCGGATCCGGGGCTCGATCCATCCTTGAGGAGGCGATGACAACTTGGAAGGTGATAGGGGGTTCATCGTTAATAGTAGATTACTAGATGTTAATAGTTAGTGTATGTTAGTGTTAATAGATGTTAATAGATGTTTTAAATCTGAGAGTTGATAGATGTTGATAGTGTTAATTGTTAATGTTAATAGTCAATCATTAATAGAATGTAAATATAATAATGGGAACATGATAGTGAAAATGGGATAATCCTGGGACATCATGGGATGATTATGATGATTATACGTCCTATCAATAGTGGGATAACCCTGGGAACATGATGGTGAATAATAATCTGGAATGGGGAAAAAACATCAAATCAAATTATAATTTTCTATTGGGAGATTAAAACATGTTCAAATTTTAATCCAGCCATTTCCCGAGTGCTGCAATGGATTCCGATAATTATAGTAATAATTCAATTGGAAAATGAACATGATATGTTTTAAATTTGAATCTAACTCAAACTTGATGATGACAAGGATGATGATGGTGGTGATGATTATTGTTATTTTTATATGATAATGGTGAACATTCATGAACTTTGAACAGAACAGATAAACTTGTGTGATGTGTGATTGACAAACATGTAACACATGTCGTTATGTTATTTTTTAAAATCTAAACACCGTAAGTACAACGTTAGCTTGAAGATGTTGGATTGAAAAAATCAGCAAACAGTGGGTCTTCAGCGACAGAGGCGTGGGATTTCAATTGAGGGAAACGACCATGTCAGCAGTTTTGCTATCCGAAAATGTTATCATGTTTTATCTGTTACCTATCCTTGACTTAGTTATTTCCTATGAAATGTGCTTTGGAATTTACATCCTGTACCTATAGAAAATCATGGGATTTTCCAGGGCCCCTGGGGTGCAGTTTGATGATTTGCCTATGGAAAATGGTGCTTGTCCCGTTCGCACACTGTAAGTCATTACCCGAGGGTATCTTACCAATGGATTATTGTTATTCAAGTACATATATTCAAGTAGATTAATTGTCCATTATATCCCAATTCTATGATATCCCGCTTCATTTCCCACTTCATTTCCCACTATATTATCCCATAGTGTATCCTGAAAAACTACCCCTAGCCGAAGCCGCCGAAGCCGCCGTTGCAGTTTCGTGACGACGGCGGAATTGCGCAGTCAGTGGCAAAAGATCCGACAAGAGGTGCCTTTGTGGTGAGAGGTGAAGTCACACGTTGGTGAAGCCTTAAACAAGCATGGTCTGGTGGTTTCAAACATTTTGTTATTTTCCCCAATAGTTGGGATGATATTCCAATCTGACTTATATTTTTCAGGGGGGTTGAAACCACCAACCAGATGGTTTTAGTGGAGATGATTTTTGCAGTTCCCAGGCGCTGCGTGGCAAAGGTGCCGGCTCGGTCTTGGAACTTCTGTGTCGGCTCTGTGATTTAGGCAGAGGTATCGGGGATTTATGGATAAGATAATAGTGGGATATGATGAGATTATAACTACAACCAACTATGTGTTTGTATATAAATATATATATATCAACTATTAACTAAATTACATAATTATAGAATTATACAATGTGATTTTATTATATAAGTTTGTTTGAGAACTGAATGGGTTGTATACGCCACCCGTTAAACGGCCATTGCATAAGAGGGACATGAATGTTTACATGATGATAAACCAGTGGGATGGGTTGAAGCGAACCAGACCAAGACTGAGGCAAACTGTCAACTTCTTGCAGCCGGGCAGCTGCTTTTATCTCAAGCTTGAGCACAACATGACTGGCGACTTGAGGATTCAACAGCCAAACAGTCCTAGTTTGGCCTCCCATATGAAAAAGCCCTGGTGGGGTGTATGTCAGTATGTGGGCTTCCCAACAGTGATTTTGGTCATGTGAGAAGTTATATATTTTAAGTTGATGGTCACCAACAAGTATACAAGTGTATACATTGTAAGTCAATAGTCAACAATAGCATACACTTGTCAAACATTCACTTCCTCCGGCAACCTATCCATACTATGGGTCAGACCGTGGAGACAATCCCTTTTTTTTGGCCACGAGAACTGCCGCCATGAATACCTGGCCAACTGTGACCCCTTTAGCGCCCGCGGCGATTGATGAGGAGTGGTTGAAGCAGTTTCCCCTGAGCGCTAAGGGAAGGCACATTGCCACGCGGACCACCAATTGCACCACTTGCCACGGCTGGGGGAATTGCTCAGGTCAGGTCAATTAAACATGAATTTTCTGCATCATTATCATCATTGGGGGGATGAAGATGGACGAACTGTGAGCGGTTTTGACTATGTGAAGTGATCGGCTCAGTACTGGTCCATCCGATCATGACTGGTTGGTGGTTTGGAACATTTTTTATTTTTCCTAATATATATTGGGAATAATAATCCCAACTGACGAACTCATATTTTTCGGCGTGGCTCAACACCAACCAGATGATGATTCTCAATTACATCCTTTATTTCCAACTGATCAATCCCAGGTGACGCAGAGCGGCGAGAGATTTCGGCTGCGCGGGATCAATTGGTACGGTGCCAGCGATTGCAAACATGTGCCTTGTCAGGCCTTGTAGGAAGATGTTCCAAAATTAACAAACATGGCTGCCTGGGAAATCTCCAAAAAATGATGTTTAAATGTTCCAATGGGAAAATCATGTCAATCCTGGAATAATAAACCCCTAGGCTGTTTAATTGGGGGGGTACCATGTATGTATCACATTGTGACTATTTGGAGGGTACCCCTAATTAATAAACCATGGTTTATTATTCCGGAGTTGACATTAATCTGCAACTGCTCTGAATGAGGATTTTCCAGCAAGCTTTGTGAATCCCAGAGGGTATCGGGGCGATCTTCAGAATCGCGAAAACGATGGTAGTTCTAGGCCCATGACGGAAACTCCACTGGGGTTCAACCTTCGGGGTTAAGAGCTGGGACACTCAGCACATATTGATCTCAATCATTCTCAAATCCATTTCATCCCAACTGATACCTCAACTGAATCCCACAAAAATCGGACCCAGATAAAAATGACGAGGAGCCAACAATGGGTCAACTCATGTCAACTCAACTGCTTTTCCTGAACTGCATCTAGGGAACTGTTTTTGTTTTCCTTAAATCTTTACTACTTAGACATGACTAGAAGTCCATAATCCCTATAGGTTCCTATGGATCCAAAGCCTTCCTGCGGTACTTCACCACCCAAATCATAGCCCCACCGAGGTCGTTGGAGGTCTGGACGTGCAGAGTCTTGAGACGATCTGCTACTGGGCACCGAACATAACGGGGGTGCCACCATGGTGACCTGGCATGAATTCTCTATGATGTATTGGAGTTTTATTAATGGGATATAATTAATGGAATATAATAGAAAGTAACGGAGTATAGCGGGATGTAATGGATTAATATGGATTATATATTTATTAATAGGATATATAGCTAGCAGTTAGTAGGATGTAATATGATATACCAGTAGTGGGATATAATGGGCTTAATAGGATATAATGGCATGCACGGGATATAATGGGATATTTTAATGGGGTGTAGAAGCAGCAATATGACCATTGGAGTTGCTTTTGTTTTTCTGGAATTGGCTAAAGTTATATAATAGGCTATAATAGGCCTTACAATTTGCAGGACGCCCCACTATTTCAAGGTAAAGGCATGGTCTCACTGCATTTTGATAGGGCATGATGGAATCATAGCCTGAATGTATCTATGAACCAGGGGAACGAAGGGACCAGATATAGTAAGGCTGGTTAAACGACAAATCCAGGAATGTGGGCAATTGTGGGCAGTACCAATCCAGCCCAATGGTACCATTGTCAATTGTACCCCCCATATCCGAAAATATGTGAGTAAGCGACAAAATTAGCAGAAAACTAAAGTAGTAAGGAGTGGACATGGGATGTTCAAATTTGTGACCTTCACAACCGATAGGGGACCACCCACTTTGGCAATGTCCATTACTCGTAGTACTTTTGCCACTCAAATCACCTGCGAGCGGGTTGAGTCCACGATTACCCTCTGGTAAACTGCTCCGTAACTATGGAAAATCACCATGCTATTAGTGTATTAGTGGGTAAATCATGGTAAATCCACGATTTCTATGGCCATGTTCAATAGCAAACTGTTAGTCATTACCAGGGGCGGGTCAGCCGACCATGTCGTCCGGTGCGGATGGCTCCAATGGTCTGACGCTTCCTGAGTTGATGGAGATTCAGGTAGGGCAAAGGTCCAAAAAAATGGGGGCATTTCGCCCCAAATGGCCAGAATTCATGGGGAAAATGAGGTGTTATATAGATGGTTTTAGAATGTTTTAGACCATTGGATGTTGGCGTTTTCCCATGTTTTTTCCAACAAAGAACAAGCCTCATGTGGTTTTAAACCACTTTCTCGGGTTGTCCAATTTCCCCAGGTGCTGTGCTTGACTGGTGAAGGCGTGACATTGAAGGTTCCCAGCTCCATCATGGCCCATGAGCTGCGACGGATGGTCTTGGAAAAACTTCCAACGAAGAAAGGCGCAAAGCTCGTCCTGCACCATCTGCACTCGAAGCTGCTGCTGGGCCAAAGCCTGCAAGAACAAGGGATTCTGGGTGAAACTGCGACGTTGTCCTGCACCTATGATCCTTGGAAGCGAAAGGTGTTTTTTTTGTTTTTTCCAATGTGTTTTGCATGTTGTCCAAAAACATGTGGAATCGACATGCGAATGTTGCTCCAAAAATCCCAGGATCCATTGAATCTCTACGCTGCATGGCAGTTTGCCCGCTTCTCAGACTTCTCAGACGACCACTTCTCGGAGCAGGATTTGGTGTTGGAGGGAGTTACACATCTTAGCGGTGCAACATCTTCTCAGTTTTTATATCATCTGCCCCAGACCCTTCAAAGTTTGACTTTCGGTCGTTGGTTCAACCATAGTTTAGAATCTGTGACCTTACCAAGCAGTCTTCAAGATTTGACTTTTGGTGCTGAATACAACCAGAGCTTGGAGCGTGTGTCGCTACCACAAAACCTTCAAAACTTATTTTTGGGCGACGCCTTCCACCAGAGCCTGGATCGGGTCATGTTGCCTGACAAGCTTCAACACTTGACATTTGGTCGCCGGTTCAACTGGAGTTTGGAAGGCGTCACTCTTCCATGCAGTCTTCACAGTTTGACCTTTGGTCTTGCATTCAATCAGAGTTTGGTACCTTTGACTTTACCAAGTAGTCTTCGAAACTTGACATTTGGTGACAACTTCAATCAAAGCTTGGAGTCTGTCACCCTGCCCTGCAATCTTCAGAGCTTAACATTTGGGGAAATGTTTAATCAGAGCCTTGACAAGACAAGTTTTCCAACCGCTCTTCAGACTCTTACCTTCGGTCATAGGTTTAATCAGAGCCTCGAAAGCGTGATGTTTCCAGTCAAACTTCAAAACTTGACACTTGGCGGTGTATTCAATCAGAGCTTGGATCAAGTGTCTTTTCCCACCGGCCTTCAGACTTTGACATTTGGGGGCTCCTTCAACCGAAGTCTGGTAATGGTGAAGTTCCCAGTGAATCTTCAGAGTTTGACTTTTCGAGGCGGCTTCAACCAGAGCTTGAAATCTGTCACTCTGCCCAGCTGTCTTCAAGAATTGACATTTGGAAGCGGCTTCAACCAGAGTCTTGATGGCGTGGCTTTGCCAAGCAGTCTTCGAAGCTTGACTTTTAAGGGCGGCTTCAACCAGAACCTGGATCGAGTGACTTTCCCCACGAACCTTCAAAGCCTGACTTTTGGCATTGCATTCAACCAAAGCTTGGATCGTGTGACATTGCCAAGCAGTCTTCTGGATTTGACATTTGATGTTGCGCTTAACCAGAACCTGGAAGAGGTGACATTGCCAAGCAGGCTTCAAAACTTGACCTTTGGCACTGGCTTCAACAAGAACTTGGAGCATGTGATGTGGCCAAACACCCTTCAAAGCTTGACATTTGGTTATGAGTTTAACCAAAGCCTGGAAAGTGTGACATTTCCAGCCACTCTTCAGAGCATGACTTTTGGTGGTGGATTCAGCCTCAGCCTTGACCGAGTGACCTTCCCCAGCAGTCTTCGAAGCTTGACTTTTCAGGGCAGATTCAACCAGAGCTTGGACCGTGTGACCTTTCCCACCAGTCTTCAAAGCCTGACCTTTGGAAGCGGCTTCAACCAAAGTCTGGAAAAGGTGACATTTCCAAGTAATCTTCAAAGCTTAACTTTTGAGTTTGGATTCAACCAACGCTTGGACAATGTGACCTGGCCAAGCAGTCTTCAAAGCTTGACTTTCGGGCACGCGTTCAATCAAAGCTTGGAGGGGGTGACGTTGCCAAGCGCTCTTCGACATTTGACATTTGGCACAAAGTTCAACCGGAGCTTGCAGGATTTCACCTTCCCAAGCAATCTTCAAAGCCTGACGTTTGGAAAAGAGTTTAATCAACCTTTGGCGTGTGTCACTTTCCCAGAGAACCTTCAGAGCTTGAGTTTTTGCGATCAGTTCAGCCAGGCTTTGGACCACGTGCCGCTGCCCAATACTTTGCAAAGCCTGAAGTTACGGGGCATCTTGGTGAGCTGCGTTTGACAAAATGCTGCCAAAATGGCGCCCACTGCCCCAATGGTGGACCCCCAACAAAAATCTCCACAAAGCATCCCGAAAAGATGCGTTCAATTTTGGAGGTTCCATTTTGTTTGAATCAACATAGATCAACATTTTGGTTTGAGAATCGTTCCCAACAATTTTGGATTTTGAATCATTCCCGCACTGAAGGTTCCAGCATCACCACGATGGGTTTCAACACTGTGACTGGGCTGTTGCGAACCGTGGATGGCTTCCTCAGCTAGGAGAGTATAGTGTGGAAGGCTGTGGCGTTTTTTTGGGTAAACATTTGGGGTTCTAAACTTATTGGAAAAATAGGAGCACCCCCAAATCATCCAAGCCATTAGACCATTTTAGTATTGAAACTTAAACATATGGTTTTGGGATGTTTTAGGGATCCCCCATTTTAATACGCCCCCATTGGTCTAAGTCGTTTTGACCAGATACACTTTCGATGGTTTTCGCCCAGGTTGGCAGCATTTGGCTGTCGGAGTTTTAGACATGTTTCTTATAGGAAGAAGATGAAGTCGGAAGAACACAATGAGGTTTAGTTCCAGGATACAGCGGGCAAACACATGCAAAAACCATCTATAGAATTCGATGATATATAAATTTCATTTTTGTACATATTTAACCAACAATCATGGGTAGTTGGTGGTTTCATGTCTTTTTTGAGATGATCCCTTTAGATGGCAGTTGTAATTGGGGAAAGTGAAGCCCCTGTTTGGAGCTGTAGGGAATGGCATATCGATATCGGCTATTGGGGATATATTGATGAATATTTTTTTTGCGAGAGTGTGACCAAATAGGGACCCCAAATTTCCACGTAAAATAGGCATTTTTTTGACAGTTTATGTTGTTTATATCTATAGTCTCATGTTTGTATGTGTCTTTTGTATTTCATTTTATTTGCTTTGTTTCTCCTACAGTACTCTTCAACTATTTGCTGCTATTTAGTTCTTATTGTATTTGATTCTATAAATTGCATATGGAACAGGATAGTAGAGGTGGAGTTATGCTCCCAATCCTCCATACAGATGCTGATTTTGTAAAGTGCATATAGAACAGTATAGTAGGGATAGAGTTATGATCCAAGTCCTCCATATAGATTTTGATTATGTAAAGTGTGTATAATATTGTATAATATATACTGTATATATTATATATAACAGTATAGTAGGGCTACTTTTAGTATTCTTTTGTTTCTTTCTGGGGATCTCTAGGGATCTCTGGGTATCTCTAGGGGAATCTCTTGGGATCTCCAGGGCTCACCAACTCTGGGGATCCCGGGACATCTCTTATATCTATGGAGATGTTAGGAATCACCCTGAGAGAAGTTGGAGTTTTGGAGGAGGGAGGAGCCCAAAAGAAATAAACATATATAGTAATTATGTATGTATGCATGTACCTCCGTCCCGGGTGTAAAGATGTTGCTGAAGTTGTTTCTCTATAGTCTATAGTGTTTGGGCTTAAGCTCATGCTGTGTAGTGGTTGCCGGAATTTCATTGGCAACCCTTGCGCCAGCTGCCGTACTCTCTCACGGCTGCATTTCCTGCTGGAGAGGAACCAGCTGCCTGCAGCCTGTGAGGGGCGGGTCGTCAGCGCCCTGCGCGTGGCAGCTGGCGAGCTCTGCGACGTGGTAGAGCAGCAGGGCATCTTCAGGCCGCTGCCCCCGGCACCGAGGGTAGGAGCCCTTGACGCTGAGGCGAAAGGAAGTCCAGAAGGAGAGAGATTGGAGGAGAAGGCCGCCAAAGAAAAGAAGGAGGACAGCAAAAAGACCGCCAAGGAATCCAAGAAGGAGAAGAAGAGGAAGTCAGAAGCGGGAGTGGAGGAGACTCCTGTCAAAGGCAAGGAAGGGGAGGTAGGAGACGAGCCTACCGCAGAGGCTATCCGCACCGCGAAGGCAACGCCTTTGATCGGAAAAGAGAGGAAGGAGAAGACGGACCAGGAGGAAGTGGATCACTACGTCGCGACGCACCCAGAACGATTTGGGTTGGGGTCACTCTCCATCAGAGGAAGCGCTGCCAAGCACTTCAAGGAGAACGACGCAAGGAGGGACGAAAGGCCACCAGAGCCATCCAGGCCACCCCCGTCAAGTGACGCAACAGGGGCGCCTGAAGACAGAACTGAGAGGAGACAGAGGCAGAGATCCAGGTCTAAGAAGAGAAAGAAGTCGAAGGGTGAGAGACACCGTATCCGAGGACGAGAGTTCTGGCGACGTGCCAAGGAGCAGGAGAAATGGGGCCAAAGGCAAAAGCCAAGGCGAAGGCCGGACCCAAGGGGACGGCAAGGTTGAGTGCGATGAAGGCGGGAGTCAAGGCCAGGGCCGCTCCTGGGAGGAAGAGGCCGGCCGGGACCGTGGGAGCCCCCATGAAGAGTCCCCGCACCACCGGAAGAGGAGATATAGCAGAAGAGGCAGAGAAAAGATGGGCAGCCGGGTACAGTGTGTTCCTGAGGCACGTAGACCCTCGAGAGTACGAGAAAGCCGGCGGCCTGGTAGTGCTGGAGGGGAGGTACTATCACCGCAGTGTGACTCTAGCTGGTCAGGTCGTGAGCGTGACCATGGCTGGTGGGGCCGTGCACTTGAAGCTGAGTTTGACAGGCACTGGGGACGAGGAACTCCTCAAACTCCACACTGGGAACCCTGGCTGGCTGATGAGGGGCCACATTTGTGGGCAGGATTGCAACCAAGAGGAGGCAGCGGAGGATCTGGTGCATCTCCAGGTGGGTCGAAAGATGAAAGGACCAGGGGAGGATGCGCCCTGGGTGACCAACTTGGAGAAGCCGAGAGACGGAGGAGAGGACGAGCTAGCTCTCTTGCGTGCCCGGGCAGGCGCAGATCCCCCGGGTCGAGAGGCAGGCGTAGAAGGAGGAGCCCGACCACATCAGAAGACAGGAGAAGACGGCGGCGCACAGAAAAAGAAGAAAAAGAAAAGAGACAAGAAGTCCAAGAAGAGAAGAAAGAGAGCCAGCGAGGAGGAGAAGGACGCCTCTTCAGACGAGGAGATACGCCTGGATGGAACCAGACCCCGTCAGGCCAATCAGAAAAAGGCAAGGATGCTCTTTGCTGGGACGGGGCTGGACCCTCGAGACAAAGTGAGAAACCGTGTGGCGAGGAGAGCTCGCAAGCACATGAAGAAGAAAGCAGAGAAGAATTCCTCCAGTGCCAGCGGGAGCGAGACGCAGAGCAGCTCCTCTGTGGACGGAGACGAGGTCGAGGAGACGTTGTTCGACCAAGGGTCGAAAGTGAGGGGCCTGGCCGAGTACCATCCAGGTGCATTGGCGAGTCAGGCGTTGAGGGTGATGAGATCGTCTCTGTTGCAGGAGATAGGGACGGAGGACCGCCCCAACACCCTCCCGGCTGTGGCAGTGGCCTATTTCCGCCAGCACCTCAACCGAAAGGCCCAGGGACCCACAGCCCGAGAGCTGATGACACTGTGTCACGCAGTAGACCAGCTCTTGAAGGCTCGACCAGCCAGTGCGATGGATTGCATGATCCAGCGTATAAAGTCCATCGAACAGACGATGGCAGGCAGCCACTGGTCGGTGAGCCAGCGGCAGGAGGTCCTACCGGCGGACACAGTCACGTTGACCACAGTGCCGGAGGCGACCTCGGCGCAGAAGGAGGTGTACCAGGAGGCCAAGGCCCGATGGTTTGCAGCCTTTCCAGAAGGCCGAGTTCCGAAGGGCGGCAAAGGAGCGGGCAAAGCCAAGTCAGAAGGGAAAGACAAGAGCGGAGGAGGCGCAGACAAGGAGAGAAAAGGAGGGAAAGGCGGCAACAAAGCGGAGGCGAACAAAAAGAAAGAGAGCTGAGGAGACTGGAGGAGAAAAGAGCGGGCGTAGCAGCGCCTGATGCGGGGGTTAATGCCCCTGATAAGGAAGGAGAGAGCACCAATGAGATAGAAGAAAGGGCCTATGAAAGAGGGATGGAAATGGCCTCTTGGTCCCTGTTTGAACCAGGTGCCGAGCGGGAGCGTGGGACCCTTCCCCATGATTATAACCTTCCGCTTGAAGCAATGCAAGGGAGCCCGGCGAAGTCTGGTGCTGATCGAATTCATTCACCGGAAGGGGAACGCGATGGACCATTTGGCCCCACTTTTTCGTCAGCAGCCTTCGAGATGACGCGCTGTGACGCAGTGAGCGCCCCGGCGAAAATAGATGCGTCTGTGAGCCCTGGAAGGAAAACTATGGGTGATTTAGGTCGGTTTTTACTTCAAAAACTCCTGGAAGTTTGTCCACTTCGCAGCCAGCCCAGGGGTAAAGGAACAAACAAGGCTCTTTTTCCTTTGCCTACTTCCCGTGAGTTAATTTTGGAGTTGAAACCCGACCTCAGCGTGGCTGAGATTGATTGGGTCGTTTGTGTTTGCTTGTCTCTCAATTCATTGTGGGGGTGTAACGTGGCTTACCGCGATCCACCAAATGCTGTTCAGAAGAGATGTCTTTTGGAGCTGGTTACCATGGTAGGTTATTTCTGTCAAATGGAGACGCCCATGGAACATGTAAACTGGGATGACTACTTCAAGGTCAAAGGGGTTGACTACAAAGGAGATGAAGTCAAAGTAGGCCGATGGTTTGACTGGAGTAACATTGCTCCTGCACTCCCGGCCGAAGTTGGCAGGGTCCCCCTCGAAGAAGTCTGCAGTTTGGGGTGCAAGCATTATGTTCTCAATTTCGATGATTTTCTCAAGCCTCCTGATGAATGGCACGCGGTGCGGGCACCGAGAGTCATGGTGGATGACTCTTCGTGGAGTGCGGTTTGCACTGGGCTCGTGTCATCGGGGGTGTGTACTTGGCTTGAAGAATCTGAGGTTTTTCATGTGCACGACACCCCCTTGTTAAATGGGCTCTTCGGGGTGAGCAAAGAAGAATGGACGGACGAGGGGGTGGAGATCTTCCGCTTGATCATGAATTTGATTCCCTTGAATGCCCTGTGTCGACCCATTTCGGGGGATGTCGAAACACTTCCATCATGGGGAATGATGTCACCTTTCTTCCTTCAACCAGGGGAGCGGTTGGTGATTAGTTCTGAGGATGTGAAGTGTTTCTTCTACACAATGAGGGTTCCTTGTTGTTGGGTCAAGTTCCTCGCTTTCAACAAGATTGTCCCGGATGACGTGTTACCTCGCTCTTTGAAAGGTAAAAGGGTCTACCTCGCTTCTACTGTATTGCCGATGGGGTTCTTGAATAGCGTCAGCTTGGCCCAACATGTGCACCGCAACCTGGTGGCCTGGTCACGGGGTGATTTCCCTGAGGCGGCGGGGGAATACAACGCCCCTGAGCAAGAACTTCGCAAAGACCGGGGTTTTACGTTGAGCAGTAGAGCATGGAGGGTTTACCTGGATAACTATGACCTTCTTGAAAAGGTCGAGGCCACTGCCTTTGCCCAGTTAGAGGGTACGGTGGCTCCAGGAGCCCTAGCTTTGCGCCATGAGTATGAGCACTGGGAGGTGCCGCGCAACTTGAAGAAAGCTGTGCAACGTTCTTCTAAATGCGAGATGCAAGGGGCCACGGTAGACGGTGATTTGGGGGTGGCTTATCCTCGAGAGGCGAAGTTGGCCAAGTACTTTGCCCTGGCGCTACGGCTCGCCAATGCAAGAAAGGGCACTCGGAAACAATGGCAGGTGGTGTGCGGAGGTTTGGTATATGTCAGTATGTTCCGAAGACCGCTCTTGGGGAGCCTTAACAGTGTTTGGCGCCATATCGAGAGCTTTCGGGATGTACCTGATGAAGTGAAAATCACCCCACTTGACTGCCGATTGGAAATCCTGCGCTTCTTGGGAATGCTGCCACTGGCACGGATGGACTTCCGGCTTGGGGTCCACCCGATTGTCACCTGCAGTGATGCTTCAACCACGGGAGGCGGGATCTGTGCATCCTGGACCACCACCGCCGTTGGCGCAAGCATTGCAGCTGGAGACATGCGGGGAGAAGTCCCTGAGGCTCGCATTGAAGGTGGAATTTTGGCGATTGGCTTGTTCGATGGCATCGGGGCGCTGAGGGTGGCCCTGGAGTTGGTCAATATCCCTGTGGTAGGCTATGTCTCCGTGGAGAGACACGAGCCTGCCCGACGTGTCGTGGAAGCCAACTATCCCAACGTAGTCCACTACCATGATGTAAAGGAGATTGGTGACAAGGAGGTCAGGGACTGGGTATCCAAGTTCTCACAGGTAAGCCTGGTCCTCATTGGGGCGGGCCCGCCCTGTCAAGGGGTGAGTGGGCTTAACGCGGATAGGAAAGGCGCCTTGAAAGACGAGCGATCGTGCTTGTTCTCCGAGGTGCCCCGTATCCGTGACGCTGTCAAGGAGGGGTTCAATTGGTGTCCTGTGTATGTCCTGATGGAGTCTGTCGCATCTATGGACAAACAAGACCGTGAAGTGATGTCAGAAGGGATCGATGCGGAGCCCATCAGGTGTGACGCGGGGACCTTGACGTGGTGCCACAGGCCTCGCCTATACTGGTGTGACTGGGAAATTCTGGAGGGAGAGGGGTATACAGTCAAACCTGGCTCGCCGGCTGGACCTCGAGAGCTGGTTCTAGATGGGTGTCAGGATCCGCATGAAGTCATCCGAGGCGGTTGGATCAAAGTCGCGCCTGAAAAGGCCTTTCCAACCTTCACTACGGCCAGGCCCAGGTCAAGCCCAGGGCGAAAGCCGGCGGGAGTGCAGCAGTGCTCCTCGGAGGAGTTGGAACGCTGGAGGCAGGACCAGTACCGGTTTCCGCCCTATCAGTACTGTGTCTCGAACTGCCTTGTCAACAAACACGGTGTCTATCGTATCCCGGATGTCTCTGAAAGGGAACTCATGCTGGGGTTTCCTCTCAACTATACGGCTGGATGTTTTCCAAAGACAAAAAGGAAAGGTGAAGTCTATGTGGACTGCAGATTGACATTGTTGGGGATCAGTTGGAGCGTGGTGGTGGTGAGCTGCCTGTTGAGCCAGCTCTTCGCTCGCTTGGGATTTATTCCTTGGCGTACCCCTCAGGAGATTTTGGATCGGAGTGCATCCGGCGGTTGCCCTACAGCCCAGGGGCGACTGGTGAGGATGCCCCTGAATCCCCTCCGGGGTATCCCTCGAGACGCTTCAAAGGAGCTCGCGACCAAGTTGTGCAGCCTTATCTCGCTCAAGGGCGAAGATATCCTGCTTACGACCCCCACGTCACAGTTGCCTCGATTCCACCGTCTGAGAGCAACTATACCAGCCCGATGTTGGAGGTGGCGTGTCGTAGCAGGGTGGCGCTGGCAACATGCTGGTGATCACATAAACTGCTTGGAGCTCAGAGCGATCCTCACCACGTTGAAATGGAGGTTGGAACACGCAGGTCATTTCAAAACCCGGTTGATCCACTTGACGGACAGCTTGGTCTGTCTTCATGCTCTCAGCCGTGGGCGTAGCAGCTCACGAAAGCTGAGACGAACTATGTCGCGCATCAATTCGCTCATCTTAGCCTCTGGAATCCACCCCATGTGGGGGTATGTGCACACGGACCAAAATCCTGCCGACAAGCCCAGTCGATGGGGCAGGCAGGTGAAGACAAAGTTCCGGAATGCCAAAGCGCAAAATCCTTGAGGGTGCGGAGGCAAGTGAGCGTGCGCGACAGCGACAACAACTGGGACATCTGCGTGCTTTGACTGTTCAACCAGCCACCAGACAAAGGTATAGAAAAGCTACTGATTCATTCTTCTCTTTTCTTCGTTGTGAAAAGCTCTCGATCCCTACCAAAAAGGAACAATTTGATCAGCTTTTATGTGAATACCTAGAGCATCTCTGGAGCACTGGTGCAGGACGGGGTCAAGCCAATGATACAGTTGCAGGCCTTCAAGACCTACAACCCAGTCTACGCCATCACTTGCCGGGGTCATGGCGCCTGTTAAAAACTTGGGCCATCAATGAGGTTCCTAATCGGGCGCCACCGCTCCCTGAGCAAGTAGTTCATGCTATGGCTGGTTGGGGGTTTTTCCATGGGCATAACTCTTTCGCTGTTTCATTGCTCATTGGCTTCTACACCATGCTACGCTCTGGTGAGCTTTTGGGTTTGCTCTCTTCTCATATTCTCTGTGCCCCTTCTGACCGGCAAGTGTTGATTTCTTTAGGATTGACCAAAAGTGGTAAGAGGCAGGGCGCAGCTGAATCGGTCATTTTAGGGATTGAAGCTGGTGTTCGACTCACCCAGCATTGGAAAAAGCTGGCCAGATCCAGCAGCCCGATGGCATCTTCGCCATTGAAGTGGCGAGCTCTTTTTTCAGAAAGTCTGAAGTCTCTAGGACTCACGCAGTATAATTTTCGACCCTATTCCCTCAGAAGAGGTGGTGCCACCTTTTGGTTCCAGAAGCACCAAAATTTAGACCGTATACTCGTACAGGGGCGCTGGCTGGCCCACCGTACAGCACGTGTATATATCAATGAAGGATTGGCCTTGATGGCTAAGACTCAAATCGACTTTAAGCATCCAAGAATTCGATCTTTCTTACAAGTGTACCAAAATACGGTCACAAATCCACGCTTCTCCACACTTGAGCCTCCAGCAAAAGCTGGAAGTGCTGGGGGACGTGGAAAGAAACAGGGAGGCAAGGGACGCAAGCGTGTCAAAATGCATTTTGCCGGTGCTATTTCTCAGGGGTGTCTACTATTTTCAACATGGCAAGAAACCAGGAGGTGTGGCTCGGTTTCCTTGTCAGTGAAATGGGGCATAACTCATTCACCCTGGGTGTGGCCGGGTGTTATGAGAGGAACCTGCCGGGGAGCTGGCTAGTAGACCACCCCTGTTCAGTTTTACCTGGTTTTTATTTATATTAAACTTGACAAACTTGCTGCGAAGTGGAGAAAACAACGGCACAGCTGTTCATCTTTGTACCTCCGTCCCGGGTGTAAAGATGTTGCTGAAGTTGTTTCTCTATAGTGTTTGGGCTTAAGCTCCCGAACCCTCCCCCCCCGAGAGTTTTAGCTCTTGGAAAGAAACAGGGAGGCAAGGGACGCAAGCGTGTCAAAATGCATTTTGCCGGTGCTATTTCTCAGGGGTGTCTACTATTTTCAACATGGCAAGAAACCAGGAGGTGTGGCTCGGTTTCCTTGTCAGTGAAATGGGGCATAACTCATTCACCCTGGGTGTGGCCGGGTGTTATGAGAGGAACCTGCCGGGGAGCTGGCTAGTAGACCACCCCTGTTCAGTTTTACCTGGTTTTTATTTATATTAAACTTGACAAACTTGCTGCGAAGTGGAGAAAACAACGGCACAGCTGTTCATCTTTATATATATATATATATACATGGAGGGAAGGGGGGTCGAAAAAAAAAACGATCCCCCCTCTCCAGGCTATGTACTACATTTAGTATTGGTTCTATTTTTTTTACTCTAGATCTTTAGGGATCCCTAGAGATTTGATCTCCAGGAATCACCGAGGATCCTCAGGGATTCCTGGGAATCTAATCTCTGGTGATCTCCTGAGATCTCTAGGGATCTCCAGTCTGTCTCTGGAGAGTCTCTGGAGATCTCTGGGGATCTCCGGGGATCTCTTGGGATGTCCAGTGATCCATGAAAGACTATGTCTACATAGATCTCCGAAGATCTCTGGGCATCTATGGAGATATAAGGAATCACCCTGAGAGAAAAACAAAGTAGAACAGAAGAATGACCTTTGTCACTACAAATCTTAACACAGAAATCATAACATTATGCTTGAATGGTTTGCAGTGTGTGTGTGTAAGATTCTACATGTTGATCTTTACATGATACAAAGGAACGTGTTCAAGGTCTATAGAATGGATGATCAAATATGATATACGTCAGAAACACTGCATTTTCAGAACCGTGGCAAAAGGGGGCCCTATTGGGTCATTTTCTCTTTTTTAAATGGGGATTCAATGGCAAAGAATTGTTGCCGGAGGCCAATTAGCTTAGTCTCCCGGTGTTCATCCAACATTTTCAGAACAAATGGATTTTCCCAACCTTTTTCAGGCAAATCTCCTAACATTTTCCCAACATTTTCCCAACATTTTCCCAACATTTTCCCAACATGTTCCCAACATTTTCCCAACATTTTCCCAACATTTTCCCAACATGTTCCCAACATGTTCCCAACATTTTCCCAACATTGTGATTTGAAATCTCTCTGTCCAAGGTGAGATTGCCCTTCTCCAACGAGATGCTGCGGAGCTCATTGTTACCAGGTCCAAAGGGTAACGCGACGACAAGCCGTGGAGATTGAGATGGCTATAACATGGAAATGTACTACGGATGGGTATAACATGGGTATCGATGTGTATCTCCCAATAATTCCCATAACACGAATCATTTGGAAATTAAACCAACCATATTTTTCGGGAATTTATTGGGATATACTGGGATAAAATGCCATATAATGGGATCAAAAATTACTTATCATATGGGTTATATCATGTGGTACACCCAACACAACAGCCGAACAAATTTTGCCAAGGAAGGGTGGCAATAAATTGTGTTTGCCATAGGTTGCCACACTACAAAAGAGAATCCCTTGCATCTTCAGTGAATCGTGAAGATGCAAATATACAAATTACCCTCTGGTAATTTAACGTAGCTATTGGAAATGGCCATAGAAATAGTTGATTTACCCATTAAAAATGGTGATTTTCCATAGCTATGTTAGTTTACCAGAGGGTAAACACTGTGATCCAAATGTATCCATATCTACAAAGGATCCCACCGTGGGATTCAAGGTGCGTCACTCGATGCATGGCCAAGCTTCTTTGAATCGATGGGGAGTTCTAGTGTCCCTTATTGATCCCTACCCAATCCGAAGGTGAAGTAGATATATCCAGTTGCAAAACACAGCATCACTCAGTATGATCAGCGTCTCGCACATGTCAGGCAGTATCGACTTCACGAAGAATCCATCCTTGCAGAGTTGTGCTTCTCCGTTGGAAGTTTTTGACGCTGTTATCAAAGCCCTGGGTCAGCACAAGCTGGTGGTGGTGATCAACAATCACACCAGTTGCTCGTCTGCCGAGATACAAAAAGACGTGCAATCACATACTGTATATGGATTGTTTTTTTTCATATACCTCACTTTGACATATACTTTGTACATCTTTTTACGATTTGTAGGGAACCCCGACTTGAGAATGACTAGGCTCCAGTAAACATCAGTAAACTTTCCGACTTCCCAAGTCACTGAGGTCATGGAGAGTGGTGTGGTGGACCTGACCGCAATGGCCTTTGGTATGATCCTGGGAGCGAGATCTATACCGAGGTGCGGGACACGATGGGATTTTCAGTATGATTTTGCCTATGAAAGTGTGATTTTGAAGGGGAAATTGATGATGAACTCATGGATGGAAAATGGGGTGCACGATTTTCAGAAAGGCATCCTGATATTTTGGGCCCCTGCCCTCTTGCGGAGGTTACAAAATCGTCCGAAGTATATCTTGAGTTATTGGTCATTTTTTTGCCAGTACCCTTATTTTTTTGGCAGCATCCAAGCACCCATATATCCAAATTCTTACTGTATCCAACTGGAAATCGCTTGGCAGAGCGTTTCGTCCACAAATCTTGGCTGGTGTGTTGTATTGTGTTGGGTCCCAGTTGAAATCATAAATCCATAGCTGAGCTACAGAATGAACCAGCTCTGCCAGGACCAGTGGATTGAAGATTGGGCCATGTTGGCGCGACGTTACCAAAATTGGCCTCACGTAGGTGGTTTTGACCTCCGAAACGAGGTGGGAGGGGGCCGTCACACTCGGGGGCCGGAAACCGCTCGGCAGTTTCCTCCAGGGTTGAGTCTTTGATCAGGCGCAAACACCATAGGGATCTTATTCATACCTCTTCCAACTTGTCACAAGGCATTTGCAGCCTCATCCATGGTGATGGCAACGCCAAACATGTGGGTGTTTCCCCACGATGTTTCATGCCCACATTGAAGAACTCCAATTCTCATAGAATGATTCCCATTTCAACATGATTCAATATCATTTTGTTCCTGGGCAGCAACACTATTATGCAACAAGTACCCGTCATCAATTTTGGGGAAACCATCACAACACCCTTGTCAACTTTCCTGCTTGGCTGTGCAAGGGGAGATACTCAGACTGGTTGGATGAACAGGTGACTGGTGGAGTCTCACAGAAAAACCATGGCATAATTCAAGAAGAAAATGGTTCTAGAAGAACATCATCAACCTAAAGTGTGCCCATCTATTGTGTGTGTGTGTAACATCTGAATAGATGTAAAACTTCTCTCTTTTTCTTCCTTCTGTCCTCTCCCTTTTTAAACCTAATGCAGGGGGCCAGGAACCCATGACTGTCTGTCCTGGCCAACGAAGACCAGACAGCATGGGGGTGAAAACGTACCTGCGATTTTTTGAACTGTTGAACAAGCTGTTACATTATTTTGCAATCATGCGTTGTTTCGAATCTACACGGTTGCCACAATCTGTATTTTATGCATCAGAACCTTCCTCAGTATTTTCGCCGAGAACCATGTCGCCGACGGTATTTTTGATTATTTGGATTATTTCGCCGACCATGTCGCCGATGTATTTGGATTATTTTGTCACAACCCTCGTCGCCGATGTATTTTTGATGAAGATCGTGGGGGGTGGAAAACTGGGTTTGCTTCAGGATTCAGTTCCTGCCGGATCAGTATAATGATCCATTCTTATATCATATAATGATCCATTTCTTATCTAGTGTGATTTCCATGGTGGCTCCGACATGGTGCCATGGAGCCATTTGAGGCAACCCTCTTTAGGGTGAGTGACGACTGTCCTGACTGCCGAATTATCACATTTTAAGTTGGTAATTTAAGTAAAGTGCACAACTGGCCTTTCCGTTTTGCACCGCTTTCTGATTGTCCCGCTGATCCTGCGGTCCCTTGTGAAACCTCGTGGAATACACCTCTGTGACTGTGAAGCCGTGCTGACATTCAGAAACCTCCGTTTTTGCAGCAACCTTTGCAGCTACATGACATCATTTCAAGACATTGTGAAAAGGCAGGCACACGTCTTTCAGGTGTGGTCTTTTCCTTTTGGTTGTCTGGTGAGGTGAAACATGTTGTGCACCTAATTCGCTGGAACTTGAAAGCCGTTTAAGCCAATTGGGGCAGACTTGACCACGGTCCCGGTGCAGGGAACAATCGCACGACCTTTAGGCATTTAGGGACTGAATCCTGTTTTTAATTAATTGTTTTGGTTTTCCTGTCTGTCATCAACTAGTCCCCCATTTGGTCCCTAATTTCCCCGCGTGCCTCTCCGTAATGTGTCGTGGGGTTTAGGTGTGTGCGCTGTTTTGGTCAGGTCCGTTTCGCCGTGTAGGTTGGTTCCGGAGGTCCGTCTGTTCCCCTCCCCCCCTGCGCTGTTTTTGGCCTTTTGCCCTTCGTGTGTCCGCTTTTTTCTTCCTCTTGCCTTTCAGGGTTGACCCGGCTCTGGCCGGGTGTGTGTGTGTAACATCTGAATAGATGTAAAACTTCTCTCTTTTTCTTCCTTCTGTCCTCTCCCTTTTTAAACCTAATGCAGGGGGCCAGGAACCCATGACTGTCTGTCCTGGCCAACGAAGACCAGACAGCATGGGGGTGAAAACGTACCTGCGATTTTTTGAACTGTTGAACAAGCTGTTACACTGCGTTGTTTCGAATCTACACGGTTGCCACAATCTGTATTGCCTGCATCAGAACCTTCCTCAGTATTTTCGCCGAGATTATGTCGCCGATTGTATTTTCGATTATTTGGATTATTTCGCCGACCATGTCGCCGATGTATTTGGATTATTTTGTCACAACCTCGTCGCCGATGTATTTTTGATGAAGATCGTGGACGTGGAAACTATTCAGGATCAGATTTGCATGTTTCAGGATTCAGTTCCTGCCGGATCATATAATGATCCATTCTTGTCTAGTGTGTGTGTTGGCACACGCACATGTTGTCCGATGTTTTTGACAATGCTCTCCTGAGATGCAACATGCAAGATGACTGGTGCATTGTGAAGATTTGAGGCGCACTTCAGCCTTTGTATTGCATAGCACCATCTTGCTCAAGGCCCAAGGCAAAACCATTGCGGGGAAGACTTTGACGTTCCGCGCCCCCCATGTCGCTTTTGGATTTCGGTGACAAGAAGGATACGTTCAACAATGCCACGGTGACAAGCACCCAGATTGGCATGATTGGCCAGAACTGCCCCAGCTATGGATCCGAAATCGGACGCGTTGACGGCTCTGGGATAGTGAGGAGCACCCAGATTGGCATGATTGGCCAGAACTGCCCCAGCTATGGATCCGAAATCGGACGCGTTGACGGCTCTGGGATAGTGAGGAGCACCCAGATTGGCATGATTGGCCAGAACTGCCCCAGCTATGGATCCGAAATCGGACGGGTTCGACGCTGAGCCTTGATCTATAGTATTGCGGCCATGTAAGCGTGAGCTTTGAGTTCTAGTCAAGGCCTGAGTTGAATTGATGACATGAGGTATACGGCTGGTATTGCAGGTCCCACCAGTGGCAGTGTTGCAACTCGATGCCTGATGATTGTTGTGATTTGTTTGTTGTACCTTTGAATTAGGCCTTGGTATGAGTTCAGCATTTGCTCAGATGCTTTCCGCCAGCCACAACTGTAAAGCGCGGTGGCACTTTTGTTCTTTTAAGGGCTCACAGACAACTTGCAGACAACTTGCGGGCCCTGTCGTTTCCTGCCCAGTTTGGCCGACTTTGTAGGCTTGATAGGATAGGGACACTCAAGTGACTGCAACGATTTGCAGAGAAATCCCGGTCCGAAGCAGCCCTCGACTTGAAGCAGTGTAAACAACATTAATTAAACAATAAATGAGGTGCATACCATGGCACTCGGGGCCATGTGGCAGAGACAATTGCAATTGATAGGCTTTTCCTTGGAAATTTGACATGCGATCACAAGACATTTGCCTCAAGTCTTTGATCAGGCGCAAACATGAATAGGGAATTTTTGCATACCTCTTTAAACTTGTCTTAAGTCATTTCTCGCATCATCCATGGCGATGGTATCGCCAGACATGACCGTGTTCACACACCATGTTTCATGCCCTCACATTGAAGAAATAAACAAAAACATAAGAACAAACATTGTTGAACACACCCCATAAACATGAGGGTTTCCATCCATCATGGGCTCCCCAAAATGAATGGTCTCTCTGATATTTCAACAACCCATTGAAATGGATGATTTTGGAGTCCCCCACATTTCTGGAAACCCTCATCATGGTGGTTTCTTAAAATGGGGGATCCCCCCAAGCCACCATAGCGTTCAATACTCAAATGGTCATCCATGACCTGGATGAAACCCTCAAAGAAATGGACCCCCATCTGGTTGGTGGTTTCAAACATGGATTTGATTTTCCATCTCATATATAGGATAATCCATCCTTCCCATTGACGAACTCATATTTTTTCAGAGGGGTTATTGCACCACCAACCAGCCATGATTTTCCCATGGAGCTCCAGGTGCGCTTCTGCCCCTGGCCCTTCCGCTGGGCTTCGGCCTACAGCTGGACCTCGGCCGCGCAGCGCTGCGCAGAGCGGCTGCACAAGGAGCTGGGCGGACGAATGCGGCTGCTGGTGGTGGAGCGGATCATTTGGCCCATGCGGTCCTTGGAGGTGCACGGTGCCCGTGGGCGACCATGTTTTTGGATGAAATCCAGGGAAATCATACTGGATGTTATGTGGATATTATCATGATTCTTATGGGATGATATTTGATATATATATATAATTATATATACATATATATATATATATATATATTATAATCCGATATAAGTATAACATACTACAACTATGGGAACATTGGGAGTAAAGCAACAAAGTAAAATGCCAGAATATCTAAGTTTTTTTCGCAATATGGTCAGGTTTTCTGGGCATCCCTTGCTACATCCCACGAATCGCGAATTCTGGAAACATCTAAGTGGCATGTTGAGGTCGAGTTGGGGATATGGATTTGTGAGTAGGTGAATTCACCTGTGGGAAAACATGACAAATTGCCGTGACTTTAGTGGCCAGGCGATTGATATGGAAACAAATGGGTTGTATTCCTGGCACAAAGAACTGAGAACTGGTGTGGGCCTAGTGAGTCTGCATTCCTGGCCCATAGTCATATTTGGGATGGGGCAACACCTTCATCACCAGATTCAGCGAATGAACATCCTATTCACTACCCTTCGGGAAAAAAAACAAACATGGTTTGCGGGAAATTGATGGAAATCCATAATTTTGTTCGATGAACTTGCATTGATGATATACCTCCATTTATGCGGGATTTCCCATTGCCATGATTACCGGAAGGTATTCCAGCTAATTTTGGAGTTGTTCATTAGGGGCATATATTCACTATATACTATATGGATCATTGGTGGAAACCCTAGTCATATATTCACGTTTGAAATCTCGTGTATGTTGGTCCGGGACCAACGGCACTTGGGATGTTTGTATGCCCCAAAGCAGGAAAATCGGATATGTTGGCAACAGTCATATGCGATGCTGGAATGTGGTGCGAGGCCTATGCTGCGGAAGGAGTGTTGCTGCCAGAGTGGAAGCAGCATTTGGTGCTGGGAGTTCATCATTACAGTTCCCTGTGTGCAGTTTATAGTTCACACAAGAAGTTTGATGTTCTCGAGTCGGGTTACATGAGTCAACAGTCAACATGCTCCTAGGAAAACATGCTCTGACCTCAACAAGCGTTGAAGACCATCAGCTCTCCTCTTACTTCAACGCTGGAAGGCTGGAATGGCCCTGGACGATACTTGGCGTTTGGGCATACGATGCATGGATACCTTCAAGGCTGCGTGAAGAACATTTTGAGGCAGGGAACGGCTCACTGGATGAAGGGGATGGGGCTGTGATAGGTTCTTTTGCAGTGCTGCCTGAAGGCTAAATATGTATAATTCAAGAGTGAAGTTTTCAGTACAATACAGTCTAGACGTCACAGATCCATCATGTTGGAGTAGTAAGTAAACACATGGTCTTCCTCAGGAAATCTGCATACAGCCGGTTGTCCATATTTATTCATGGACTTACCATGCTAGCTTACCCAACAAGGAGATATACCCCTTCCATCGTCAAGTCGAGTCAATGGCCTTGCGCCGCGGTGAGGTGCATCGGTTTCTTTTCGAAGGAAAACTATGGAGATATGGACTCAGATGAACTCAGTGCATCATGGCTGCATGGTCCGTGACGAATCCGGATCCATCATCGATCAGGGACAACTTGAGGATAGCCAGGGATAGCAACCGGCATCCTGGTGAAGTCGCATGGAGGTGCCATAAAAACAAACCCGGTTTGATCATGTTTGATCCAGACATGGAGCCTGAAAAATATCAGTTTTAAGGATCGTTTTGGTATGTCCTGATTTTGACCAAGAACTTGGAGACGTGCTAAAATTCGTTTCCCCACAAGATCTATGTCTCAAAGATGGGTCCCAAGACTCGAGCATTTCAGATATATCAGGAGGTAGACAACTCGAAGTCATGGAGTCCTTGTCAAAGTGCGGTGTTTATGGTGTTTCCACCATGAACAAAATAACAATTCAAGTCGGGTTCTCCAAAAATGTTTGGAACCTCACGATCATCCATGGTTTATTGCTGTAAGATTGCCCAAGGGTAATATGTTTGAAACCTAAAACTCAAACTGTAGACATACCAACTCACGATTGTCCACATCGCCTCGCCTTTATCGGGGGCTAAGAAAGGTACCCCGATGGATGGTAACGGTCCAAGCACAAAGATCCCATCCAGGATGTGATTTATGGCCAATGGGCCTATTTGCTGCAAGACAATGTGTGTCCCGTGTGGATCAGCGAATTTGGGACCGAGCTGAATGAGGGCTACGATTTGGACTGGTTCCGGCGATTTATCGAGATCTTAGGCCGCCTCGAGGCGGTGCGGTCATGATGCTGGTGGGGGCTGGAGCGATCCAGAAAATTCAGTACTCCGCCTCTTGATTCATTGATTCTTTGTGATGTTTCAGAATCCATCTCTGGTAACAGGGTGCCCACCGGGTGGGTCCCAAGCAGCCCCAAGCAGGTGGATTTTGCTTACTGGTCGCTGAATGTGGGTCCCAAACCTGGAGGTCAAGGGGATGAGCAGCTTGGCTTCAGAGGTTTTGGGTGGCGGAGTTTGGAGGGCTATGGAGGGCGAGCAAATGCCTCTGGGCTGGTAAGGATGCTTTGAGAAGTGTGTTTCTCTGAAAATGGGGTACCCCAAAATCTCATGGTTTATCATCATTCAACTATTATATAATATTGTTCCTATATGTTCCTTGAAAATTGCCGTTTGGGGGGATATATACCCAAAATTACCCAATGCTGCGATGCCATCCTGACTGTGCCAAGGAGCTACGGATTTCTCTCGAAGGACTGGACCCCCCTCCTGTCTGACCTTCGTGTAGAGCTGATGCGACAGCACGGGCTGTTGCCGACCTAACGCGGTGGCCGTTGATGGCCGTTGCCTCCGTTGGGTCGACATCTGGAGCTTGGTCCAAGTAGGGCGGGAACAACTTGCCATAAAATGCATTACTGTAAATTTTAAATTGTGGTAAATTTTCCCATGTTCAGCAAAACTTGTTGGGTGAGGCGTCAAAGCTGTATAACCTTTGTCGCCTTCGTCGTGCCTTTGGGTTTCAGGAGTTTTGTTGCGGATTTAAAGCGACAAGCTGGGGATATTCACGGTGGAACTTGCAATGCCACTGTGAAACATCCACATTTTACAGGGACTTGGGAAGTTGCAATGTCACATCCTGACATTGAGTAAACTTGGGTCCAGCGGTATCCAAAAGGGATTGCAACGACGAAGCAGTGGTGTGTTTGCTCATTGTGGGTCTACCGCTACAAGACTGAGGTTTTCAAGCGTAACTCTTGTCATCGTGTCAAAATTCTTTGGGCATCAGACGCTGCGACAGTGGCAGGTGCCCAGATGGAGCTGGATGATTTTTGGCAAACGCACCTGACTGCTGAAGCCATGGTGCGGGCGCCAATACGGTGGTCACCAAGGATTGACCTAGAGTCTATATATAGGTCCTAGACAACTGGGTGACTGGGTTGACGAAATTGATCAAGAAAACCATCAAATCATATCCTATATATAATACCATTGATGTTCGATCTTGTTTGAATTAAGCAGTGAGCAACAACTGGGGTGACTAAGCTATAGTTTCAAAACACTGGTGCTAGATCTGCCCAAGACATGGATCTCTTCCAGAACGGACCACTACCAGTTCTAGCTTTGACGGTCTAAACAGTCCCAGCACTCAACCATGTTACCATGTTTTTTGTAACATATCTATATGTCTACAATTTTTGTATGTTACCAATGGTTTTCAATATTATATATCCCCATATATATATATATATGTGTGTGTGTGTTTGTCCTATCTCTCTCTCTATATATATATAATATAAATATACAGATTGCATTTGATTTCCACATGGGCTGCTATAAAAACTGAATATAATTCGCGATGACAAGCCACTTAATATATTTTGGGGTGCAGTTGGGGTTATCAACGGATATTAAACTACGGTATAAGTTGGGATATCACTTGATATCACGCCTACAAGATCCTACAACTATGACTATGGACCGACTTGGAGCTGCACCCCGGGGCCCCGGACTCGTACTTGGAGGATCATCATCCACGAATCGTGGAATCGTGGTTTTGCTAACCCTGAATACTAAGTTCCCTAAGTAGATTATCCCATGTAAAAGATGTAACAGTGGTGAAACTATGCTATTCCAACCTCACTTACTAACCACTTGATACATGGGATGATCCTCCAAGTATAGACTATATCCGACTTCTGAATGGTAGCTGGAGCCGTCATCCTTGAAGGCCAGCACCATGCGCAACGCTGTGGGAGACACCTTCCAACTCTTGCTGACGGCCTTATGGCGGCGGGCTGAGTGGCAACAATGATAGTGGTGGGTATAGGGAACAAGCAAATATGAGCAGCACATGAGATATAAGGATTTGAATGAACTATCATTGCACCAAACATGTGGAGGTTAAAATTGAAAGCTCATTCAGATCCACCGACGAAACATCTTTTTCAAGCAGACACTCTATGGTTTCAAAACCTTTCAAAACATAGCCAGTTCCATTCTCCTTGTGATATTCCTGTATGATTGACCCATGACATCGCTGTATGATTCAACAGTCAGTAACAATCCCAACAAAGAGGGCAGGTTTCTTACCCCTTGTAAGTGGGATATTATATTATGATATTATGGGATATGACCCAGTTACTACATGTTACTCCCATTTATCCATTCTTAACTATGCAATCTACTGACCATTATTAAGTAATCAACATTTACCATATTAACCACCATATTATTATTACTATTATTTTATTATTAAATTACTAGTATTCTTAATTTATTTTTGTGATATTATTATTAAATAACCAGTATTAATTTTAGGCCTTGGAACTTATCCTACTTATGTTTATGACATCTTATAACCCACCATTGGTATTAACAGGTATTAACCATTAACCCTTAAAGCCATTACTGCAGCATGTTTTATGGGTAAATCAACGAACATTGGCCATTTTCAATTTCTAACTGTCAGACTGTTAGTTTACCAGAGGGTATCCCATTAAAATCATCCATTTTCAGGATTTTCCAGTGTTGCCATCTTAAACCATCCATTTCGGGCTTTCCCCCACCTGACAAGCCCATTTTTGGGTGACACGGTGACAGGTTGTACACCCGCGAAGCCTGGCTCCGCCACACCTTGGACGCGCTGGCGCTGGCGCTGCAGCATCTGCCGGAGGCGCGAGTTTGGGACCCCAAAATCACCACCAAAAGGCTTTTTATTTCATGGGAGAAGTATGTTTTTTTACAGGAACATGATGTTCCTTTAATAGGAAGATATAAGATGGTGTTCTTTCTTGTTCTTTTGAGGAAAATGATGTGTTCTCCATAGCACAATGATGGGTTGTTTATAGGACACCATGAAGAATCATGGAGAATCTTTGATTTCTGAATTCCATTTGAAGACTTCCATTTTCTCAATCGATTTTAATGCATGCGTTTAACCAGTCACAAACTGAGGATCGTAACGTGCCTCGCTTCAGAGGGATGCTCAACCCGAAATTGGGATGGTCGATCCTTACAGAGGGATCATGTTACCGTAGTGATACTATCATGACATATCATGACTATCATGTGACTTTCTCAATACCCATTCAATAGCAAACCGATCCAAAAGGACGTCGATGCTTAGTATCACTGGGTGAGAGCTCGATTGCAATTGATCGTGCCATTGCCGATTATATCCCACTTACCAATGGTCACTGGTCACTACATGTTACCACAAAGGCCCCCCCAACAGTTACCACAGCTAGAAGTTGGTTTTATAATTCCCATCAAGTATGGTTACTATAGTGATAGTATCATAGATCCCAGTTGTAAAACTTTGGTTTCTTTCAATCCCTTAACTTATAAGATGTTATAAGAAGTTTTCCCATTAGCTATAGTTATAAACATTCATAAACTACAGTATTAAACATGAAAACAACAAAATCAAAGTTATAAAACATAGGCAAACATAGGTTTATACATATATACGTATAGTTGTAAATAACCCATTGTTCTTGGAGATTCCCGTAGCCCCCAACGTGAACGGAGGCTGCCATGGGCGCCACCGGCTCCGCCCCCGAGTCGGCGCCGCTTCCCACGGTGCCCACGGCGCCGCAGCTGGTGCCCTTGGTGGAGGCCCTGGCGCCGTGAGGGAGACCCAGCTGCGGAGGGTTTATGGGTTTAGTCATGTTTATATAGATGTAACATGATGTAACTATAGTGAAGGTAACCACGTGATTTGCCCGGACTGCAACATTGAGGATTCATGGATAAATTGCAAGTATTTTCTGCCTTCGGATTCAGAGTTTCCAGGGTTTTAGGGTTTAGGGTTTTAGTGTTCGTCGTCTGGTAAATACCAAAACACTAGCCCTGCGCAGGTTTTTGAGCATGTCGAAGGATAATATTTGAATATATTTGAACTCCATTCTAACCTTGCAGGCAAACCATAGGGTCTTGCCGTATAGTTATAGACATAGAAATCCTTATGACTGGCGGGCCTCAGCTTCTAGGGGATCTGACCAATGGCAATCCCAAGAATCCACCTATACCGTAGGGATAGAGCCTCAATCCCGCCTGGGAATGGACGAATCTCCGACGATTGGTGCTGCCATTTCTGTTTTTTTCCATGCCCAAAGAGATGATAGTTATCATGACACTGAGTCAATTATTAGTGCTTACCCCATGGGAACAACATGACATGGAACCCCAACAAGAAGAATCTAGGCGTTCGGAACATCATCTTCCCCCGCCATCCCAAGACTTCCGGGTTCCACGTTAGGTGCATGCAGCTGGTGCAGTCGGCTCTCAGCTGGTTTGAAGAGGCCAACATCCATCACACGGCTGTGACGTCGGGGGCACCCAGGAAAGTTGAGACATGCCACAGCTTCACGACTTGGAAAAGGAAAAAACTGTGGGACTTAAACAATTAAAAACACTAGGGACTAGAGATAATGTGGATGAATCATGATACTGTTACTGTGGATGGTTGCGAAATCCTGTACCAGTTGATAGATGGTAAACATCACATTATTCATCGGGTTTTAACCATCCTTTTGGTGGTGCAAGATTTCTTCCATCCACAGTATAATCATGATGAATCGGAGGATGATCCCATGGATCCTAAGTGCTTAGTAAGTGGGGTTACCTTAGCCACTGGGAGAATCTACTGAATGAGGACTTCGGCAGGGGAACAAAACAAACTTGAATATATGTATATATATAATTATTTACTGGTTGGTGGTTTGGAACATGGTTTTTATGACTTTCCATCTATTGGGAATGTTATAATCATAATCCCAACTGACTTTCATATAATTTTCAGAGGCCTTGAAACCACGAACCAGCATATATATATATATATATATATGCCATATACGCAATACTTCCAAATTTTGTATGTCAGAAACTATGTCAGAATAGCATTTTTCCATAGTAAATGGCTAAACTTTAAAAACATCGCAGCACCTCCCAGGTATCGACCCTTGCTGTTGCCCATGCTGGGACTTCAGAGGCTGGTCGACAGGCCGGAGGGATCATCCCACTGAGTGATCGGGCTATTTTTTGTTGTGCTATGTTGTACCTTGATATATCCGCCAAATATGTACTGATAAGATCTGATAAGTGTGTTGTACTATGTTGTACCTTAATATACTATGTTGTACTATGTTGTACCTGAAAAAATTGAGTTGTACTATGTTGTACATTAATAGTTGTACTGATAAGATCTGATAAGTGTTGAAAGATATTCAAAGAGCACTTTTCTGAAGGACCTCTGAAGGACCATCTACTTCATGCGATGACGCTTCTGTCTCTGTGTCTGGCCGGTTCTGATCCGAAATATTATGTGCCATGGTCAAGCAGCCATGATTCTTAGAATCCCGCTGGGAGATTGGGATGATGACCATGGCACCCGAGATGATTCCAATTTTTGCTGCGCTAAAGCAGGCGACTTGCTGGTTGGGTACAGTGTTGTCTCTTCCGCTTTGGCAAATACCCTCCGGTTATCAAACATGGCAATCGAAAAATCCACCCTTTACAGTTGATTTTCCCATAAAAATCCTTCATTGCAAAATGTGATTTCGGATGGTATCGGTGTTTTTTGACTTCAACCCCTCACAAAAGATAGTGGCTGTTGATGTCGTGCCAGAAGTTCCACGCAGGTATGTGGCTTTCAGAAAGTCTGAGGCTAGCAAGGACACCGCCGGCATTGGAATCTTCTCAATGTGACAAAAATAACCAGGATAAGAACTGATAAGTCGAATCATTTGGGATACATTTGGATTGGAATAGTTGATACTGATCATATGATTACTCATAAGATATGCATACGATTAGTACACAGAATATACTATTATAACATAGATGTATAATATGTAGGCGAATATAGACATACATTCATGTTTCCTTTTACTGGATATCGTTATACGTATCACACATATCATCACGCGTCTCGTGCAGATCATATATGTAATACACATTATGTTATACATGTCATACATAGCATATAACGTATATCATACACATCATACATATCATAAAACATATTTCATAATTAAGAATACACATAAAGCACATATCAAAACAAATGTTCATTTAATTTATACATATATTATAGTACTTTATAGTATTCTATCGTTATATGCTGTTATCATTTGCATATACTATATGTCCATCAGAATCACTTGTTTCAAAAGACCGTTTGCATTTCAGTTCGCAGCCTGGCACCAGGATGAATCACGTTTGGATAGTGCCTTCTGGCTGTCCCTAGGCGGCTGCGATGGACAATTGCATACAATTGCTCCATAAATTTTCGCAGTCTTGCATTGGGAAAATGCTGATAGCCTCTGGTTGTTTTTCACATCGCTATGGTTCAAATCTGGTAATTTAACCATCCATCATCCATAAATGGGCCATCCTCTACATCCATGTTTTCAATTGCCAGAAAGTATATCAGCCATGTGTGATCATTTTTAATAGGTAAACCATCTATTTCTATGGGCCATCGAAAAACCATGGCTATGTTAGTCATAACTAGAGGGTAAATCACCCATTTTTAATAGGTAAACCATAGTAGATGCACATGTATTTGAACGTACTGACTGAATTCGCATCATCAGCATGACGACTCCATGTGTCCAGGTGGTGGCTCCTTTTTTAGCTCACTCTCCTCCAGAAACAGTGTTTGGAGACCCAGAATGCTTCAGGTGCATGGTTTTTACCCTGCAGCATAGAAATGATAATTAGCAAAACACAACTGCTTCGAGTCTGAAGAAGAATCACATGTTCTTGCAGGCGATATGAACACCGCACAAAAATATGAACACCGCGATATGCTTGTCGTAGGCAGCGAAAACCCACCAAACTTTTTGACGCCACTTAGATGCGCCGTGCTTGGTTAACGGGTGAGGTAACAAGGTTATATCCCAAACACAATTAGCTTTAGATATGGATTTTAAGCATTTTTAAGCCACTTACCATAGTGTTCACGAGTTTTCTTGTAGCCACATACCAGTCATGTAACTCCTATATGGCCCATCATTGAAGCACCGGCGCTTTTTTGTTGTCGCTGCTTTTCCCAGGCTATCACCAGATTGGCCAAGACACGCTGCAATGTTCTGCTAATCATCAGGCGGAACCACGTGGCACTCGGGGTTACTACCGATTTTTAAAATGCGGCCGATATATCAGCGGAGGTGTCTGGAAATGATGTTGGGGGATGATCACAAGAATTGTTACTTTCTGACTCGTGAAGTATAGTAATTTGAGTAAAGCAATCGTAAAGTAAACCGGAAAAAAACACCGTTCACAGGTGGTATAAACCATCAAATACCATCAACATCTTCGTGGTTTATTGCTTTAACCATGGAATTTGTCCACGGTGAAATCCCCACGTCGGGTGCCATGGATTTTCATGGCTACAAAAACTGGTTGCACATTTGAGGGTTTCCATAAATGGAGGTACCCCAATAGCTGGATGGTAGTGGAAAATCCCAATCTAAAATGGATGATAAATCGGGGTACCCCTATGACTTAGGAAACCTCCATTTCAACATCAAACAGGATCTTTGGCCAGACCTCATTCTGGAGGCCAGATGAGAAGATACCCAGCTATCCCAAGCACATGTCTCTGCCCGGGAAGCCTGGACAATGAAGTCTTCGACGGAGAATTGGGTTATCATTGCCGAAAACATGTTGTTTAATGTTGTTTAATGGTCGAACGGATTGATTGGTAATTAATGGTAATTATATAAATATTGCAGGTTTTCTGCATTTAGTGATAAATACTGAGATGACTTTTGTTATTTTGTTTACACTATGTTTGCGAAAATGATGATAAACCACTGCATGGAATGGGGTGCCCTATGTTTGGACAAAGTCTCATGTTCATGACCACCAAGGGAGTTGGACTTTCTCAATGTTGGAAAAGGATAACATCCCGATCTCTATCGATCACATTCAGATTCATGGCATGTATATAATATAAAATTTACATTGCTTGTATACCTATCAACAGCTCATTTATCTGTAATATATTCACTTGTTTTGGTTTATCAAAAAGTCAATGTTACCATAATAACAAAGGCTATCCTGTCAATTCTTCCTGGATTTCACCAATTCCCGCATTCGTGGCATTTAGGCTTTGGTACTGTAACATAGCTATGGAAGAAAACACATTTATTTTGAATAGGTAAAACCGCCAAACTAAATGGGCCATGGCTTCGAGTTCGGGAACTTCGAGTTTATAGGTCTCAGTTCCCCAAGTGGCCCAAGCGGTTTGCCAAGGCGTGGTAGCAACGTGGACGACTCCCTCTTCCCCTTGGAGAGCTTGTTTCGCATCTCGCGCATCACGCGAACGGTGAGACCGGGGACCCAGGGGGCCCCAGGGGGGCCCAGGTGACCCAGGGGAAGCATTTGACCACATATTCCCATAACAATCTGTGATTTACCAGCATATTTCACCATTTTGTTTATCCCATATAAACCAACAAAAACACATTGGTGACATATTTATCTTAATATTTCATCCCATGTAAACCAGTAAAAAACATGGTGACATCATGATATTTAAACATATCATCATATATTTCACGATGTTCACGATGTTTCTCCGATGTCACCCAGATTCCATGCGCCGTGCCATGCGTGGAGTGCCGAGGCACTGAGCTAGATGTGGATGGCACTTGCGGTCTCACCAACAGCCGCTGGCCGGTGCCTGGCTTGGGATGTTTTTGTCGGTCCCTGTCCCTGGTAAGTCTAAGAACTGTTGGTGAATGGACGGTTTTCATGTTGGCTGAATGTTGATGTTAAAATTGTTGTAACTGTGGTAATTGTGATGTTAACTGGTGTTGTAACTATGGCTTCAATTGGAAATAGCGATTTAAGGCGATTATTGTTCATTAAGACTGGTGGTCCCTGGAAAAATTGGGACTGATTATTGGTTGCAAAGTCCCCATATGTGATTGTATAAATTTGTTTAAACTGGGATGATTGTGAGGATCCGGCTATGATGCCTTGTTTATTGGGGATCATTGAAAGCCATACATGCAATGGCGACCTAATGGGGATATAGCCTGCATGGGATATACGACCAACTGATCATAAGCCACAAAAAATAGTGGGATAAACTCGATAACCCCACTGATTGGACTTAGGCACAAGTGTTATTTTGACCAGCTAAGTGGCATGATCCTCTCAGTTGTCTCAGGTGATCATCATCGAGGTCTACTCGGTGAGTTGTTTCTCAGAGGCGCCATGGCACTTCGATGTAGATGTTTCTGGCGATTGATGATGATGGTGATGATGATGACCCTTGTTTTGTTTATTGTTATATAATTATATAATGTTATATATTGTGTTTTTATTGTTATTGATTTGTTTGTTTGGTTTTCTATGCTTACTATGCTATGCTATTATGATTTTGATTGTTTCTCTATTAATATACAATATACCGACAGTAGTACCAATATAGATTATGATGATGGAATTGTCCATACATATCCATATATTTGGCCGAACTCTTCCGGTTAGTGCATGATGGTAATTCAGCCAGATGTACTCTCCTTTGATTTATCCATATAAATAAATGACTGTGGATATTTTATTATCTCCTATTCTTATATGATATTAGTATAATATATAGTATATTAGCCATAAGAAGAACATTTTTCAGTGAATCGTATATTCCATATAGCATCATCCAAATATAGTCTTATCCATCATATACTGTGTATATATATACAGGTATAATCAGGTATATACATATGATTATATATATATATATTATAGTTACGGACTGAAACTTGGAATGGGTGGACAGGTCTTCAACATATTTACACTCTGGTAAACTAACATTAACTATGGAAAATCACCATTTTTAATAGGTAAATCATCTATTTCTATGGCCATGTTCAATAGCTATGACCGGATGATCTCCTCTTGATCTGTAGATGTGGAGGCCATGGAGACACTTCACCTTCAACGGCAGCTGAGACCCAACGAGCTTTTGACGAAGGTGGAGGAGCGGAGCGAGATATGACCAGCAAAAGTGGAAACATAGGGGATTTCAGATGGGATTTAAGGTGGGATTTCAGATGGGATATGTGTATAAGATTAGGTTAGATTAGATTAGATTAGATAGATAGACAGACAGATAGATAGATGGACAGACAGACAGATAGATATCCAAGATGGAAACACATCGATTTGCAAATGTGAACTTAACCAGCAACATGATGATTTAACCAGCAAAAATATGATTTTACAGCCCTGGGCCCTGGGGTTCTATATCATTTAACTGATTTAAGTAACCAAATACAGGTACAAAATACAGGTATGTGATCGGAATATGTATAAATACATATTGAATATGAGAACCAACAACATGAGAGAAATGATGGTTCTTCTACCAGCAGAATATGAAGGTATTAAATCAATCATTCTATGAGGACGGCCATAGGTTTGTCTCAAGTCGTCTGGGATTGAACTGACATGAACTGACCATCTCGGACAAAATATGGGACATGAAAATCATTAAAACATTGGGAATATTACCTGGAAATGGTGGCACTTTTGACAGGACAATTCTGATAAACCGTGGGCTTTTGGGATTGCTGTTGAAAAGAAACGTTTTGAACCATCCTGCCATTCCCGGAATTGGATACTCCAGTTCACAAAGCCTCCAAATGGTAGCCTTGACAAGTTTGTGATTCGTGGATGTTCATGGTGTATAAAGTCCCCATATATTCCGATGGTTCCTCTCTGGTTATTCAACATAGCTATGCAAAGTGGATCAAAATGGACCATATTTCATTGGATGATTTGCCTGTATTGAAATGGCTACTTTCCTACAAATTACCTGATGGTATTAACAGCTATGGTATCCCACCAAATTTGCTGAAAGGAATGGGTTGCCTCGAGTCCGTTGGAGCACGCCAGGGCGGCCTGGTGCGTTCGGAACAGCTGGGCCAGGTGGTTTGAAAGTATGTTACATTTTCCCATCCATTCGAAAACATGGAATAAGTGGGACTTTAAGTTGGATCATGAACCCATACTGGTTGGTGGTTTGGAACATGTTTTATTTTCCATTTCATATATGGGATGTCATCCTTCCCATTGACGAACTCATATTTTTCAAGATGGTTATTGCACCACCAACCAGTATAATGATTAACCGCTATTAACCACTATTAACCACTATTAACCATATGTTGAATGGATAAATTGGATAAATCTGCATCATTGTTCTGACCATTCCTGGCATGGTCAGAGAGGTCAGAGTACAAAAAGGCCGCCTGGTTGGATCATCTAAATCCCTGGTGGATACAAAGGTTAGGATCAACCACAATGGATCAATCAGATCAACATAGATCAACATAGATCAACATGGATGGTTAATGGTGGTTAATGGTGGTTCATGGATGGTCAATGGTGGTTAATGGTGGTTAATGGATGGTTAATGATAGATAATGGATCCACTCAAAGAACACATCCCATATTTTGTTCATGGACAAGTCGGATGATCATTCCAGGGTGAATCTGAGCGAACGGCGGCGTTCGAACGGCGGCGCCCAGGAAGCTGAACGCTACTACTTGGCGGGGCTCCTACTGGCGAAGGCGCCGGTGCCACCCTGAGATGGGAGCAGCAGGAAATAGTGGAAATAGCAGGATTGGATTATCCCATCATTCTCCCATTATGCCATTGATCATTTATTGATCATTTATTGAGAATTGATATTCCATTGATTATCCCATCATTGACCATCATCTTGATATCCATTGATCATGGGAATTGTCATCGAGAGTTGATGGTCAATGATGGGAAAATTAGAGGGGCGAATCATCGGGAGGTGATGGTTGATGATGATAAAATGATGATTAACAATGCAAGATGGCCCCCCCCAAGATAGCGTTCATTTGGTTTATATGTGGTTGAATTCTATGGTTTATGGTAGATATAACTATAGTATTCATGGGGATTATCATGGTTTATAAACCAACTTATAACTGGGGGGCCCCAATGGTTAATGGGAAAACAACCAACAATACTGGATGAAGAATGGATGAATAATGTATAATCGGATATACCCAGTGGTTATCTGACATAGCTTGGAAAATGGATGACACTGGGCCTGTGTTCCATAGCTCTGTTGGTTTACTGGAGGGTATATGCACAACGGCGAAAACTTAAACATTCTGATTTTGGGATTCCTACGTGAAAAAACTGATACATGATATATATGTATACATATACACATACACATTAGATCCATTAAATGTGTGAAAATCATCTAGTCTGAGGTCGATACAAAAGGCCATCCCGTTTAAGTTTTGTTCCAGTAAAACAGGTGATTATGAGGTCGGGTAAATCTATAGAACTGGAATCTGATTGGTGAGGTGAATCCTATGGGATCCTCACGGTGGTCCTCTCTGCCCAGTGAATAGTTGCAGGCTTCAAGATCTTCCCACACTAGCAAGGTGGGATGGTATGGGCTGGTCATTGGGCTGGCACCTGGCCTTTTTAATGATAGAGCAGAGGAACACATCTGAAATCTTCCTTAATCTGAAATTTCATGAAGTGTGGTGAAAAACCAGGTGAAAAATCAGGTGCTATACTATACGGATGTTGTCACTGTGACAGAACATGGTGTCACTAGAGTCACTGAGAGGCAGCAAAGTTGCCACCAGAGCAACAAGTTTTCCTAGAGAAGGCACCTGGGAACAACTGGAGACATCGGAGTGGGGATCCAGACACCAGCCCCGTTTTTCCCAACAAAACCAGGGGATTAATTTCTCTTGGCTCCGCAGAAATGGTTTCCGGTGAAGTTTTTCCCCAACAAAACCTATCCTTTGATCATAACCTTTTCTATGTACCCCATTATATCATCCTTATAAAATATCTCATTACATCATTTACATCACTATGGTTGGTTTATCCCTCATCCTTCCTAGGTCCTAGTCCTCCATATCATTTGTTTGAAATTGTATATTCTTAGATGAAGTTTAAATATGTTTAAATAGTTCATCCTCTTATAAAGTCCTCCACATCATTTTTATATAATAGTATATTATCATATATTATCCATATTCCCCAAACAGTGTGTCCACACCGAGGGGTTCTTACTGTAGGTGTTAAGGCCCGGTGTTTCAATCGAGGTTGTAATCGGAAGCGTCCAGCATTTTCCCTGTAAATTTCCTACAAAATGCCTCTTGTGACATGTCCTTGTGCATTTCGACTGCGCAGGCGCGCACAAAACGATGTCCCGGAGGTGTCCCCGGTCGTTTTTCCTGCAAATTTCGATGCAAAATGGCTCTTGTGATTTCACCTGCGCAGGCTCGCGCAAAACGGTGTTTACTAACTGTTATTTTCCACACAAAATGGCTCTTGCGCAATGTCCGTCTGCATTTCGACTGTTCAGGCTCGCACAAAGTGCGCTTCCCGGTCTTGGGATCGGTCTTCCTCCTCAACATCCTCCTCCTCAACATCATCATCTTCCTCTCACCATCATCATCAATATCATCATCATCATCATCATCACCATCACCATCACCATCACCATCATCTTCATCATCATCATCTCCATCATCCTCATCATCAACATCATCATCATTCTTATCATCTCCATCCTCCTCATAACCGTCATTATCATCAATATCACCATTATCATCAACATCATCATCATCATCAACATTAATTACCATCATCATCCACATTAATCCACATAATATTACATGATTTTTTTACTCCCTGTTTGGGGTCTCTTGCCAGGATAAGATCATTTTTTAATGATTGGGGATATCCTCTATATATCGCTATGGTTGGTTTCAATCCCCACCCTGCCCTTTTTTTGGTGCCTGGCCAAGGCGCAGAAACTCTTGGGGCAGTCCTTCGAGGTCAGTCGTTCCGCGGGCGACCTGGACCTGGCCACGCAGGTGGAGGGGCCAGGGGAGGATCTGGAGGGAAAAATGCCCGAAATTCAGCCCAAAAATACGAATAAACATATAATTATAAACCTGGGATAACATGGGTCGAGAAATGTCTAGAATCAGAAATATGTGCAAAAATGGGAATAAACATATAATAAACCGTTATAAACCTGGAATAGGCTGAATCTAGAGAGTTTAGAAACCTGGGTCCAGAAATGTCAATCAGAAATATGTCCAAAACTGGGAAGCCACCAAGAGGGGATGGAGCGGGATGAATCAATATAGAGATCCAGCGGGAAAATCTGAATTCCCCATGCCATGCCAGGCGCTGTTGTCCAAGGTGCCGAGCGCGGAAAGGGCTGAGAAACACCAGTTGGTCATTTTTTCTGTGGTTTCAGATTTGATGATTATGTCGTGGTTCATGTTTTTCTTCGATTTGGGATGAGGAATGATGATGATGATGATAATGATGATCATTATTATTTTTATTCAAATTCTGAAAAATATACCCGTTTTTTGGATGGTCTGAAACCACCAAGCAGCCACCTTAGAAGAGTCTGAGATAGCTTATGGTCAGCCTTGTTTGAGGAGTGCATCATAATTGATTATTTTTAGGATACATTGAAATCAAAAACCATATGTATCCACATGAACCCTCATTCTTGCGGTTCTTGCTGCTCAGAGGTTATTTCCCCATATTTGGTGCGTCAATCCCCATTTTTCTGGGGTTCAATTGTGATAATGTAATGCCCACTTAACCAGCATGTTCATAATAATACCTGGGAAATGCACATGAAATCACCATTGTTTGCTTAAATCCCTATGAAACCCATTCAAATCCTATCCGTAAACCTATGTTTCTTGCTTCAATGGCGACTGTTGCCGCACTGACCATCGTTAGGTGCAGATTCCTGGGGGATCCAGTGGCGCAGAAGGGGCAGAGGGACGCAAGGTGCTGGGCTGGTGACGTCAGTTCAATGGCTTGGTGTTTTGTGATTTTTCGCTATGAAATGCCATGAAGATACGGTTTTTAAAGATGTTTTTAGATGTGTTTAGTGGAGATTTAACCAGAGGTTGGGATTTAATCAACTAAACTTGGGATTTAGTTTGGCTTTTAGCTATGTGTCAATGGCTGGACTTAGGGGGAAATCTTCACCGGAAACCATGGTTGCCACAGGACAATATAGAGATATATAGAGGCTTCCGGTAGATTTTCCCATCAACCAATTCTCAAAAAAAAATAGCTGTGAAATGCCATGACGATATGGTGTTTGAATGTTTTTCTTGGAGAATATACTACCCAGCTCAGCAAACACCAACTATTTTGGCAGCCATGAAATGAGCAATTTGTCACGCATAGAGATGTTGCGTCATTTTTCTTTGAGGTGCCATGTTTGTAAAGCCCTTTTTGCATGGTTTAGTGATGTTTTGTGTTAAAAAAAACTCCACTAAGCCAGCAGACATTTATATATAACATGTACTGTATATATATAAAACATATATATATAACATATATATATATAACATATATAAAACATATATATATAACATATATATAACATATACATAACATATATATATATAACATATATATATATATAACATATATATAACATATATATAACATATATATATACCATACATATATAACATATATATAACATATATATAACATATATATACCATACATATATAACATATATATAACATATATATAACATATATATATAACATATATATATATACATATACAACATATATTTAATAATAATGTATATATATATTTATAATGATAAATATATACAATAATATTAATAATAGCCATAATATATTTAATAATATACATATATATATATATATAATAATATTTATAATGATACATATATATATATAATAATAATAAACAATGAAAATAATAATAATATAAATTGTACATATATATATATATATAATACATATATATATGTATATATATGTATTATATATATAATAAGTCCATACATGTATACATATATATATTATAATTTTAAAAATAACAAAAATAATACTAATAATAATAATAATATATATATATGTACATGTATGTATATCAGCATGTTGCATGCTAATCTCTCATCTGACACAACATATGTCAGTACATATCGGGAATTGATAAATAAATACAGTTCCCACGTTGTATTCATTGGATCCATCGGACAGGCCTTCGACCTGTTGAAAACTCATTTCGGCGAAGGCGCCTTTTGGACTGGTGCTTTCGACAAAATTACAGTTGAGAAAACAAACAAATAAGAATCATCATAAGAAGAACCTCCACATTATCATAACAACTTTGCATATTGATGAATTAATGGCACTTTTGGTAGTTAATTTGACTCCCAAAAAAACATTCTTACAATGGAAATGTTGATTTCCAACTGGGTTCATCACCAATGATATTATCAGCCATAGTGTTTCTTGTTGGTGTGATTGGGAGTAGTGATTTTAATTAACAATGGGATGTCATTAGTCAATCTAAAAGTTGGATCGCTTTGCGCGTTTGTAATGAATGCTAAATAGTTGCAGGACAAGTTTCAGGTTTCACAGTTCCAGTTTCATTTGGGTGTGTGTGTTTTTTGAAACTGAACCTCGCATTCATGGCCTGAAATACACTGAATCAAACTAAATTATAGAAAGTAGACATGTCAGAGGTTTGCTTTGATTGCGCACTACTATCTACTGTAGTATGTAGTACCTATAGTACCAGTATTTTCTTCGGTCTTTTCCGGTGTCGGACAGATCTCCATCGGTGCCAGGCAGGGGGTTTAGCCAACGAACCAAAGAGCTGGTCAAAGAGCTGGCAGAAGAACTCGGGGCCCGGGCACTTGGGAAACCTGGTGCTGGGATCGTGGTGACCCAAATCGGCAGGACTTCACCATAGACCAGCAGTGGATAACCATAGAACACCAACCCGAAACCCAACTGTGATTGGTCACAAGTCTTGTGACTCAAGTTTATCCCTTAGGCACAACTTTGACCATGTTTGGTTGTGTTGCTCCTGTGCCCCCAAGGATTTGTTGCTTTCTTTATTTAGATCATGTGGTAAAGCCGGTAAAGCCAACAGAACAACCTTCCCATTGGGTATGTATCTGGTAAAGCACAGATATTTAACGGAAAAGTCCTTGGGGATGGTTCTTATCTCATAGTCCCACAATTAAATTCTCCAACTATCCTTTCGATACCATAATTATCCATAATCATTTTTTGATACAATAATGATTATCCTATAAATTGTCAGAGAATTGTAGAGAATTGTCAGATTGAGGTTTAATGACAAACCAATAATATTCCCATAAGTATCCCATCAGTATTCCCAAAAGTATCCTACAATGTGGCCCCCCCAGTTAAAGAATTGTTTTATAAACCCCATGAATACTATAGTTATTCAATGTTATTTGCGAATCATAAACGATTGTGAAATTGGAGTTATGAACCAACTGAACGCTATCGTTTGGGGGGCCCCACATTGTATAGATCATTATAGATCATTATATATCCATATATCCATATATTACATATCCCATTATCTCCCAATAGTAGTAGATACCGTTAGCCTTAGCTATAGATCTTATCTCCCACAAGTATCCTATGTGTTTCTGGGTTAACCACATGGTTTTGGATTTAGCCATCGGCTTGGGTATCGGCCAACGACCAGCCAGGAGTCCTGCCCAAGATGGGCTGACCGCTGAGTGAACTTTTAGCGACCTGCAACGACCAACGGAAGAGCATATATTTTTCACCGGATGTGTATGATTAGATTAATGGTCAAAGATATGGATAGATAATGGTATGTGTATATATATATAATATGTGATATATATATATATGTTATATATATATATGTTATATATATAATATGTGATATATATATGTTATATATATATATATGTTATATATATGTTATATATATGTGATATATATATATATGTTACATATATATATATATATATATATGATATATATATATATATGTTACACATATATATATGATATATATATATACGTATTATATATATGTATATGTTATATATATATATGTTATGTATATATGTGTACATTAAGATTGTGGATTCTTTTCCATGGATATATTAGATTGATTATAGATACTTGAAATTTCTTTTAAGAACATGGAAGGCGACTCACATGGTCATTACATTAATATGAGATCCTCGGCATCAAGAACTCATTGAAGCAAGAAGCCACAGACAGTGTGTCACGACTTCTTTGGCCGTCAAAGAAGCAGGTGCTGCAGCTTTGAATTGAATGCGTTGACCAATGGTGTTGTGAAAACGAGCCGCATCCCAGCCTGCCAAGTTTGGATGTGGGATTGAATGAAATCTGTTGGGGTGATTCCTGAGAACATTCTCAAAATTTATGATGCCTGGTAGGCAAATGCAAAAGGAGTGCAAGCTTCGTACAGAAACACTCATGGATGTAAAGAACTTGTTTTGCTTGTTACAGTCCTGACTCATCTGGCTGTACCTAGAGGCCCTTTCATTTGATCCTGGGATGTGCTTCTTAGATTCGCTCAGTCCCATCTCCCAAAACGCAGCCCGAGTCAGCCAAGTCAGCCGGAGATCCACGGTGCGTCGCAGCCATGGGAAAGAAGACAACCACCAAGAAGGGCGCAAGCACCAAGGAACGCCCGGTAGGGGAGCGCAAGCACCAAATGGGGGTTTCCATAAATGAGGGATCCCCAAAATGAATGGGTTATAATGGAAAATCCTAGTGAAATTGATGATTCAGGGGTACCACCATTTTAGGAAACCTCCACAAATAAAATGAAACAGTGAAGCTGAGGCAGGAAGACTCTCAGACTTTTGGACATTGCCATGTTTAGGGCCGGGAGCCGAGCATGGTGCAAGATGCTACGTATGAATACAATGTTGTAAGTTCTGCCCGAATGGATGAATCTCTTGGTATGGTTATTCTTGTGGCTTTGGGATCGTATGGGAACATATTAATAACCACTATATAATAATTGGACCCATCAGATGCCATCCATTATTAAATTGGTATACGCATCATTGTTATCCTCATTATAAAATATTCCCATTGTTATCCCATTTGTATTATCCCAGTAGCACAATCCCATGATTATCCTTTTATCCTATCCTCTTATCATTGTTATCCTCATTATATATATATATATACATATATATAGTTAGAAGTATGTGTATATATATATATGTATATATATATACATAAGACGGAGGGTTCCTTTCACTATTGTATAGCTAATGTAGCCGTTATATATCTCTCGGTACACATGTTTTTTTCATCACGACCTTGACCAAAGTGACCTCACTGGACTCATGCTTGGAATCATCCCTAAATGATCTTATTTCAGGTTATTTCAGGTCAGTTAATTACAACTTACCTAGACAATGTGATATAATGAGGATCATCTGATTTATACTGATTTATAATTTACCTAGTTGACCTTAGGTATGATGAATGATTGTCCCTTCATGATCCAATGATATAATTTACCTAGTTGACCTTGTCAGGAGCCAACCACTCGTGATTGCACCGTCCACTTGCTGCTCGGTGAAAAAAAACGGACATGGCCACGCCGCCAACATCTATAATGTGTACATTAATGTAGAAAGATAAATATCGATTATAGAGATACAATATATACTGGTTGGTGGTTTGGAACATGGCTTTTATGACTTTCCATATATTGGGAATAATGATCCCAACTGACTTTCATATTTTTCAGAGGGGTTGAAACCACCAACCAGTATATATATATAAATATTTAGATCCAAATAGGAAGAGATGATGGAATTAGACACTATAGTTATAAACTCTTCTACAGAAGCTAGAATTTTTGAACATATAAATATCTACATGCACATGCATAATCGAATTGTTGAACCCAAGGAACAAAAATCACAGGATATGTTTCCCCCCAAAAAAACATAAATATCGGATATATTCTCAGAGGACAGATGGGGATATGTCCCCCTGCTGGAAGGCCAAGTAAACCCGTGACCCATTTGGCTTTGGGATGCAATGAAACCAATAAGGAACTCCTAACAGAATCATAAAATATCATAATAGTTATCACATGTTATCACGAATAAATGGACCTGAATAGGTTAATTCACTCATGGACCTGACGGACCTGAATAGTTTTTCATTCAGCATCTGTTTTTGTTCCCCATTTGCATCAATCTCTTTTGAATATCTGAATTTGACCCATGGTGTAAGTTTCGGATCAATAAACCACCCCTGACAGATTGACAGGTGAATCCTCCAATAATCCTACTGAACAATCCCCTTGGATGGCGAAAATCCACCTCTGGTGTGTTGCTTAATGGTTAATATATGGTAAAGCATGGTTAATATGGTAAAATGACCAGGTGTTTCTCTGACTTGCCTCGTATTTTTTTCCTGCAGGCACAAACACATGCAGAAGATCTCCTTCAAGAAGCGTGCGCCTCGTGCGGTGCGCGTCGTCACTCGGCCGATGGTCCATTAGTACCCCGATGTCTTGACCCATATCCTTGGGATTACCATGTGAATTTGTGGAATGCAACCTGCTAATCCTCCAGCACCCCCAACCTCCCATAACCCCCCCTGACCCCCAAAAAACCTCGTTCAAAAGCCACAGGTGGTTCCAAAGCCGAGCCTCTGAGGTGAGGCAGTTCGCAGCCAAAGTCATGATGACTTCCGATGTGCGCATCGACACCTGGCGGCTTGGGAGCTGGATGGTACAACTCGAGGTAAGGTCACCATATGGATCATCCCATAATTCTTGCTTAGTGATGTGCCAAAAAATGTCTCATTCTACCCATCATAGTTGGTTCATCTCGTAATAAGTCATATGTTACAAACCTGGCCACGACTCGGATCCATATCGGGGGTATCCCAAATTGTAGGACGGTTTCTGGGCAATTCGTCCATCAATGATGGAAAAAAACCAGGCATGTTTAATTTACCAGAGATCATTGGATTGGTTTAAGGGAAAATCTTAACCGGAAACCATCGATTTTCCCATGAAATATGGGACTTTCCTGTGAATTGACCCTGGAACACCAATCCAGTGACAGAGAGTAAATCACTGGCACCAGAATTTACCAGATCATCTGGTTGGTGGTTGAAAGTTTCAAACATGAATTTTACTTTGAATGTTGGAATTCCCAATCTTCCATTTTTTCGATCTAGCTCAAAACATGTAGCTGGCTCAATTTCATCAGGGGTATGTTTTGACAGTCACCTTGGGCTTTTTCAGAGGTACCATATCTAGTACTAAAGTAATCAGTGGGGATTGAACCTGGCAATTTAATGCAATTTAACAGATTGGGAAGTTTCTGCGAGCTCGCTCAACTGCAACGAGCTGGCTCAGCACCATCGAGCTCGCTCAATGCCACGTAGCTGGCTCAGGGGCATCGAGCTAGCTCAATGGCATCGAGCTGGCTCAATTTTTTTAGCGAAAAAAAAAAAACTCGCAGAAATTGAGCCAGCTACGTCACGTTGAGCTGGCGGACGAATGTGAGAGCATCAAAACGAATACTAGCTATGTATTGGCCGGGTTCATGACGCATTGGCGAGCCGGCTCAAGGGCATGTAGCCGGCTCAATTTCTGCGAGGTTTTTTTGTTTTTCTTTTTTTTTTTCGCTAAAAAAAATTGAGCCAGCTACGTGGCGCTGAGCCAGCTACGAGGCGCTGAGCCAGCTACGTGGCATTGAGCCAGCTACGTGGCACTGAGCCAGCTACGTGGCACTGAGCCAGCTACGTGGCACTGAGCCAGCAAGGTAGCTTTGAGCTTTGAGCTAGCAAGGAGGCAGTGAGCCAGCAAGGTAGCTTTGAGCTTCATCATATATATATACACCTATGCAATCCCAACCATGTAATATACTAGATCTAGGGAAAAGCAATTTTTTTGAGGGAGACACGTACCTTTGAGCTGGAGCGGGAATGTGAAATCTAACATTCGATTACTTTCCACAACACATGGGATGTCCTCCTTCCCATTGACGAACTCATATTTTTCAAGATGGTTTTTGCACCACCAACCAGATCAGTCTCCGGTCGTTATGCCTTACCGAGGACACCAAGCTCAACAAGTTCCTCTGGAGTAACGGCGTGCGCAATGTGCCGCGACGCGTGCGCGTGCGCTTGTCTCGCAAGCGCAACGAGGATGAGGATGCGAAGGACGGGAGATGATAAGGTGATTCATGGTGGATCACTGGTAACCCCCAAAAAGGATCAAAACGGATCAAAAAGGTAGATAATTACTAACAATTTATATGATATATAGATCTTTTTTGTAGTATCTTAGTCGGATTTGATGGTTACGTGTTTCTATAGCTTTTTGGGGGTGCTGTAGACCAGATGTTTTGGAGATGTTTTGACCCCATACCCAGGTCCCTTTGGAGAACAGTAGGGGACCTGTAACCAAGAGAATAGCTGGTTGAATGGTTGGGGGATGGTGGAAATGATGACAAAAAACAGGGTCCACAAGAGTGAATGCAGGAGAGCTTTCTGATGAGATCAGTGATGACTGTCTTGGTACGAGGAAACTGGTTAAACAACAGAAATCATTGATGTTTCGAACATTTTCCTGAGCAAGTGCCACTCATACCTGAAAGTAATTCACCCTGATCAACCACAACACATTATGTATAGTATTTGCAGTTAACTAGCCAGCATTTTTCACCAGAGTTCAAAGAGAAAATTTTGTTGTTTTTTTTCATGTTTTTTTCCCTTTCCAAACCCGAATGATCCAACATTACACAACATCTCGTGGTGGATCCAGTGATTTTGAAGTTGATGCTCCCTATGAAAAAAATACCATAACTGTGGGTTTTTTGTTGACCCCATTTATTCACAAACCCACAGATCATATCATAATCATAATCAGTTGGTTCGTTGTATCCCATGTGCTAAATTGTTTAGTCTGTTATGTTATGTTATATATGTTATATTATGTTAAATTAATATTATGTTATATCCCGTAATATTATGTTATATCCCGTACTAAATTTACTAAGTGATAATCGTTAGCACCATCCCAATATTCCAAAATATCAGTATAGTATGTATCCCACCTTTAATCATACTACATTTGGTTATTCATATCCCTGGATATACCTAAGAAATCCCCCACTGATGAACACATCCCCCCTGGCAGGAGAAGATGTTCACCTTGGTGCAACATGTCCCCGTGGAGAGCTTCAAAGGTGCCATCCCGGATGAATACGGGATATGATGGGATATATATATATATATATTCATGATATTTAAGGGTAGTTAATGGTAAGTTAACCAATTGAAAGTTATGGAGTAACATATATATATATATATGATGTTTTTGTTAAAAAAAAAACAATGGTATTTTGAAAAGGGCTCAGACGTTTCGATGTTTGGATGTTTCAGCCCTGCAGGTCTCCAGACTGAGAACGTCCGAGATGAGTGAGTGGCGTCTCCTGGCCTGACAGCTGGGATATGCTGGGGGAGTGAATTGGGGATGGGTCAAAACCCTGGTACCTAGTGAACCCCAAAATAGCTGGGATAAAATGGATGTTCATCCCACTTAAAAATGTATCTATAGGTATTGATCCATACCCAATTGATTTAGTGAACCCCAAAATAGCTGGGATAAAATGGATGTTCATCCCACTTAAAAATGTATCTATAGGTATTGATCCATACCCAATTGATTATAGAATATGCTGGGGGATATTATACATATGGGGGTATCCATAAATGATATAAATGGTGGTACCCAATAGCTGGATGGTTTATAATGGAAGATCCTATTTAAATGGATGATTTGGGGGTACCCCTACCCCAGGAAACCTCCATATGGCTATGAATCAATACCTATAGATACAATTTGAGTTTGGGGATGAACATCCATGAATCCCAGCTATTTTGATGTGAACAGAAGGGGTACAGGGTTTTGATCCCCCATATATTTTATTCAATCTGACAAAGCCAATGCCATAAACCTACCTACCATTTGGATCCATTGGGGAATGGTTTAGAGAAGCCATAAGAATGTTTATTTTGAGGATGGTTTGTTTTTGGTTTTACCACAACATATACATATATATATCTCTCTCTCTATGTATATATATACACACATATATATATAGATAGATATATTTGGAATCGATTGGACAATGATGGGGAAACGAGGGATTCTGGATCAACATTCGAAAAACCTCCCTTATTGGGGACCCCAATGGTCCAATGTTGAATGGTTCAGTTGCCTTGTTTCAGGGCCCCTTAGCTGCTCCAAACACAGAACAAGAGATTGAAACAAAATGAACATTGCTGGAAAGAAGGGTAAGATTTGGTTGATCCAGGGACTTTTTGTGGGGCTTTTCGGAGCTTTTTGGGGAGATATGTTGCCCGTGAAACCGAGACTTTTGCACTGGTAGGTATAGTCACAGTCAACTTCATTCCCAAGGCCCTAGACCCAAAGTACTGCTGGACCCGAGGTACTAGACGAGACAAGGGCGCGGATCTGCAGAAAAAAAACGCAGAGATGGACGGAAATCTGAAACTAGGAGGGCGATGTAAAGACATGTTTCTTGACACAAGGAGTAGATAAGTGATGACAAGTGTACGTGTTGCGTAATATGCCTTTTGATGTGTATATGGATGTATTCATTATCATTGTATACTTTAATTACTATGATATGTATATATATATATTATCACATTATTCTATTAGACTATAATATATGTATGCTTATATATGATTATATATGATTAAATTATATATGATCATATAATATTATATATGATTATATACGATTATATTATATATACATATACATATACATCCCGGCGGAAGGGAAACCGCGCGAGCGTTTTGATTGGTTGCTTCCAGGAGAGTCACAATCACCTGTAATTTACAATATAAAATGCTCCTCCGATCAGTTTGGATAACTGAATTTGGGTTTTAAAAAAGTGGATGCAAAATCTATTGATTTTTAACAAATCCAGGTAAACATCATGTGCATCAGACGTGGATGCGCAGATTTTTTTTCACACTCTTCGTCGGCTCAGCGATCCATCAGTGTGGAAGCTGTCAACCTATGCATCACTACCGCACCCAAACCCATACGCAGCGCAACAACATGTAACGTAGGAAACTATCTCAGAGATACCAGCAGCGTAGCAACATGTACCTTAGTAAACGATCTCGGAGATACCAACCGCGTAGCAACCTGTAACGTAGTAAACGATCACAGAGATCTCAGCAGCGTAGCAACATGTCACGTAGTAAAAGATCCCAGAGATCTCAGCAGCGTAGCAACATGTAACGTAGGAAACTATCTCAGAGATACCAGCAGCGTAGCAACATGTAACGTAGGAAACTATCTCAGAGATACCAGCAGCGTAGCAACATGTAACGTAGGAAACTATCTCAGAGATACCAGCAGCGTAGCAACATGTAACGTAGTAAAAAATCCCAGAGATCTTAGCAACATCGCAATATATCCTGTACGAAGTACAAGGAACGTTAACATGCCCCCCACCCCACCCCACCCCAACCCCAACCCACACTAACATGGCAATATATCCTGTACGAAGTACGAGGAACGTTAACATGCCCCCCCACCCCAACCCACACTAGAGATCTCAGCAGCGTAGCAACACGTAACGTAGTAAAAGATCCCAGAGATCTTAGCAACATGGCAATATATCATGTACATTCATGTACGAAGTACAAGGAACGTTAACATGCCCCCCCACCCCACGCCACCCCAACCCCAAGACAAAGAGCAATACTCAAAAAAGAAGCAAAACGCACGTACGGTTTTCCTGCCGTAGGCATATACATATACATACACTTCAATGAATAGTGCTAAACACATAACACCTATGACAATGATTGAATCTGGCATCCTATCCATCAAATGTCAGGTCCTGGCAAAACATGGGGCAGGCCGTTGACAAAATTGCCAGCATCGGTTGACTTTTATGAAGTTCAGATGGCCAAAAGGTATTCTATTCATACTCACTGGTGGTTAATAGTGGTTAATAGTAGTTAGTAGTGGTGATTTCAATCATTTAAGATTATCATGTTGATCAAGTTTGATCAATATGGCTTCGTCTTAAGAATGTGTGTACCCCGAAGTCCATTCGTTATTTAATAGCCATTTGGCTTGTTAAGCCCCGCATTGTCAGACACACCCAAAAAACATATTAGTGTTGATGGGTTATACCTCACCATATCATTAAAAACATATATGAATAGTGGTTATAGTTGATGGGTTAAGCAAACATATATGTTGATTTGATGGGTTATACCTCACCAAGTATTCCACTACAAATCCTCATATCATGTTTGCTTCACGGTCGCATTTGTCGGGGTCGCAGGTCGGTGGCTCAAACAGCAGATCGCCGCCCCCACTAATCCACTAATGGATAGCAAAGGTTATCATCCAGGTGATCAAAGGGAACAAATCAAGTAAACATGTGATGATCAAGTGATTGTCATGCTTTAGGTGGCAGGAAACCTATGGAAACCTCTCAATGCTCGAGCCAAATGGAAATTGTACTCTTTCAACATCAAACACTCGTAGTCGCCTGGGATCACCTGGGCCACATGGACTTGGAGTCTCCAATCCACAGAAGTCGGACATTCCGATCATGTGTTTTCTTGCTTCAATGAGTGCTTTTAGCGTCAAAGATATGACCCAAAGGAGCGCGGTCCTTTGAGCCACCTATGTCCATATGATTCCAAAATTATGTGTATATATAATTATATATATATATTTATAATTATACATAATATAAAGAAGCCAGAAAATCTGCCTGTCTCCAGCGAACACGAATTGGTTCATCAACCATCGCCATGAGCAAAGACAAAGAAACTGCCGTGGATGAGCTGCCTGGCAGACGACACCGACTGTCAAGTTCTGTACACAAACATGAGCATCAACATGTATGAGAATTTATGATTGCACAATTCTGTTGTATAAGTACACATATGATTTATGTTATGTGGGAAGTACTCAACATACAGTACTACATTTATGAGTACGCAACATAGTCATAACCAATTATATCGAATGGGATTTGAGCCCCATAATTGGGTTATAACCCCCATTATGGTTGGTTCAACCGTCCAAAACATATTGACGGTATACTCAGATCCCTTTTCTTTTTGGACATTGGTGCTTTTGAAACGTCTGGTTTTGGGTGTGCTATGGCCAAAATTTGACCCATGACCACATCATGAGTTGTCTCTTTTTCCTGATGGGGACCTCCTTTCATGCCCATTTATGACCAGGATTGTGTTGCGATCTTCAAAAAACAGGTTCCTACCCACTCTGATTGTTGCAAGATGTTACAGGTTCAAATGCTTTCAGTATTGATTTGTAGGGATCACGGACCGCTGAACAGAAATCGATCGGAGTTCATGGGGGTTTCTTAAAATTGGGGATCTCAAAGTCACCACGGGTTAACCTGTACTGAAATGGAAATGACTTGAATGATTTGGGGTTCCCCTTTTCAGGAAACCTCCATATCATACTGTATCATGTATCATACTATATCCACGTGTATCCCAAGCGTTTGGGGATAGATCAGAAGCGTTTTTTAAGCGTCAGAACCAATGGGCCATGGGCCTGGAAGAATCTGAGGCTTTCTGTTGGGATGCTTGCTTCGCTCATGCGCCTTCAGGCAGGATTTCGTCACGGATGGTCCTCCGTAATGACACCATTCCCCAAAGATGAATCATCGAACTTATATACATACTATATATATATGGTATACTATTACATATAGTTAGTGTACATGGTATTACATGGTATTCATACTATACATCATATATAATACTAGATGGCTATAATCATACAATCATATATATATAGTATACATATTACATGTGCAATACATATGATAAACATAGATGTTATATACAATACATACACGTAAAAAAGTGAAAGTTGTTTTTTGTGCGTGATAGCACACGTGTTTATATCACACATCTATACAAAAATAAAATATCAATCTTATTATCTTATACAACTATACACATTATTGATAAGCTTGCACAGTATGTCATTAGTTTTATATTTTCATACATACATAATATATATATATATTATACATTGTGGTAAAACAATTAACCAACTAACCATCCCCAAAATCACCATCAGCGGGTACTACGTCTACTATCCTCAAAGGGTAGCTTTACGGCATTGGGTTTCCAACATTATTCCAGTTATAAATTATTCATCCATTATTGTTGCTTATTAGCAATTAATGACATTTAATGACCATCATTAACCATCATTATCTATCTATAATATATATATATATATATTATATATGTGTCCCATTTATGGCATTGGGTTTCCCGGATAAGAAGTACATAAGAAACGCAATCTTCATTATTATTATTAACCATTATTAATCATTATTAATCATCATTCACCTACATTTCTAATTCCCACATATTATTAACCATCATTAACCTTCACATCCACCACCCCCATCCCGACGCGTAACGTTTTGACAACGCACCGGACCGGACCGTTTAGGGCTGCCGCAGCTACACTGCGGTGGACTCGAGTCGAGCCTCGAAGGATCTGCGGGAGATCCGCAACAGCAAAGTGAGTTCGGAGGCCTTTTTGGGGCCTGTCGGGTCAAATTTCCATGGGATTTTCCATGAAAACCATCCAGCTATTGGGAGGGAAACCCCCATTTTAGGAAACCTCCAAATGGCAATTTTTTGGGTCATGATTGTGATTATGAACCATCAGCTGATTTATGATTTATGATATTTTGCGTTTTATGTTTATTTTAGAATCAATGTTGAATATATACACTGGAATGCACCCAATTATAGTTACTATATGTTAGTAAATCACAGTGAATCTATGATTGTCATTATAATGATTGGTCAATAGAAACATATGATATATACTTGACTCACTATGTGATTGGTCATGAGAGGTTAAGCCTTCTCCTCATCAACCTTTTTCAATGGAAAAAGTACATGTGGCTGTGCCTGAAAAATATGGCACCTTAAACGTATTCTGATGTGTTCCCCCCTGTAAAACAAGGGTTATCCGGATATCCCATGATTGTTGGACAAACCCACATGAAACCGTGTTGATTGAAGGAAACATTGATGAGTCATGATGATTTATCAACTCTTGAACATATGGATATTTTCATTGAGCATGCTACATTAGCAGTTAGCAGTGCTTAGTAATAATGATTAGCAATGGAATTAGTGCTCTATACAGTGGAATAATGATCACCATTTGTTTGACCCATAGTTCGGAATAATCTGAGAAGTCTATGGAAGTCTTAGATAAATATCTGAAATGGATGATGCCCTCTGGTAATTTAACATAGCTATTGAAAATGACACATTTATCGTTGATTTATCTATTAAAGATGATGTTTTTTCCAGTTCACTATGTAAACGTTTACCAGAGGGTAACACCTACATATTTTCCATCCTGGTGCCCTGGGGTCACATGGACCAAGGGTCCATGACGCCATGGTTTTTTGTGTTTGGAGTTTGGTGAGCCATGGTGACTTCGGGGATGGTCCCTTCATAAGGGACCGGAACATGAATAGTTCCCAGGCAAAACCCAGGTTTTCTTCGGGGGAAGTGATTCATAGGGATGAAAAAAATACATTAATTTACCATGTTCGGAATCCGATTCATGGTGGATGATTAGGTGGATTTAGATGGTAGCAGTGGCTGCTCAACCACTTATATAGGATTATCACCAACTGGGAATCACTGCTCCGGAGGGTCAAACAGCCACTTCCACTTCTTTTTGATGATGATGGTCCATGGGAAAAGTTAACTGGTGATCAGAAGTGAACCCAGAAATGGATCATTACACACCCAAAAATGCAAGGAATGGGGATAGAGGGGAGTTACCATTCAAATAAGTCAGCAGTTATAGATTGTTTTATAGCCTAATATGGCCTAGTAATGGGATGTGTCAGCATTGCTGTCAGGAAAGCAACCCCATTGTTGTTGATGAGAAGTTGGGTTTCTGATATATATATATATATATTGGTCCATGCAGAACATCAATACCATTTTGATTCATTTTGCATACCTCTATGGTTGCATTAATATGCTGTGCAAATATGTATAGATATATATAATATTATAGATGATATTACACTATGTAGTCGTGTTTTTTTCAATTTCAGTTCAGTTTGTTTGACAATAGGGTACATACCCCCAAATTTTGAATGGGTTTTCCCCTGGAGTCAGTTTGCCAAGGATGTAACTGGTATGTCCATTTCCATTTGAGGGTATCCTTGACTTTCAGACACAATCCATTTGATTCCCTCCGCCAGTCCGAAGTTGGTTTGTAAATCCCATTAGCTGGTTTGATCTATCTCGCATAAAGCTTAGCTATTTTGAGTGTCCCCACCTTGCAGATATAGGCGGAAAAAAGGGATTTCAACCATTAGACATATGGATTTCCTGAGAATTCATAGGAATTCAAGGCATGAAATGAGCAATTCTGTAGCATCACAGGATCCCCGGACCTCTCATAGGCGCGCCAGCAGATCCGCGACGATCTGCAGAACTTTTGGTCAGAGCTACGGACCTTGCGACGCAGGTGTGGCCATTGGTACCGAAAGTGGAGCTACTGTGCCATATAGAGCCATATTTTTTCTTGGGTATAACAGCTAGAAGATTATGTATGGGAATTTTTATGTAACCCTGTAACCCCCCAATTTTGCTTTGGTAGTAGAACCGGCTGCATGTCGTTGGTTTTTCACCAAGAACAAATGTAACAAATTGACATCCCCTGGTGGTTCCAGGCCACAGCGCCGTAGTGGAAGCCCGGAGAATCATCGGAAGGGCCGCAGCTTGGCGTCCGGACTGGCTTAGGAAATATATGGAAATATACCAATATCATGGCTAAGGTTTTTGTTGTTGGGTTTAATAATCATGGATTTGTTGATGGGGATATATTACCATATGATGGCATACAATAGGGATTATATGGTGTATATTATATATATAAATACCCTCCGGTGTCATCATAGTGAGATGATCATGAAAATTCCTCCAAAATAATGCCTTTAATGGTAAAATCATCTATAAAATTCTATAAATAGAGGGAATTTTCCAGCAAGTCATGTGTTATAACCGGAGGGTCGGTAATAGGTGGTTTCATGGGAAATGATATTGGAATTATAGGGATAAGATGGGAGAGAACTTTGAGACTTCGATTTGCTGAGTTGGTGGTGTTTGCAGCCCTTTCAGCAAATCCAAGATACCCAAGCCCGAGAAATTGTAAGGTAAAGTCAGCGGCTTAGCCGGTTAGCTCTCTTAGAGATAACTGGCTCTATGAAAGTTCTGGCATCGCAGAAACACTGGAAATTCTGGTGCGACTCTAAGGTCTTCAGTGCCATTTGGCACCCCCACATCCCGAGGTCGTCGTGCGCGACGACGACGGCACCGGGGCGAGGAAAGAGAAGGTGGGATAGCTGGTTTACCAAGCTACCATATGTGTATTTATATGGCTATGGGTCAAGAGCTTGTACACCTGTAGTTCACCTCAAAATAGCTTGTAAATAGATGTTCATCCCACTAAAATTGATAGTAATAGGTTTTGACATGTTTTGACCCACCCCCATATTAATACTGGTTGGTGGTTTCAAACATTTTTTTATGTTCCATAATATATGGGATAATCCTTCCCATTGACTAATATTTTTTCAAGATGGTTAAAACCACCAACCAGAATATATTATCACATATTAATCATACTATATGTGTATATATATATATATGTATAACTGTACATGTACGGATAAATACATATGTATAACTATATGTATAACTGGTATATTCAATGTTTATAAGCATGTTACATCTGGTTATCATCATCCTTTCACTGGATTGCAGAAAAGATGTTGCCCCATCTCACAGAATCTGTGCAGTGGAATCCATCCACGGATTTTGTGGGAATCATTTCCACTCTATGGTTTCAGCCAACATGGATCCCCAAAGATTGGTATTTCAGATTGTCGTCCAAGTAAAACACCTTGTACATTTGGCCGTTTCCAAGTTCCATACGGAATTTCCAATAATCAATGGAATATATCAGTGCAACATGCGGTAAAACCATGTAAAACAAACCATCCCCGATTGTTTATGTTTATTGACGTTTATTGGGTATACCGTATACCCCTAGGTAGCCATGGGATGTAAAAATCACCCCCAGGTCATCCCTCCAGCGATGACGCTTCCAACGACCCGAAGCAGCGCCGTGGGCAACGCTACCACAGCGCATCCCCCGGATCCAGCGCCTCCCCGGGATCCAGCCGCAGCCCGGTCCGAAAAAGACGCTTCTGGATCCCGTTCTGGGGGTCGTCCTGGGATCAGTCGTTGATCCCATGGGGTTAGCCACATGTTCGGACACGTCCCTAATGGGAAATGCACCCAGAGAAATAGAATGCAAACTGGATATGGCTAAATTATACCCTCATTGCATTTGCACTAAGCGTAAGCTTGGACGCCTCTCACATTCTCCCACACATATCCATACATGCATATCGGCACAGGGTGGTTTGTTGCCGGCAAAGTACGTTTTTACTCGGTGTCTTCCGTGTCCTCATATTTTCTCATACAAATATTAATTATGCAGTATAGTTGCTGCATACCGGCAGGGATTTTGAATAGGTTTGGTTCGATATAGTGACTTAATCATACTTAATCTTGAACACATGATATTGTTGCCCTCCAATATACCCACAACTCTCAGAATGATGACACGTTTCTTAAGTTTTCTGCTCAAGCTGAAAAAACATCTTTGAGTCTATCCGCACATGTACGGCACAAGATTGAAGTCATGGGTCGCGCGGTCAAACTTCTGGTGCAAGTCTATTGCTGAAAATGATGACCTAATGAAACCCTTCAACTAAGAACCATTCGCTGATACACCAGTTGAATCTCCACTAGCCCCGTTTCGAATACGCAGTTTTTGGCCATGGATTGGAAGCGCCGACGGACCTTGCCAACTGCGTGCGTGAAGAAAGTGGCCATTGTTGGAGGAGCTTTGGCGATGTAACACTCGCTGGATCAATGGGGTCTTGGAACTTTATTTTGTTCAAAGGGGAATTATTCAGTTGGGAGGACGAACTAGGTGTATAATAATATATAATGGTTAACGAAATTATCCTTGGAACATACTCTGATGACTCCAGCCAACCATCCGTCGGTGATGTTTGAAACGGACCCAGTTGAAGGCATCAACCCACCATGCCCGCGATCAACACATTTGGTGTGTTTGCGGTTTGGTCATCTTGGATCTGTCATTGATATTCATTGTTTTTTCATGTTTTTTTCCTCGTGTTTCCGTTGGTGACTTTTCCGTAGATCAAGGCTACTCTTTGTGTTTAGTTTATCTCCAGAATTGGTTCAAAGATGAAAGCGAAGGAGAAAGCGGACAGAAAGCACCACCATGTACATTACTGTACATTAGATCACCAAAATCTACAAACACGGAATTTCTGCAACTTTCCTTCGAAAATTTAGTCAACCATCTCCTTTAAGGTTCGCCATTGCTGAGGAACGCATGGCAATGAAACCAACGGTGTGCACTTGGCGAAGCATTTCATGAGGCGACCTGGGCACGTCCCCACCCGTGGAACAGTTGGGGTGTTTGTCCAGAAATCGGAGGGGAGCCTCCATGACTCAATGATCCCCAATATTTGGTCATTTTAAATGTTGATAATGTTGGGAAATACATGGAAATTATATATATATGGAAATACCACAATTTGTGGAGACAACTTGAGTGAACAGTTCCTCAGCCACTTCCACCGACTCGAGCGACGTGAGATGACTTGAGTGCAGAAGCTGCTGCTTTTGACTTCCTGGTTTCTGTCCTTACCTGGGATAGCCTAAGTCTCAACATTGTCAGAGATTAGGGTCTTCCACCATTTTTTGGGCAAACCCATAGACCCTTTTTTGACCTCGCAAAATTAGGCACCGTCTGTGTTGTGTTCAGAATCGAAACACAGCCCGAAAGCTCAAAGCTGATGTGAAGATGTTGACCAAGATTGTGATCAAATTGCTTGGCAAGAGGTAATCATTCGCAAAAGCGCGGTGCCCATTGAATCAATCTATTTTGGTGGATTCCCATTCTTCAAGTTCAGAACGCATACCCGGCATACCCGAAAGCATCCATTGATCTCATGCTCCATCTACAGTAAGTTGTTTCTTTTACGGATACGACCAAATGTTTGGGATACATTGAGGATCGTTTACAAACTTGGATGGATAGTTTTATTTACTTCAAACTTATCCAATTTAAATGGTCTTGAATGTATTGATAATACACAATAATTTAAATTGACAATAATACACTAGCTATAGCTAAGACTTAGCTATGAGGCCTATACCCTGCGGTAGTTTGATATAGCAATGGTTGACATAGTCAGTTTATAGATGATTTATGATGATTTACCTTTAAACAAATGTGATTTTCCAGTTTGCTATGTGGCAAATGACCAGAGCATATATCGTTATTAACCATTTTTCATCCATTATTGTCGGTTGTTTTCCCATCATTAGCCACTATTAGCAAGGGGTAATTATTATATATCATTAACCACAATCAATCATAATTGTCCATCATTATTCACCACTATCATCCACTATTAACACTTCTTAAACATTAAATTAACCATAATTAATAATTAGCATTTAATTTATTCAATTATTAAACATTACTAACCATTCTTAACCAGTATTAATATCCATTGATTCTCCAATCATTGGGTATGGACACCTCCCGCAGGAACATGTCCCTGGTGAAGCGTCCCTCCTTCGAGACGGAGGTGTCGTTTTTAAAGATGGTGACAGAAGAGTGGAAGATATATGGATTTCAATATGCATGATTTGTAGATTCAGTGATTCAGTTGGTGATTTTATGGGATTTAGTTGTTTTTTTGGGGATATCTTGGGAAATTTTATGGGATATATGGGCCATGTTGGGTCGCTATAGGACCTGCACTGCAGGTCCTTCTGTCCAATGTTGCGGCGATCGAACAGAACACTCGCTACGTTGAGGAAGATTTGAACAGGTGAGGTTTGTGTCGTTTTTGTCCACTTAGATCCACTGATTTATAACCCATGTGCAACCCATGTAGAAGTGGAGATATTCCATCTTATAGCGTTGTTTTTCCATTTGCTAAGTGGGATGCACCCCCAAGCAGGGGTATGTTGCGGATTGAGCAACCAGAAATATAGAGGACTGGGATCTGAACATATTTAAAGCATCACAGATGGTTTCGTTTTGAGCATGAAGCATGGAGACAGTTGTATCGGATCGCGATCAAAGACGTGGGTTCTAAGTGCCAGGAATGTCTTAACAAATATACGGGTTGTCAGAGTGGCAGCAAATTGGCCGATCTTCTGACCCAGCCAAGTTGGAATTCTCCGATTTGTGGAAGTTCTGCAAGCAATACTCACTCGTGTTGTACTCATGTATGCATGTCTGGACATTTGGGACTACCCTGCTTGCAACCACGAACATCAGCTGTCAACTGAGAGAAGAGAGCAACATGCAGATTGTTGGAATGTAACGGAATGGACTTGTACCCTAGGCCCTAGTTGTCCTAGTTAAATCATATTCATCTATAATTCTATAATGTCAACTTAGAACTAATAAATCACCCCCTATTAATGAACACCCACAGAGCCAGAAAGTTCCGGCAATTTGAAAATGGGTTGGACCCCTCTTATTAATAAGCACAAGTGTCTCCCCCAATTAATCAACACCCTGCTCACAATTCTGTTTTTTTTTGATGCTTCTGATGCTTGAGAATGGAATTGGCTCTGATGTTTCTAAAGTGATTATTTCTGATGCTAGCTGATGAATACTGTCTAATCTATAATTATACGTATGTATATGTATACATATTATGTATATATATAAATGTGAAACTTTCATCTCTTTACAGGCACATATTATATATATACATACATGTATACATACTTCTTCAGCACAATCATTTCACTGAATCCCCCAAATCCAGAAAAATCCCAAACATTTTGAAGGATTGAACATGCATTGTCCTTATTAATTTCTTTATTAAAAAATGCATTTTGAGAAGGTCACAAAGGGTACCGCTTTAGGTGGCTTGTCCCCCCAAAATAATATGCATGCATCCCCCCAATTAATCAACACCCTCAGCCCACCTGGCCTCATATTGCTGATCCTTTCTTCTTTGCTTCATAGATTAATTAGTGTACATGACAATCTTATGAATCCCATTCCAAATCTCATGAATCCCTTTTTTTTGTTTTCTGCTGTATTTGGGGGGGTCGACCTTATCCAGCAGAGAGACCTTCTAGGGAGGGTTTATGTTATAATACGTGCTTGGCATTACTGTGTATAATATATATATATATGTAATATATGTATATAATATATTACACATATATATATAATATGTATTTATATATAGTGACGGACAATCACTTAGAACGTAATTTTTTTTCCATTTTTTTTTCGTACTTAGAACGTAGCAAAATTTCATCACTTAGAACGTAGGGAAAATTCATCACTTAGAACGTCAAAATATCACTTAGGCCCATTTATCACTTAGAACGTAAACCAACACTTAGAACGTGCCCTTGGAACTCTATATGTACTGCATGTATGCACTTGTAAACAATTGTCAGCATATGTATGCACACGTATATATATATATATATACACATAGCTTCTTGAAGTGCGTCACCAATACATGTCTATTTGGTCCCTGAGTGGCTTCGCTGAGTGCGGCAACATGATTTCACAAGCCTTTCCACTATCATCAGTGACCTAGACACGTTCTAAGTGTTAAATCCCCGGTACGTTCTAAGTGATGAATCTTGATATTTGGACGTTCTAAGTGTATGGTTTTCGACGTTCTAAGTGCAAGGCTTAGAACGTAAAAAAAGCAGTAATATTCAGATTTTTTTTTTCCAAAATACGTTCTAAGTGATTGTCCGTCACTATATTTGTATTGTCAACCCTGGTCCATTCCACTTCGAAGCTGCCTTTTTCGGCATCTTGTTCACCGGCAGGTGCTACTTCCTGGCAGATCTGCAGAACGACCAGATGTCCAGATCCACCTTGGAGCGAAAACGTGCGCGCGAGGCGTGGAGTCGGACGTGGGCGGAGCTGGTGGAGCTGGTGCAGTTCGTTAACTACGCTGATTTATGAGTAGGTTATATGGTAGGTTAATGGATCTTAGTGGATGTTAATGAGGGTAAATTCACAATGTGTTTCTTCTTTGATGTTGCCGGAATTAGGAATGTGTGGTTTGAAAATTTGATATATCCCAATACATCTCAGTTATCAAGGGTTATATAACATGTTAGAAGCTACTTACCAGACCAACCACTTAGCTAATTCTGGCAACATCTATTTTAGCTGGTGTATGAGTAGGACAAGAGGACAATCCATGATACACACCAGACCAACTTGAAATCAACGACATAGTCCGTTTTGGACCTGTTTTCGATCCTTGGGAAATGGTGCTTCTAGAACTCTGCCAGTGGAACGATAGGTTTTGGCCTGCAAACCTGGAGCTGGTATATGGAGGTTTCTTAAGAAGGGGGTACCCCCAATTCATCCAAAAATATATAGACCATTTTAGTAAACTCATGGTGACTTGGAGATCCTTGATTTTAGGAAAGCTCCATTTATGTCTGACAGGGCAGGGAATGCTGGTCATACCTCAGTGGTATAGTGACTGACTCCTGACTTGGCGAGGTTGCACTGCAGCTGTTTTCTGACATCGTTTGAGCCCTGCTCGTTTGAACCCAGAAATCCCAAGAAAGGTTCCCAAAATGTGGGAAATCAATGAAAATCAGCATTTCCACAAATTAGTTTACCCTAGGCTAATTTATGTCATGGCGGTATTAAATCGAGGAAAAGGAATGTCCCAGACCATCTTAATTTCAGAACTGGTTCGGCAGTATGAAGTCAAACAAAAAAATAATCAATGGCAAAAAGCCGTCCTGCAGTCAGAATTGCTGAAACTCAGGCCACCGTTTCGACACATTTGTTAAAGATCATTTCAAACCACACAACCAGGCCCTTTCAATCATGGATGTATCAACCGGGTGTTTAAGTTTTAGCTTCACCAAAGTTTTACTTTATCAGCCCTCATGGCATATCATCTTAGCTGACTCCCTGGTTTCATTCGGCATGGTGAAGTACGGAGCGGGGACAGCCGAGAGCAACTACCAGTGGTGGACGCACAGCGTGCAAAGCGGCACGCTGGAGCACTCCGGCGAGCAGCTCGCAGTGGAGAAGATGGAGAAGGCCAGGTGAAGGGCACAGCTTACAGCCCATGGGAATATATGGGATAAGCCAGGAAATGGGGACTTTACTAGGCTTATTCACCAGATAAGTGGGATCCTCCAACAGCGGGCGTGGATGCTGATGTTTTTGTGTGGTGCCAAGGTATGATTTGGTCAAAACCCATCTAACAATAGAATACATTGAATACAATAGATATATCATGATATATCCATAAACCATAGTTCACCTACTTACAAAGCAACTTCGCAAAGTAGGGGGTCGCCCCTGCCCATTCGGAGTATGACAGGATCCGTCGGCCACCAGCCGGCGCCACTACTTGCGGCTCATGCGCAACCTCGGAAAGAAGGGTCGATGTTCTCAAGCCTTTCAAGCAGCTGAGGACCTATTCACTGATCACTTGTAGCCTCTGGTAACTTTTCGAGAGAGGGACGCCACCAGGGCCCCATCTTTACAGTGTTTTGTCATGTTTTTTTGTGATCATTTATGCTTATTTATACTCATAGCCCATAGCTTTTTGTTCTTGTTTGTTCCTTTTTGTTTAATGTTACTTTGTTTCTGTTGCATAGTTGCTTGTTGTATATTTCATTTGGTTCTGGAAAGTTCATATAGAGTAGCATGGTAGGGGTGGAGATAGAGCCCATATCCTTTGTTCTACATTGTACATCGTTTATTCTTTTCTGATTTTTCCAGATAGCCATGGAACAAAACATTGAAATAATAGATAGATCATCCACAAAGTAGCAAGTTTCATCCATTTTGCATAGCTATGTTTAAAAACCCGAGGGTAGATGTTGCCAGAATTAGTGATTCGTGGTCACTTAAAGGGTGATGAAACCTTGGAACTGGGATGTATCGGGACATACCCCAGCTACCACTCACCTAATCCAAGCAACATTTTTAGTACACCTGTCCCATCTTTGCAAATATGAAATGTGACTTGTAAACACGTTTCAGGGATCACCAATAAGCAGCGAGCACTGGTAACACTGGTAGCACCAGGAGATGAAACACTCCGGCCTTGCCATGGATGTGAGCTGCTATGCAGCTTTAGTAGAGGTGGCCTTGACGAATCGGCTTGACGAATCCCCCAAGTGTTTTTCAGTTTCTGTCCCATGGCCAGCTACAGTGAGATCAAGAGTGGTCCATCTTCGGAAGGTCTTAATGCGGCCTTTAAGTTTAAACGATTGCCATCTGAAACAACATGGGATTTCCTACAAAATCCTGACGCATATATCCCTTGTATAGTTGTCGAATATCTGCAGGATCTCCCACATTATTGCTAGCTCAACCCATGTCATGACCTATTCCCATTTCTGTAGTTCAAATTCCCATGTTTTTCACCCCTTTTTCCATGTTTAAACCGTTTTAAATCCCAATTTTTTCTAGTCAAACTCCTTTTTTTCTGGAGCATTTTTTTTGGTGCACGTATATATGGTACAGGTTGCGGCCCATGTTGGGCCATGTGGGGGCTATGTTGGGCCAGCTTCCGCGAAAGCCAAAAAACACCGTAAATTGCGGGCCTCTAACCCCACCCCCCCGGTCATGGTCATGGTCCCATTCTGGTCCTGGTCGCCGCCCCCCCCTGTGGGAATGGGGGAGTTTCTCCCCTCCCCCCCTGTGGGAATGAGGGGGTCTCTTGTATGTATGTAGGTAGGTAGGTATGTATGTAGGTAGGTATGTATGTAGGTAGGTAGGTATGTATGTATATGGGTAGGTATGTATGTGGGTATGTGGGTATGTGGGTATGTAGGTATGTAGGTATGTAGGTATGTGGGTATGTAGGTATGTAGGTATGTAGGTATGTATGTAGGGATGTAGGGATGTAGAGATGTAGGGATGTAGTGATGTAGGTATGTAGGTATGTAGGTAGGTATATATGATATGTAATGTAATGTAATGCAATGCAATGCAATGCAATGCAATGCAATGCATGTATGTATGTATGTATGTATGTTTGTGATTGCACAGATGTTGGATGCTACGTTGCAGTATTTCCCTCGTACTTGCACAGACCCTTGCTGCTACGTTATAGGATCCTTTCTGGTACATGCACAGACAGTTGATGTTACGTTACATGACCTTCTATTGCACACGCGCAGACAGTTGATGCAACGTTATAAGGAGTTGTAAGATCTTCCTACTTCCGCAGTTGCTTGATGTTGTGTTACAAGCTCTTCTCTTGTACTTCCGTAGATGGACCAATGAAATCAAACCCTTGCTATATTGTCGTCAACCCCCACACCCCCAAATTTCAATGTTGTCTTTGGCCTGTGCGCTTGGGTCCAGTGGACAAAAAATGACAAAAAATCAAACCCTGAACACAGAGGAAACTAGATACCGTTTTGTTCAACATTGAGATTTGGGGTGTGGGGTTTTACTTCGTAGCTGTCTGTAGGGTTTGACTTTTTTGTCCATCTACTGTCTCATGCTGTTACTTTCTTCTTCGAAAAATCTCGGCGAACGGGACCTACACAGGCTCTCTTGCACAGGACATTCTATACAGATATCCTTGTAAAGGAATCGCGCACAGCAGTTTTTACAGAGATCCTGTCAAGGAGATCTTGCGCACGATCCTCTACTCTTCACAAAGGGAACTTGCAGAAGATACCCTGGTATTTGTGTCACGTTCCTTGCAACTGGTGTCTCTTGCCGGGATAATTCGTATGGTATGTCCGCCGTCCCATATCATAACTGTCTGTAGGAAGAATTCTCGAACATGCCGAAAATGAGCAAATTGTCTTTGGTCATGATGATGGTGGTGATGATGATGACGAAACAAAGGAAATAAGGGCTTATAATAAGGATCTCATCTGTCCTGAAGTCTGGAGTGGATATGCTTTCCAGAAGCCAAGACAGAAAATAAGCAGCTGACCTGCCTAACAACAGAACCCCCATCCTTGTCATTACTCCAACAGCACAGCAGCAAATATCTTGCATTGCATCATTTGCTTTCATGGGCTTGCCTGCGCCTTCATCTGCGGAAGACATGGTTGACTACTACAACATTCTCCAGGGTGTCACTGTCATTGACTTCGACTCCAGCCCCTTGTTGTCTCAGTAGCTCAGAACCTCCAGCCCCTTGTCTGTTTGACTTGACTTGGCGGTCAAGAGATCATTTGGGCAACTATACCCACGATTCTACCAGGCTGGGCCAACCTGTTGCCGTGCTACAGTAAACTTTTTGTGTCTCTGGGGAATGGCTTTCTGTTAACTTCCGGTGTAGCTTCACGCATTTCCTCAAGGCACTTGCGTACAGAACGCGAAACCCTTCCTCTTCAATTGTAAGCCATGTGCCGCCAAAGCCCTTACTGCAGCAAGATTGCTGCGTAACAAGAATTCGGGCGTAGCGGCCGTCAGGAAGGTCCTCTCAGCAGTGACTGCGGAGGCTTGCAAGGACAAGGGCGCCGCTTGCTTCAAGCATGTCTCCGTGCAGGAAGAGGAGCTTATGCGCCATATGCACGGGGAAGGGTTTGGTGTCAAGAGGATAGCATCTGCCATCGGATGCTCCACGGACACTGCCTCCAAGCATGTATTCAAGAAGTACCTCAAGAAGGCCCCCAAGGGTGGGCCTGTGGCTATTGGACCAGCCACCTACCAGAAGGTGAAAAAGGTCTACCAAAAAATGTTGCGAGAATGCAAGGGACAGGAAGTCATAGTGGCAATGGTCAAAGCACGCATGAAGCTGAAGTGCTCTGTGAAGTCCTTGAGCCGAGCATTCTGACAACACGGCGTGTACTTTCGGCCTCTGTACGAAAAGCCGGATTTGTCCCCCGAGGGCATTCGCAGTTGCGTGTGCCCATGCTGGTTGGCCCCACCAACTCTGGGAAATCCACTCTTGCACTGCCCTTCCGCAACCTCTTTGGTTTCAGCCACGTTTTTCACAAACCAGCATTGCATTCGTCCTTCGCACACATGAGGAACCTGTTGAATGACAAGAGGTTCATCTTCTGGGACGACTTTCGCCCAGTTGAGTATGGTGTGAAGACGGTGCCAGTTGCAACCTTTCTGAGCCAGTTCCAGGGCCAGCCATTCGAGGCACAGATGTCGCAATCTTTTCATGATGGAAATGTGGACTTCGAGTGGCATCGTGGATGTGTAATGACAGCGAAAGCTGCTGCTCTTTGGAATCCGATGGACGGTGTGGATGCAGAGGACATCCGCCACATGAAGAGCCGCCTGCTTGTGTTTCATTTCTCTGCCACGGTGCAGCACATTAGGGACACGGTTCCATGCCCAACGTGCATGTGCCGTTGGATCACTGAAGGTGCACAGGAGTTTGACGCTGCACCTCTTCTTGCACAGCCCCTACCTCCTTCACCAACAAATGAAGGGCTTGTCGCCGGATTGGCAGAATTGGCCCAAAAAGCCAGTTTGCCCGAAGCCAAAGCGCACAGTCTGAGCCAAGAAATCTTGCATTTGGGGGCAGTGCATGTACAGGAGCTCCTTGTGCACGATTGACGCAACCTTCAGACGTTTCAGCACCTTCTGCCATTTGAGCAGCGACGGCTGCTGGCGCATGTGCCTCTGGGAGCTTAAGCAAATGCTACAGGGCCATGCAAAGCTCAGTGCAAATTCATTGCTAATGTAAACATTCACATCAACCTATAGTTTGAACCAACATACCTGCCGAAAAAGATTGCGATGCTACGCTGCTGCGCGTATGCGTGCAAGCATTATTGTCGTCAACCCTTGCTTTATTGTCGTCAACCCCCACACCCCCACACCCCCAAATTTCACTGTTGTCTTTGGCCTGCGCGCTTGGGTCCGGTGGACAAAAAAATCTAAACATTATCCAAACCCTGAACACAGAGGAAACTAGATACCGCTTTTTCTTCAACATTGAGATTTGGGGTGTGTGGTTTTACTTCGTAGCTGTCTGTAGGGTTTGATTTGTTTGTCCATCTACTGTTGCACAGACAGTTGATGTTATGCTACAAGACCTTCTTTGCTACACGCGCAGACAGTTGATGCAACGCTAAAAAAAATTATATCTATTTTACATGCGCGGACACCTGATGGTCTCTGAAAGGATCTTCTCTTGTACTTGCGCAGACACTTGGTACTACATTATAGACATTCTCTTGTTCTTGCACAGACGCTTGAGCTTATAAGGTCTTGTAACGCAACATGAAATGTCTGTGCACGTACAAGACAAGATCTCCTAATGTAGCATCAAACGTCTATGGAAGTGAGAGAAGATCTTAAGATCTTCTCTTGTACTTGCGCACTTGCAGGGTTGCTTGGGCTTGGTGCTACGTTAAAAGATCTTCCCTCGTACTTGCACAGACACTTGATGCTACGTTGCAGGGTGCTGGGCTATCAGGAGGGGGACCACCATCTGTGGCCGGTTTGCCGGGGGGTAGCCGGCCTGGGGGACCATACCATCCGGGGGGGAGGTTACCGGGCCGCAGACCGGGACCATATATATATATATATTTAAATATTATACATAAATAATCATATATCATATTTTAAGTAATATTGTATGTATACATATGCATACGCAAATATATATATATATACACATACATACACACATATATTTACATACATACACAAATCTCTAAATATACATAAATATATACACATACACACAGACTCAGATATATATATATGTATATTTAAATGCACAGATATATTTACATATGCAAATATACATATACATATACATATATATATATATGTAGATATGTACGTATACACTTGTATATATTCATTTTTACATATATATATACCTATATATATACCTATATATATACCTATATATATATATATATACCTATATATATACCTATATATATATTATATTATATACCTATATATAAATATATACATATATACATTTGTATACATATATATATATATATTGATTTATTTATATACACATACATATTGAATACACATGCATATTATAACATCAGTTAATTCCAAATATCTATCCATTTCTTGAGTTCTCTCTCCATCCTCCGCCATTCCTCAAGGCCTGTCTCGTCTCCGGCCTGCTGGACCGTGCCACGGAGACTCTTCGCCAGATGCGTCGGGACTTGGGCGCACAGTGCAGCTTGCCGGAGGTGAGTGGGCGCGGGAGGAGGTTTATGAGTACTTTTTTTTGGGGATGTGATATGATGAATATGATATATATATGTGTGTACATACTGTGGATGGAAGAAATCCTTCACCAGTTGGTAGGTGGTTTATCCCATTATAGGGTTCAACCGTCCAAGGTGGTTCAGGAATTTTTCCATCCACAGTCCACAGTATGTATATATATATATATGTATAATGGGTATTGCATATAGTTGCATATACAAACAACAATGATAGGTTATTATATGTTGTTAATATCAAAACATTGGTTGGATTTATTGGTGATTTGTTGGGGGAAAACAACCATTTTATGGGAACGTACCGCATAATAATAATGAGGACTTCATGGGATATAACTAGGGATACAACTAAGCAACAATAATGGTTTGGATGCGTTTATTCCCCACCTGCCAGGTGAGGGTTGTTAGATTTTATCAGAGCTGTTCTCCTCCTCCTCCACCTCCTCCTCGCAGTCCAGATCCCAGTGGGCACAGCCGGACCTCCACCGCGAGCTCCAGATCCCAGTGGGCACAGCCGGACCTCCACCGCGAGTTGCAGATCGCAGTGGGCACTGCCGGACCTCAACTGCGACTTCCAGATCGCAGTGGGCACTGCCGGACCTCAACCGCGACTTCCAGATCGCATTGGGCACTGCCGGACCTCAACGGGAAGAATGCCAGAAAAGATGTCAGATAGAATGTCAGAAGATATGCCAGATAGAATGCCAGAAAGAATGTCAGAAAGAATGTCAGAAGATATGCCAGACAGAATGTCAGAAGATATGCCAGAAAGAATGTCAGAAGATATCAGAAGATATGTCAGATAGAATATCAGAAGATATGCCAGAAAAAATGCCAGAAGATATGCCAGATAGAATGCCAGAAGATTTGCCAGATAGAATGCCAGAAGATATGCCAGAACATATGCCAGATAGAATGCCAGAAGATATGTCAGATAGAATGCCAGAAGATTTGCCAGGAAGAAAATGTATAAATGTCATGGTGGGGATCATTCGAAGTGAAGTAATTTCGTGTTTTTTCCCGAAAATTGGGTACCTCCAAATTGCGCGGTTGATGATTACAGTATTTTCCCTATACTGCCATTTTGGGGTCTCCATTTTCAGACACACCCAAAAAAGGGTCCAAAAAATGCTGCAGGAAGGGGGGGGAAGTTATAACCCAACTTACCTACAATTTGGGCGCTCTTCCTGACCTGGAACTCACAAACACAAGTGGACTGCTTTCACTGTTTTGACCCATTTGTGCACATTTAGGATCATCATCGGATTCAATCCTCTTTCATCTATATCTGTCCACGGATTTTTGTGAAAATGTCCCAACTGCCAGTCAAATTGCAAGTGTTTGTTCAAGCCGTCATGCGACTTATTCTGGCAACCTGCCAACAAATGCGCTTGAAGTCAAATCATTTTTTACTTCATGTTTTATGTAGTTCAGGACGGATTTGTTGCTCATTTTTGGCACATTGAGACCAAGCATTTCATTTGGTTTTCATACACATATCTCTCATATGTTTCCCTGCCAGGAGACTCACAATGAATTCATCAGTGCCTGCGGTTTCGCAGATCAATGGGAACGAGCAGTAGCGCCTTGACATTAGAGAAGAGCTGGTGATGGATTTTTTTTGACATTTAAGGCGTTTTACCAACCTTGTAATTACCAACATGTTTTTTTGTGTTTACTTTTGTGGGGAATTAGGACTGGCATGGATTTGGGATTAGTTCTTTGGGGTTTTGCGATTTTCCGATTTTCCAAGCCACGAGGATTCAGCATTCGGGGTTGTTGCATCCTTCTACATCCAAGTTACACCTCATTTTTGACACCGATTGATGCGTATATCCTAGTGAAAATTCATGATTTTTTGTTGAAGGTTTTTGGATGATCAAACCTTCCAAATTTGGGATTCTCAAAGTTGAACCCATGTTTTTCCCCATGATCTTTGGATGCTTTACCCTCTGGTAAATTTCCGTGCCGAATCAACTAATTTTTGGCGTGAATTGCTTAATTTTGTAGCTGGTCTTTGGGCACAAGATCACGAATCCAACTAATAGTTTGCTATCGAAAATTGCCATAGAAATTGTTGATTTTCCCATTCAAAATGGTGATTTTCCATAGTGATGTGAATTTACCACAGGGTAAATCTGCCATTTTGCCGCAAAATGTCCATGACCTCAGGATCTCTTGAAGGACCTGACGCTGGCGCGTCAAGTGCCGCAGATCAGCGCCTACGTCAGCGTCGTGCGGAGCTGCTGCCGCTGCAAGCAGTTCCCAACGGCCCTGCAGTTGCTGAAAGAAATGGAGATGCACAGCCTCTTGGAGATTCAAAATGACCTTGGTGAATTTCTGGTGGTTTGGAACATGGTTTTTATGACGGTTAATCATAAATATATGGTTAATATATGGAAATATATGGTTAATATATGGAAATTTATGACTTTCCATATATATATATATATATCGGAATGTCATCATCCCAACTGACTTTCATATTTTTCAAGATGGTTAACACCACCAACCAGGAATTTTGTGGGGAATGATGAACCTACCGGGGTAAAGATTATAGCAACCCCTCCTCAATCACTATCGCCTCTATCTATGTTGGGGGGATAAGATTCTAGCAACCAGTGTTCCCAGGATGGTATAAAGATAGATATTAAGATGTTAAGTTATCATTCATATGGTTTTCTGTTTTGCAATTGCAACCACCCAAAACGATGCCGAAAATTGTGGTTCCAAGGATTGTAGTTCGATGATATTTACATGATATTCCATATGATATGATAAAGTGGAACAACTTTTAGTGTTACTTGGAACAATTTTACCTTTTTTTCCCATCCCCAAGTGACATAGACCCGTTCCCATCAGTTGGGGGCTGAAAGATAAGTTTCCACTCAGAATTGGCTATGTTCAGGGTCTATGTTAGTGTACTGGAGGATAACTTCTTATTTTAGCTGGTAATTATGGTGGATAATTGGTATTGACATTGAAATGTGCATATGCTTAATTTGATTAGTTTTATTCAGCAGTGTATGTTAATTTATAGTGATCATGATTGGTTCAAAGCATTATGTTTGTCCCGGAATGGAGGACAATTTATCATCATGTTCCATCTTGAAGTTGCATTTTTTGGGGTATACCCAAAATGGATCAACATTGCAAAAACCCTCTGGTAATGACTAACAAAGCTATTGAACATGGCTATCTGTAGCTGATTTACCTCTTAAACATGGTGATTTTCCAGTTCGCTATGTAAACGTTTATCGGGTACGGTAGGTACTGTTTCCAGAAATTCTGGTTGACTTTGACCTGCCAGGTCAAAGTCACTACCAGGCGGCGCAAGAGCTGAGATTGGAGCTGGTGGAGGTCTTACCCAACAGCCATTGGAAGACCTGGGAGATCCTTCGTTCTTTTGGGGTCTTGAGAGGGACGGACTTTTTCTATGGCAGGTGGATGGTTAGGAGATGTTGGGTATACCAAATGGTGCTTTTCATGGGATGCGAAAGTGGTGATTTAACCAGGGATTTCAGTGCACTTCCAACCTGGGGTAGGAGCAGACCCACTTTCTTGGTGGTAGCATCCTGGGTGGGCATCCAGTCTCGGGCACAGGTGAACCCATGGGTGGTAGGAACCTGTTCTGAGAGTTGCGCTTCAAGTTTGGTCCATGTTGAAGGCATGTGATGTGAAGGTTTGTTTGTGTATGCAGATGTGACTCACTCTGTATTACGCTTCTACAATTAAATATTTAATCATGATGAATCATGTATTAATTCAATCTACGATATCTACATACATTTCATTGGCTTTGAGAGTTGTTTTAAGTTGCATGTTTTTTTTTCTCTCCAGTTTAATTACCCTCTGGTACATAGCCATGGTATAGATGGCCCATTGAAATAGATGGTTTACCTATTAAAACTGGTGGATCTTTCCATGGCAAACCATTAGTCATAACCAGATGGTAATGTTTTCTTATCTTGCAGCGTCCAGCCGGCGCCACTGGCGAAGCCACCATTTGTTGCAACCAAGGACCAGCAGGGCTCACGATCACCCTCTCACCACTTGGAGTCAAAACGGCCCCAGGAAAGCTGACTGAACAGTGTGACATCGAAGGAACAGCTGACTGAAAAAGATACGCTGCGAGTCGCTGCATCATTTGGCTTGCTGGGTGGTTTCAAATGGTTTCTGAAACATTGAGATTCTGTAGCATTCTTTACATTCTCAATCATTGAGATATTTACACATACAATAAAATACTGTTGATAATCAAGATATGGAAAAATTACAGCTAGTTTCATCTTTAAACATGTTTAACCGATCTGGTCTCATCATTCTCTGCTTAAGACTGGGATGATCCTCAGCCAGAGGAGTTCACCATATTAGACACCCCCATTGGTTCCAAATATGTAGCAATGTAGTTTCATCCCCTCCTACACCATGGCTTCTACGGAGTGTTTAATAGTGGGATGGAATCAATCGAAATTAGAACATAAACTACAGATATCCCATCGATCATGGTTCATTCCTATAGTCTAGTTATATAATCGGATATAGTTAATCGGAAATATAGTCAATTGGATATAGTCAATTGGATAGTAATCAACAAACAATGGCTTAGATTAGATATCGATCAATGAGATTGACCTCCATTTTGATAGTTAAGTCATGTTAAGTCCCTGTGGTTATAGCATGTTACAGCTATATCCCTATATAAAATCCCTATGGCATACGCAACGAACAATTTTGACCAACTTTTTGGGTCAGTACTGATCACCAGCCTTGCAGTGTTTTTGCTCAGGCTTGGAACAAGATCATGAACTGGGGACTTACTCAGATAATACAGCTGACATATTACTCACAATCTACCAGATATATCCAGATATCTCATGAATTATATCTGATGATATATATATATATATATATTATGTATTCTATACATCTATTGATATTGCCCAACCCCAGCTTTCATCCCCCGTCCACTCTCCGTTCCTCCGTATGATCTCGGTGGTCTCGGCCGTGTCCGGCAGCGTGGTGGCGGAAGTGCCGCAGGAGGTCGGCAAGGAAGTGAGGGCGCTGAAGAAGGCCCTGGCACCTCAGGTGGGACGGCGTGAGTCGCCATGGGATCCACATGGATTTGGTGGTTGATGGGTGCAATAGGATGGTGACCATCTCCCCATTGACCATCTCCCCATTTTTTAAAATCCATGTTTTTGATTGGTGCAATAAATTATCAACATATGGCTGGTTGTTTATTGCTCATACTAACAGTAGCCCACCACCATGGATTTCATCCGCAGTAAATGCCTCATCTAGGCGGTAGACCGAGCTGGATATCGAACCATGGCAATGATAGGTCAAGGAAAACCAGGAACAAAACCGGGACTGAAGCCAAGCTTTGAATCTTGGAAATGGAGATAGTTTGTTATCCAACCTGTTTTCCTTGGTTTATCTTGGTCTCAACGGTATTCCACATTGACCTAATTTGACCTTGCAGGTGGGATACACCAGATTCCGCCAGAAGATCGTTGACGAAGCTGGCAATGAACTCTTTGACGATGCTGTGCTGGATTGCACAAGCCCGCAGATCATTTTTTTGCCTCTTTGCAGCTCTGATGTTGAAGGGAAGAGGCTGCTTCTGGCCTGTCAGAACGAATCTGGTGCCAAAGTCGAAGAGCTGCTTTGCCAGGCAGTAAATCCCAACCTCTCCAATACGGAGGGCTGGACGCCACTGCACTGGAGCGTGCAAAGAAGTGCACCGGAGTCGCTTGAGTGTACGAGCTTGTTGCTGGAAGCAGCTGCCATGGCTGATCAAGCCCATCATGTGGGGGAAACACCCCTGCATTTGGCAGTCGCAGCGGGGCATGCCGAGGTGATTCGCTTGCTCTTGGAGTCGGGCGCCAGTTTGAACGCGCCGGAGTGGGTGGATGGGCAAACGCCCTTGCACTATGCATCTTGGAGGGGCCATGCGGAATGTGTTCAGGTGCTTCTTGAGGCTGGGGCTTACAAGGATGCAGCCACTACAGGGGGCAAAACGCCACTGTATTTTGCAGTTCAAAGGGGACATGTCGACATTGTTCGAGCGTTGATCAAGCACGGCGCGAGCCTTGACGAGACCACAATGAGAGGTGCCACAGCTTTGCATGAGGCAGTTTCAAGGGGCAACGATGAGTTGGCTTGTTGCTTGGTTCAAGCGCAGTCTGATGTCAACAAAGCCAGGCGGGATGGCCTGACAGCGCTACATCTTGCAGCATCTGATGGCCACATCCAAATTGTACGCTCTCTGCTGAAATTCAAGGCTGACAGACACAAAACCACGCTTCACACGGACCGAACACCACTGCAGCTAGCCCAAAGACAAGGCCATGTGGTGATTGCCTCCTTCCTCAAGGATCCTCCTGAAGCATAAGGAGCCATCAAACAACAGATCGCGGCAGATGTAAAAAGACTGAAGGCACAAAACCTTTCTACCGAAATGCTACTTCCGTGTAAAATAGGCATACATATAAATATATCATAAATGTGTCTAGTGCGGTCAAGGGGAGCTAGGCCAGCCAGGCAGTTCAATTACCATCAATACAGCGTTTGATTGCCCTCCAGCCATGTCCAGCCACGTTGGACCTTGCAGGTGGATGCTGCATTGGGACCCAAAAGCTCGGATACACCCAAATGTGCCTGGGGGCTCAGCAATGTATTGAGAACAGGAAGGGTCATTCATGGCTCGCCACAGGAGTGTCTGAAATCAACTTAAGATGGCCAGCTTCATGCTCTTTTCAAGTCGTCTTTTCATGAGAAATTGAACTGCTCTTGAAATACCACTCTTGGCAAAATCATGGTCACCTTTGGGCCTTTTTTTGTTCGTGAAATGTGGTGGGTGAAAAAATGAGATAGCAATGGACCCAGAATTTTGATGAATTTTGGTACTATATGCTTCGAACCATACCCATATATATCTCTAAACATGGGATGGTTTTTGAAAGGTCACCTTTCCTGCAAGAGATGCCAACACCCCGGCATGTTAAGCACTGGTTAATGCAAAGTCATGTCTCAGGTTGGAGCCTTCACGTGGTACACATTTGCTTTCCTGGATGTTGGTTTCACCTTCTCTTCGGATGGTTACTATGGTTGAAGAAAACTACGTCCCGATGGTCATGCGGAGTAGTGCCCCATCAATAATTCAATTCTGAAGTGTGCTCCCAGAAATGGGCTTGGAGAGAACCCTTTTATTTTGATGCTGCAGATTTGGAGGGCATAGATTGATGGCCTTCATGTTCATTTTGACCGCCTTCCAGTCTCACATACACCTACATCATTCTACAGCCTGCAATCTGAGCATATCTGAACTGTGTTTCCCTACTATCTGATTAAGGCATGTTTTCCAGCTCATTTTTGCGGTCCCATGGGTATCCTGGAGCTATTCACAGTCTTCAACTGACTCCTGCATCCTCCAAGCCGAGAATTGGATGCGGAAAAGCCCATTCAGAACCTCCCACATTGCCATAAATCCATGTAAATCCATTGTAAATCCATGGTTTCCAGTTAGCCTTAGGCAAACAAACATGGGCCGAACAATTCACCACAGTTCCATGATTTTCCCAGCTAAAAGCTTCCATTTAGGTCGAGCACGTCGGATGACACCAGAGGGTAACATAGTTATAGTATCCCACAACAAGATAGAACAGTGGGAAACCAGTCTATAAACATGTACTATATATTATCTTTAATATTCCATCGCATTCTATAACCAGCTGGAAACACAGTTTTTCTTCAGTTAATATATACCCCATATATATATATATTATATTATATTATATTATATTATTATATTATATTATATTATACTATATTATATTATATTATATTTTATTATATTATATTCTACTATATTATATTTTATTATATTATATTATATTATATTATTATATTATATTCTACTATATTATATTATATTATACTATATTATATTATATTATATTTTATTATATTTTATTATATTATATTATATTTTATTTTATTATATTATATTTTATTATATTATATTATATTTTATTTTATCATATTATATTATATTATATTATATTTTATTATATTATATTATATTATATTTTATTATATTATATTATATTATTATATTATATTATATTTTATTATATTATATTATTGCGAAGTAGGGACATTCACTTCTGAATTCGTTACCAAAGCACCGGTCGCAGCGTAAAGCAACAATGGACCGTGGGAAAGAAAAAAAATGTAATATATATATTATTATATTATATATAATATGTATATATTCCCTTCAACCAATCCCTTCGCAGGATTTGATCATCGACTTGCACAACACCACGGCCAATACGGGTGTGGCGTTGCTCATGGCGCCCGACGATGAGCGGCTGGGATTCCGGGAGATGGGGCCGGGAGATGCCTAGCTTCGGGATGTGGGTCAAAATGGAAGACCTAGGGGACCACAGATGTGAATGTCTAGTTTAGTATTAACCATCCATAATTGTTGGGGTACCTAATTTTGACCCATACCCAATTGGTACTGGCATTTTGTTGATGCAAACATTCAGTCGTTTTGACACAGATTGGTTGGTCCTTTCTGAGCACTGGATTCTTGGTTGATCCAGGATTGGATGATACCCACCAGCAACATCTATTAAGTGATGCCCGTTTGTCGCGGCAAGGCCATGTCAGCCATGAATCCGAAGTAGTGTTAAGCAGTAATAGCAGAAAGTCTGAAACACAAAGAGTGCAAGATCAATTGAGCACTTTGTTGCATTGTTGCATTGTTTTTCTCAGAATCTAATGTCCCAGCAGCAGAAACCCGCAGTCACTTGCGCCACTGGTTTTTCCAAGACAATTCCGAAGTTGATTTGTTTTTTATGTGTCCACTTTGGGTCGATATTCATTCCATGCCATATTTTGCTCGCATATGTCATTTATGCAAGTCTGTGCCCAATGACAAGCTGTAGTCGCCCCAATATGCAACTGTTGGATATGGATCTGAATTGAAATGTGACCAAGACACATTGTTCCATGGGTAAAACCCCAGGTTTGATGTGCGTCATGCAGCAGGTTGGAAATGTTGGAAGCATATCCCTCTTTTTGCCCCAAAGTTAGCTATATTCTGGGGCCCATTCTGGGGGTCCCAAAATGATAGAAGCCATTAGAACCCTGTTTTTGAACGGGATGACAAACATCAGCATGTTTCACCCATCCAAGGTTCGCCCATGAGATTGGACATCACCTCATGGGCTTGGATGACTCTGTGAGGGTCGGCACCCGGAATTTCCTGCTGGCATTGCTGGTTGAAGGAATTACTGCACTTATTACTGACATACTGACACCACATCAAAGACAACTATAGATTTGAGCATTTGTTCATTGGAATTATTTGGGATGCCGCCAAGTCAAGTAGATGTATTTGTGCTCTACAAAAATGAACGACACATGATGGAAACATAACAAATTGTATCATCTTTACTCAGATTTTGCTTCAGCCGTACTCTGAATATATGAGTAACGTGTTTTTTTGTGCGCACATGTAGAGTAGGAAAAAACGTTGGACAACAAGTCTTCGGGTGGAATGAACCCCAAAATCTCGTTCAAAACGAGCTGGGTCCGCCTGAAAAAACGAGATAGGTCAAACTGGAAACCTTTAAACGGAACAAACGTGGCGTTGGAAAACCAGGTCAGTGATCAAACCGAGTTCAGAAAATGGGAAACCGCATATAGTATCCGCCTCGCCATCCTTTCAGGTGGTGGAGTGGAACGATCAGCCGGACTGGCCATTGTGCCCCTCCATCGGCCGGAGTGGCCTGACCTTTGAGGTGAGCACAAGTTGGAGATGATGGGAATTGTGGATGTTGTTTTATGGAGGTGGTATGAGATGGCTAATATGGGGGGTTTCCATAAATATGGGAACCCATGTTTATAGATGGTTTTGGAAAATCCTATGAACATGGATGATTTGGGGTACCCCATGACTTAGGAAACCTCTAGATCACTGGTTGTTAATGTCATTGATGTTGTTGATGGTTGAACATAAGTAGCACCAAAGATGGGTGGCTAGGGTGCTCATGGAAAGTTGCTCACTCAACGAGACTAGGACTCTCCGTCGGGAAGCTACTTGCGATCTTTCACCCAGTCCAAACTCTTTCCCATAGTCTTTAGTAATTTAGTCACTTGTCACCGAAATCTGCCATAGAAGCATCAAAATTGAGAAAGATTTGAGATGAAACCTACTACAATTTCAGAGAAATAGCTGTCCAGGAAGATCTCCTCCGGTAATCAAATGTGGCAATGGAAAATCCCCCAGAAAAATGGAGGTTTGCATGAGAAAATCAGCCTATTATAATATCTATGAATGGTGGATTTTCTATAGCAAGCCATGTTTGATGAACCCGGAGGGAAAACCCTTCGACACAGCAGGTGGGCGCCTGCCCCTGGGGCTGCATCGAACCGGAATTGTTCCAAACATCCAGAAGGCGAGGATTGAGGATACAATGAGTAGCAGCTGATCAATCATCATCATCATCATTATTATTATCATTATTATCAGTATTATTATTATTATCATCATCATCATCATGGTGAATTATATATTTATGATTTATACATATAGTTTAAGAGCGCCAGACTGGTTCTATTCACTATGTTTAGTCACCAAATATCAGATCAGTTTCCAAAACTATGGCCATAATTACGGTGGTTAAAAAAATGGGAGATTATGGGGTTATTATCTACATTGCCATTAGATATGGGCAAGCCATAGATGGTACCTCCATGAATCGGTAAATGGCCATTGAAAATCTGGCACTGGAGGCTGATCATGGCGCTACTGGACTATGTGGAGCAGCACAACGCCCTGATCAGCTCAGGCGGTGGCACGCAGCAGGAGGCGTGGGGGGGAAGATATGGCTATGGATCAACACCTATACCTATAAATAGCATTTTTTAGGGAGATGAAATGGGATGAACATCCATTAACCAGCTATTTTGGATTGTTTTGGTGTTCACGGGTAGGTTTTGACCCATAGCCATATCAGCATGGTTTTGGCATGCTTTAGCTGGGGCTTTAGGCGAAACGCATTAGGAACATAGGAACTAAGGGAGATCACTCAGCCCTATACCCTGGAAGTGGTTGAAGTGAAGATTTGCATGGAAAATCGTGAAATTGGCAGTGTGTCAAAACCTTGTACCCCTGGTGAACATCAAAATAGCTGGTAAATGGATGTTCATCCCCCTAAAAATGGTATTAATAGGTATTGATCCATACCCAAATAAATGGTTGTAAAAACATGTAAAAAACAATCCATGTCCTGTAAACTTTCCGTAAACCAATCCGTCTCCCTGAGTTTGTTCAGCGTGGCCCAACTTTGAATCCAGCATAACCGACCCAAGGATGAGGGGAATGGGTTCTGAAAAATTCAGAGCCGGTAAAACACCCAAATCTGAAGGTTTATCATCATTCTCATCCATTTTCTACATGAACATTGAGATAAATTGTGGCATTCCCATGCATTCCCTATGTTGAGCCAACCCCAAATGACAGGTCACAATGACTGTCTATCGGTCCATTGGTGTGTCCATGGACTACCCACGTTGTGACGGCGATCCCGTTGGACATGTTGGGCTGCCCAGTGTCAAGCTCGGCAATGTGGCACCATGCTTTCCAACGAGATTTGGTTGGTGGTTCGGAACATGGCTTTTATTTTTCCAATATATATACATATATATATATATACATAATTATATATATATATATTGGGAATAATCATCCCAACTGACTTTCATATTTTTCAGAGGGGTTGAAACCACCCACCAGAGATGGTTTTCTTAATTTCACGAGAGTTTGATCCCATTGACGTTGGAAAACACATGAAAATATGGCAGAAATCGAAAAGTTGAAACTCTAACTGTGAATTAGAGTCGAGATTTCTTCAGGGTTCTGTCTTCTCCCAATTGACTTTGCCAAGTTGTCAACTTGCCTGCATTGAGGTCCATCCAGCCTTACAAAACAAGGACTTCAGCGAGTTGCGCGATGGTCACTGAGACCACAACGGGTCGTTTGATGTCGTTTGAAACCAATGGCCAACCATCAAAGAACTGGCCCTTTGATTATTGGGTATCATTGTATCATTGGATTAACGATTCGGAAAATCTGAAGATATTTGGTGGATAGACTATGATCTTAACTCTATAATAGACAGACCGGTGATGATTTGCTGAACAATGCTCCGATGAAACTCCAAATGCTTCGATCAAACACCTGTTCCAAAATCATTTCCACCGTTTCACCAAGGTGATCCGCTTTTTATGACCTTTGATGGTGAAGAGGTGAAATTTGACCGCAAGTCCTACAAGGTGCGATGGTTCGCATGTTCCAAGCAATGCAGGATGCGAAGGCGTTCTGAAAGATATCTGGTGGTGAAATTTGAAAATCATGGGAACACCATATGGAAAACCCCCCTCAATTCGAATGGATTATCATTGATTAGTTCCATATGATACTTGGAAGAATATATTATATATATAATATTACACTTGGTTTCGGCCTACCCCTTGTGTTTCCAACCTTGATGACCGGGTCAGATTAATGAACTGTAGGAAACATATGGTCTGAGATATTGGACGCCTTGCCCAAATTCCAAAAAACATCCAAATTTCAAAACACTGCCAGCATCCAGCATTATCACCCATGTTCTCTTTTTCTCACCCACCTTGACTTTCAAACCTCTTTCGGATTGGTGGTTTCGTTCTTTGATGTTCAACCTTACGGCCCTATTTGGGAGGTGCCTGAGAAGTACGACAAAGTCTACGCCTTGTTTGTCAACGAGGCGGCGTACTACGAAAAGAAGGCCCAACATGTACCTGGGCCTCGGGAATCGTTTCACGACAAAACGACGGATGTTGATTTGGAGTAACTGATTGGTGCATGATGTTCATGATGCAATACTTTGGCTATTGATCTTAAAAACTTGTTGGTTTCTGTAGTCTACATATGTCTACAGGTTTCAATAGCTGCTTATGGATGCTGTTTTTCCTCCAAAGATGGACATGTTGGAGGTATTGATCCATAGCATTCCAGTGGGCCAGCAGCTGTGGTTTATGGCACATGGACCCATATTTGATGATATAGTTTCTATAAATATCTATAAATATATATCTTATTATCTTTTATATATATATACACAACATATAAATCATGTTCAATGCCGCATTGGAATCTTGGATGGTTATATATAGATACCTTGATTAGATTCCCATATTTGGCCTGAGATGGTCCGGATACCTTCCAAACATCAAACGGAGATGTTTGAGGGGAGGCGGTTTCGCCCATAGGCCGACCTAGACGACCATTTTCACCCTGACTTCCTGGAACCCACCCATTCTTTTAGCAAAACAATCTATGCATATGTTGTTATTTGCATGGCTATATATATATATTATATGTGTGTGTGTTCATCAATTGCCAAGTTTGATTACCAAAGGGTACATCACCTGACCGTAAACTTCTCCTGGAAAAAGCTGCGACCGTCTTCGGGCAGGTCGCACTGATGTTGATGAGCTGCGGAGAAGCGAAGTTCTCCAAGTTGACCAAAGGCTAAGACCAGGAACCCATGAAGCAACCGTGAAGTGATTGGTGGCTTCAAAACGTTGATATTTATTTTGTTGATAGTTCTACCATAGTAATTACTAGTGATGATATGTAGCCTCTTATAATTTCATGACTGAATTATACTAGATCTTCCTGAGAGTAAGCTATACTTTCCAATCCATTGATGTTTCCAGCTCCTCCATATCTCTTCTCACGAAAAGAACACTGGCAGGAAAAGAAACTGCATCATCCCAGGTCGAACCAGCATCGTATCTATATCGTTCACCATTGGCTTGTCCTAGAAAGGAATTTTCGTGCTGCCAGTGGCAGCGGGGGGACAGTAGTGGGACGCCACTTGGCCGCAGTGTTCATAGCTTTCACTTTGATATTCTTGCAGCCACAGACTGGTCGATTGGTCTAAAGAAAAACACACAGAGAACCAGTGTTTTTTTCGAGCAGTTGTAGGGGTTTCCTCTGACATTTTCTTATCCAATTCTCTGCTTTGGATATTGTTTTGCAGTGGTTGTGTCCTTATGCTGTCCTGCTTGGCGCACCCTTAGCCACCCAAAGTGGTGGGCCCAGTTTTCGCGCACAGAGCAGGTGAGCCAATCGATTTTGGTAAAACGTGAGCGACCGCGATCTGCTGAGATTCTTACGGGCATTTCCGGGATCAGACAGTGTGGTCATAAACCAATGATGTACATATTAGGAAAAGTTGATACACTGTTTGGTAGTTTAAAATACTTTTTTTTTTTTTGGTCTTGCAGTTTTGCATTGTCTTTCCAATTGACTTTTATATATGTTTGGGATTCTTGGCTTAATCAGCCAGTACAGCAGTAGAGTTATCGCGTTCAGAGGATGATCACAGTGGCTAGTGGCCATGACCATTCTCAATCTTATAAATGGGATACCATCCCCACAACTAACATGAAGACAGGTAATCACCAGGCACGTGAAATCACATGGTTTTGGAATACCTGATAATCAACCCCCAAGGAACAGTTTGACCTGGTTTGAAGTGTTTGTTTTGGAAGAAATATTGTGGTGTCACGTTGGAGGCCATGATAAAACCCATTTACACATCTTACTTGTATCAAACAAGGATAAAGAAGGTGCTTGTTTAATCCTGTTTGGGTGCTTAAGCACTTGTTGAAATCAAGGTCCCTGCAAGAAGGCACGCAGGGTTTTTGTTGCGGAGATGATATCTGTAGCTGCCCCAAATGAAGTGGGGATAAGTCATAAGTCAAACATTACATGGTGAAATGCGAACGCGACCAACATCTGTGGTCCTCAGGACCTTTCCTCAAAGAGACGAGTGCATGAGGCAAATTCTTAGCACCTACATCACATGGCATTCATACATTCATAGTCATAGTATGTCATAGTCATAGTTGTTAATGTGGGCAACCCAATAATAAAACCACTTGGCGATGGTTCACACCACCCTTTTATTGTGATTTTGGGGATGGTTTATTGGATTTACATGCGGTAACGACATTTAAATATGTGGAGGGCGGGCCAGACCGCGAGGCCCCGGAGGTAGTATGAAATACCAGTTCATATTTAAATGTAGTTAGCGTATGTTTAAATGAATTGGATTCCGTATGTTTAAATGGCCGGGCGGGCCAAGGAAAACCTTCCCGGAGGTAGTTTAAAATACCTGTTCGTATATTTAAAAGTCCGTATATTTAAATGTAGTTACCATGGATTTATCACATCACTCCATCACACTTGCTTGTGTTTGTCCATATTGATTGCAGGATTGTAGACCACCTCTTATCGCAGGTTCTCTCAGTGCGGTTCAAGTAACACGAGTAACACGTCTGCCCGGCGTGCGCACGAGGGCAACGCTAAAGGCAGCTTATGGTGGATTCTGGAAGAGTCCAACCATGTGAGGATTGACTGATCCATTTCTGCTGAGGACAATAACTCAATGGGCTGTTTGATGGATGTAGACTACTTCATATTACTTCATGTATCCACATCTATGGATGATCTGAATCTACACATTAGAATTAGAGTAAAAGTATCAAAAACCTCTATCCTTCTGGGTTTTCCCAAAAAGCCAAGTTTCATGACACCGGAGGGTATCCAAACTGCTGTGGATGCAAGGCCATGGCAGATGCCACCGAAGCCCAAGTATTGAAGGCAGGCGTACCCCAGCATTTGTTCAATCCAAAAACTTCCTCATTGAATCACTAATTCTATAGTCACTGGTTCTATCAAAATATGTTTCTAGTTCTACCAGTAAACATATGGTTTTTGATAGTGCATGCCAAAAATATGTGTCATCTGGATGTTTCTGTCAAACTGGGTCTTATCGCTGGACAGTAGTTCCACAAAGAGACTATCCGAGCATGTCATCTCAATCTTCAGCAGGGTCTTCTTCATCATTGCCGGATGATGATTGCTGGAACATCTTCCATTTATAGATGATTTTCCCGGCTTTAAACCTGCATTTACAGGGGATTTCCAATTGCCATGCTTGACTACTGGACGGTATCCATTGCTGTGAACACCGGCTAAAGTACAGGTTTTGATCAGCATCATTAATTTGCAGAATTTTGCACTAGTCAGCGTCATTCACAGTTATTTTTGACCATTATTTTCACACTTCACCATGATGGTCATATATTCATATTGATCCCATGGGATATTCTGAACCATCATTTTCCCATGATACTTTGGCCATCTTTGGCCCATATCCCACACCCAACGACACCCAGACACGATGACGTCGTAGCGCCACCAGTTGGACTGGACGGATTTTCTCCTCGTGACCTTCGCCGCAGTGCTGATCTTTCGCGCCTTCAAGCACGCCTTTGCGGCGCGGCAAGGGCTGAAGGAAATGACGCCAGGGGAAGTGGAGTGCGGGAGGAAAAGATGGGACAAATATGATGACAATGAACAAATAATGGTTATGAAGTGATGATTTTCCATGTGAAGGATAGTTTAATACAATTGTGTTGCCTTTTTGATGAGGATATATATTTATATATATATATTTTGATATGACCGGACCAGCTCCGAAAAAGAATGAGATATCAATCTAAGATTTACCATGGTCAGAAGTTGGTGATGTACCAATAGCAGTAATATGTTGGATTGACCCAAAACGACTCCGCTAAAATTTTCAACTGTCTACCTGAGATGATGAAACATGTTGAAACCGCCAAGCAATCTATTTCTTTAGGGTTGAAACTGCCTCGCAAAGAAGGATGCCACGTTCCAAGAAACATATTGGGAGCAACAAGAATCTATGGTCGTGGAATACTTCGAGTGTGGGAAGAAGTTTTGGTTATCTTGGAATCATCGAGCCATATATTTTTTGTGCTGATATGGTCATGAGTCTCTTCCAGCAGGTTTGAATTATCCAGGATTCAAACCTTTCAGAACTGCTATGGATGGTTCAAGAAGTCAGCTTAGCCAAGGAAGATGGGTGCCACAAAAGGTGCCCCAGACTTCTGGAAACTTCAAAAAAACCCAAAGAATGCCAAAGGTATATGTAGAATGATGTAGAGGATTATAAAGGTCATTTCCCACCTTTTGGTGGCTTCAACACAACCATCCATCACTGTACCGCAGGAGCAATGACTGGTGTAGCCCCACCTTCGACTTCCACCTGAGCCACTTGAGACGATACAGTGCTTGGCGAAGACGGCCGTGAGGTCTTGGAGCAGTTCAGAGCAGCGGAGCCGAGAAGGATGGTGGTACAGAGGATGGTGGTAATTTGTTCGGAAATTCCAGTTGTAAAATTCATATGCGATTTGATTCATGTTGATTCGTTTTGATTCGTTTTGTTTCTGGTGGATTTCCAGTGGATCCCCACAGTTCAGGGCGCCCCGGCGGCCCGTGTGGCGTGAACGACCGGGGAAAAAGTTGAGCTCCGGTGCAAGGTGGTGCCGTCGTTACCTACGTTGGTGATGCAAATCGGGATTGTGGTAGATAAAGCTATAGATAATTAGATAGCTATAGTGGAGATAAAGCTATAGTGGATTATAGAAGTTATTCATGAATTTGCGATTGGATTATAGATTATTCTGAATCATTCTATGCTTAATGGGTCTGAATGGAGTTATGGAAATTTATATACCAACTGGCAGCTGTGGGTTCGCCGCATTGGTAATGTGGGGTAGGGTGATAGTGAGCACATCCAAAACAGGAAGTATACTAAGTAGACCAATGACTGCTGGCTTGGGGATGTGTTCGATATTCATTGGACACATTGTGTTTTTTTTAGGTTGTTTTTCCCCATTTATATAATAGTCTATTCTACAGTATAGTGATCACCACAAGGACAAGAAAGGATTCCGATGGCAAACATGTTATATAATACATATGTGGTCAAGCGTTGTTAACGATTGTGTCATCAATTTCGGGGTAAGATTTTCCACACAATGTGGAGTTTACCAAAGAAAATAGGGTGCAGTTATGTTTATTTATGTTTCTTTTCTTGGTTGATTTCTATCCCAAACAACACTCCATAGACAGTGGCCCTTTGAAACGCCTTCGTCGGTTCCATTTGCTCCAGCTGCATCTGAAGTATTTAAATTGACATCATGGCGCTGTCTTTGCGTCACTTGGATTTTGGGGTACTTTGGACGATAGGGATATCTGAGAGAGGCAGTTTGTTGGGTTTATGGATATCTATACAGATGGCGATAGATTGGTGTTCATTTGAGTGTATGTGTTGCTTTGAAGATGGTGTTGGGTTACTCCTACACATGTGCAGGCATGTTCATGATCCAAGCAGCGCAATGCATCAGTTTTTGAAGCAACAAGTTGCATCAGCACACATGGTTTCAGATGTTTATGATGTTCTTCATGTCATGGATATTTTGGATGTGAGGTTGGAATATCTTTGTGCTTCTATGAAAGCCACCAGTTGTTACATTGCCTCACCTCCCTGCTGCTAAGGTTCAACTCTGTCTTTTTAGATGGCGGTCCTGCAGTGTGAATTCATACATCCACCCAGTTCCTCAGATCTGCGTAGCACGTTCCAAATGAAGT